CTCTCTGAACAATCTGAAGAATATGGATAAGCCACACATATACTATTACAGAATGTGCAAAGAGTAAGTTATTCATCATTAAATAAATAAACAGCGTAAGGTTCAATATTCAATGATAGTATTATTAATGGCACTATTATATCTTATGTAAAAGTATTATTTTCACTCTGATTAAATTATTGATAATTTTTAGTACAAATTGGGTTATAGACCCAAGTGTTTGTATATTATATACATTCTGGACAAAAATAAATTTTTGTTAATTTAGGACTAACAAATTTATAAATTAAATAATTACCATGGATAACATTTATCATCATATTTAAAATAACCATAGCTACAAATAATTTATGGACCCTCTTAATCATATTCATTTGAATTTGAAAGAGGTACTAATTTATCTTAAACTAATGATGATGATATCTTATAACATGAACTTAAATTCACATCTAAATATCCAAGTTTACAGATGCATTTCAAATCGTATGATAATTATCTATTTGAGGATGTTGTGCAGCTTAAACATTAATTTAATTAAGGTCCTGAACATGTAGAACATGAATAATGGCATTTTGGAGTATAAGAATTCAGACAAGTGTAAAAGTAAGGGAGACTAAACCATCCATTTGTATTGCTTCTATTTGTTTCTGTTCCTCCTAAATGAAGAACTAGCATCAAATCAGAAAACTAATTAACATTTGTGATTGTCTTTGTAAATTGGTAATTCTACTTCACAAAATTTAAATTTAAATAAATTTAATTGTTTCTAAATGAATATGAGAAATAATGCCAATTATAAAGTGAATATTAATTGTCAATTTCATAGTTGACACTCTTTTCTAAAGGATCAACACCATTTGATAATTAAGGTAAAGTTGGAAAAGTAAATGTTTAATAAACAATCTAAATTAGTTGCTTTGTAGAATTTATTAAATATATCACTTAAGCTAATTTACCTCCTACATAATTTTGATACTTTAAGTTTGGATTCATTTGTATATGAAGAACATTTATATAATTATTTGTAATGGCTTTATTTTGATCTATCTTTATCCAAGTAGTAACTCCATAAGACTTAATTCTCTTTAATTGTATACTCATAATACGAATCTGATGAAAAATTAGAATCACTTTTTATAGTGTAACCAGAAGTTGAACTACATGTAATTTAACTTGTTGGACTAAATCTTGTTGTATTTGCTATTAATTAGTATTTAATAACACCTTAAAATTGAAAATATCCTAATTATTTAGACTATATATTATATAAATATTTTACTATTTTTGATTCCCCTAAAAAAAATGAAAAATAATCAGTAATTGCAAAATATTCATTTTAATATATCTTTTGAAATATAATATTCTTATTAGAATTTTGATAGTAAGTGATGTTTAAACTTTTTTAAAGAGCATCATTTCTTATTTCTAAACTATACCAAAAACCTTCATAATTTAAATTATTAAGTGTAATTTACTAAAAGTATTTCTGTTTCTGTGTTAATATTTCAAAATAATGCGTCAATGTCTTCATAGATGTATCAATTTTTAAATATTGTAAAAATACATTTTATACTCCCAAATCTGTCAACTTTCCATTCTGAATAGCAAATATTAAATAATAGTTAATGCTGCTTGTTTATTAACTTGAATATTAGTAAGAAGCTGGTATATATTTTTATTCAACTGTAAAATATAAGGAATTATTCCAATCTATCATTTAATACTGATATTAATATCCCTATTAGACTGGATTAACTGTTCCGGACAAAGCATTAATGAATTTTAACATTAAGCATGATGATAATATGAAAATCATTTATAATTGTTTTTATAAATAATATATATTAAAATGTCATAATATCTAACAAAATTTAGTTATAATGAATTCCAAAAGAACTTATTCAATGTTCTTTATTAGAATTTTTGCAAACTATAAGTCAAAATTCAAAAAAAATATATAATAAAGAACAATATGTAAAAATCTCACTTTTTGTTCAATTTTATCATAAATAAAATTAATTATTTAAGCCTAATTGGTTTCTTAAATAAAATTATTTTATTTATACTATATCATTTCTATAATAAGATTAAATGATCAAATACATTTTTATTATTATTTCCATAAGTTTTCAAAAAATTTATTAATTGCTTATGATATATTTATTTGAATTATTTAATTATAAATAAAAAAGAAAAAATGGATATAAATTTTTATATGAAAACAATATGTAATTTTCTAATATTTAACTTATACATATTATTTTAAGAAATCAATGGATTCAAAAGATATAATTGAACTCAAATAATTGCAAATAACATATATATAAATTAATCTTTAAACCTCATACAATAAAAAAGGGAGTATTGTATTAGTAGAATTATTTCATTTTGTATTAGATTCACACGAAAATAAATTTCAACCCTTAATTAAATTGAATCAAAAGAAGCAGTTAAAAAGTAATGGAAATTTTAAAGTAAATAATTTGGAAGTAATGAATGCTCAAAAATATTTAACAAATGAAATTTAGAAATGACCTTTTAGAGCAAAGAATCAATTATAAATTTAAGTAAACATTCAATAGTATTAAAGTTAAGTAAAAATTACTTATTGAGAAAGGACTAAAGTAATTTTTTAATTTCTATATAAAGTATTACTTATTTTACTATATTTGAGATTTGTAGTATTTCAAAAAAATGTTTAAAATAGAAAATCTCAGTTATTTAAAATAATATAAAATAATTTTCATAAGTCTTATTTTTTTTGTACTCTTTCATAAATTTCACACTTGGTGAATTCCTTGATTTAAAAGTCGTTTTTTTCTGTGTCCCAATTTTTAAGGCTAAACTCAACCATAAACTCATTAACAGTCATTTTAACATGGTACTATGTATGAACTCATAAAATACAATCATATTTATGGTATTAAATTCAACATTGCTTCCTTGATATATTAATCTCTCAAAGAATTCATCTGTATTGCAAAATTTCTTGTAATGACTTTCAAAGAATTCCAATCCAATTTCTTTAATAATGGGACGAGTTATAACATCATAATGAGGATCATTTAATGTTTTAAACATCTTAGCCATTTCCTCTGTAATCCCATAATCAATTGTTCCATAATTTGTAGTGCCTTAACCTCCTTATAAATTCTCTATTGGTTATTCTACTTCTTCAAATTCAATAGGCATTTTAGTCCATTCAATTCCATCTTCAAATACAGTTTCTATTTCACTAACTACAAAATAAACTAGTATATTGAAGATAATAAATTTCATTTATTAATATATGATTTTCATAAATATTATTTTCATCAACCTGTTCTAAGAATGATGTGCCATCCAGAATCACTTTTCACTGGTTGGCTCAACTCACCAACCTTTAATGCAAATGCCACATCTTCAAACTACTTTTACATTTAACCCCTAGTAAATTCACCTAAATCTCCCCCTTATTAACAAGAAGAACACTATTATTTCTTTAATTTATTTATATACTTCACTTCTCTCTTAAGCTATTTTAGCAAATAAATTTAAATTGTTTTCAACCTATGCTCTTATTTCTCTAATTCCCTTCTCTGCATCAGCATCTGATCTTATTTAAATATAAGAATTAAGTACCTAGTAACCTTTTTATCTCTAACTCTATCATATGGGTTTCTTGATTGTGTAGATTTTAATAGGATATGTGATGCTCTGACTGATTTTCCTTGCATTAATAAAATAATAATTAATAATTCAAATTTCATTCATTTTTAATTTATATAGATATCAATGATATAATTAAATTGTTGCATAAATAACTAATAATAAAACAATTTTATCAAATATCTTTATTATTAACACCTCCCTTTTAATATGGATTTTAATTAGGATATGTCATTTATGTATTGAGTAATCCTAAAAGCAAACTAAAAATATTATATATTAAATATACTTATCTTCAGATTGTTAGCGTTTATCAATATTTTATGGAGGAGCTTATGGTGGTTGAGCTTTATTATTCTCTTCTGGCTATAAGGATTAGATTAGATCTACTTAATATTTTATAAAAAATACCTTTAATTGGAACTTTTTTATTTGGAGCTCTAGCCCATTGAATTTTGCATATGACATCCTTTATTATCAAATTATTATATAAAGCATTAACAGCTGTTTCTGCATCTTTTCTTTTTGCAAAATTGATGAAACAACTTTAACCATGTTCCATAATTTTAATTGAATTAAGTTTTCCAAATTTTGAAAATAAATGTCTATTTAAATAATTAATTATACTTTAAATCTGATTCCTTGATATCAGTTGACATATGAGAAATATAGAGACTACTTATCTTTGGATCATCAGGTGGTAACAAACCTTTGGCTTCAAACTTTTCCTTATATAATAGATCAATATCTTAAGGATTTTCTAATGGCTCTGCATAAATTTAATTAGCTGGTTCTGATTTTCCATCATTTAATTAATTATTTACATCTGCTAATCTTGGTTCTTTTAGAATTTGATCTAACATAGGTAAAGGTTTATCATATGGTAAAATCAATCTTTCAATCTGACGATTAGCTTATTCAGCCCAATAATCTCTATTTGCTGTATGTTCAGGTATTTCAATTTTTGAATCTCCTAAAAATTTATCTCTTGTGCATAATCCCATATTAAATTCTAAATCTTTAAAACAAGCTTAACAAATATTTTTAATTTTGCCACAAGTCTAGCAAACTTCAGTTTATTTTTATCTTGAATTATTCCCTGGCTTCCATTTGAATGTTGTGAATGGTCTAGCACAGATTCTACATTCTTTTCCAAATCTATCTTTAAGCTTTTAAATGATTAAACAATATATTTATACCATTCTTATGTAAGGATTTTCTCCAAGGCAATTATTGCAAACAATTGGAAAATCAGTCTCTTCCCAAGCTAATTTACTTATATCCTATTTTAATGCATGTCCTCTTTCTGCCATTTAAATATTAAATTATGTAATTATTTTAATGCATATAAATCATTTCTTCTTTAAACTAGATTTTTATTTTTTGTGATTACTTTATAATATTGTCGAACTTGGTCTTAATGATTGATTTTATTATTTTTCCAAATATTATATAACGTATTTCATAAATTATTGATTTTAACGTTGTTATTATTCCTATGCTTCTTCTAATTTATGAACTAATTTTTCTATTATTTAAAAGTCTGAATTTGTTTTTGCAGAATCCCTTTGTTTTTCAACTCTAGATTTGATTTCACTTATTTCTAGTTATAATTTTTCACTTCTCTTTCTCTCTTCTTAAACCTCAAGTGTTAAAGAACTTACTTTTGGATTGCTTGGATTTTATACATTCATTAATTATTATATTTCTCTTGTTAGATATGAATTTTCATCTCTTAAAGTCTAAATTAGAACTTTATTATTTTCATTTTCTTTATTTATTTAATCAACTTCTCTAAAGTAAATACAATGTTTACTTTTATTTGAAATCTAATTGTAATGTTAATCCAGTAACACATTCCTTTAACTCATCAATAACTTATTTTAATTGTACAATTGTATTTTTTAGTTAATCTATTTCTACCTTATAAGATTGATCAATCTCTTATATTTCTTTTAATAATGGAATTTAACAATCTGATGTTCTTGAACATTAAGTCAATTATTTCTATGGAGGTATATTTTCTAATTGACTGAAAATATTGGAGTCTCCTTTCTCTTTTTTTGAATACATTGATATTTGTCTATTATTAAAGTCTAAATTTGAATTGTTTAATTGCAATGGTTGAATTTATTTTGTAGATTGAGTCTTGAGAAAGTTTTTAACTCTCATTTCTATTTTATCGATTAATTAATGTGTCTATTCCACTCCAACATCTCTTAACATAAATTTTAACAGATTATAATTTTAATATCATTATAATTAGTGTTTCTCTTCCAATAATCTTAACTCTTTCTCTAAACGATTTATTTCAATCTCTTATTCTGTAATAATATTTGTGGCTTCCTCTTCAATTCTATATCGTTCTTTCTTTTCCTCCTGAAGTTCTTTCAATAACTTTGTCAATATTTCTCTATCTATATAAATTAACAATATTACTATTACATCATAGCATCACAAGCTGAATGATCTTCCTTTCCTAAAATATCAAACTCTCATTACTTTCTATATTTGCTTTAATCTAATTTAATTTCTCTAAGATTTCACAACACCATTCTTCAATATTAGTTACTTGGCTTTAATCAATATTTTCATTGAATTCCATTAATTCCTTTAATAATTTCTATAGAGTTTCCATTATTTTATCATCCTTCTCTTCAGGTTATTATTTTGCCACTTTAATATTATTGCTGAATAATTTAGTGGCACTACTATATAATATGTAATCAAAACCTATAACTCTTTTGTAGTTTAGGAGGAATTTTTGTTTCTTTACTCTCTTTCAATACAGGTGATTAAGATTCATCAACTTTCACAGTTTTCTATTTATTCAATTTATTCAACTCTGATGGATTAGAAAATAACCCAGGTTTAATATTTGGACTTAATCCTGGTGATTTATAGATTGGACTCTTTCTTCTATTCATTTAATATATATATAAATTATATATTTTAATCCATTTAAAAACTATTGCAGCTTTTCAAATTTTTAATAGATTTTACTTTATGAAACTGTCTCAAGCTGATTGTTATTTTTTAAGTTTCATCTTTTATTTAATATATATATTATGATTAATAGTTTATTATAAATTGAAATCTATATTATCAAATATGAATTTGATAATTATAAAATTTATATAAAATATTATATAATTGTATTCAATACACTGCCAATCTTACACTTATAATCTTATAAATAATAATTAAAGAATTATCTTTATAAATTTTGATTAATAATTGATTCTAAAATCTTTTTGTAAAATCTAAGAAGATACTTAATTTATCAAATGAAAATACTCCCCTTAATTATGCAGAATTTTATCATGTTTATCAAGTGATAAAAGATCCTTTAATTAAATTATACATAAATTTATTGACTATCTATGTTATTAGCTTCATTTAATGAATATAATATAGTATTTATAAATAATTTAGGGAATTATATAAAAGTACTAAAATTTTAGGTAAAAATAATGTATATAAAATTCCTAATTATGATTATATATACATTTTTATTTATATATATATGTGAAATAAAATCTAATAATAATTATTATAAATTTAAATAATTTTATAGGTCAATTCAATTTTCAAAGATTGAATTGAACAAATTAATAATCCTCTTATCATATAAGTCAAGCATATTAAATTTCTATTTAGTTTACTTCTAATATACATTTGTAATCATATTGTAATAATATAACAAATCAAAACTTAAGTTATTCGTCACATCTATTTTTGCAAACTGGACATTTACTACTTTTGGCTAGCCAGAAATCAATACATTCATTATGAAAATAATGTACTATAAAAGTATTTAAATAATTAATTACAGCATGGTAAAGTTTTAACAACTTCTTCATCAGTATATTCCATTAAACATATCATACATTTACAAAAGTCCTCATTAATATTTTGTCCTTTACTTTATATCCAATTTAAATCTATTTTCCTTTCAGGGAATTATTAAATAAAATTTCGATTATTTTCATCATTCATAATAGGTAACCATCTTTATTAATTAAACTAATTAATTAATATATATACTAAAATTATATCATCAAAATATCTAGGTAAAGTTGCTAAATGAGGCTAATCTTCTTATATCATAAATGATGCATCACTTATTAATTAAGCATTAGCTTCAGATCCAAAAGATTAATCAAGAAAAGATTCATCACACTTAGGTTATTCTGGCTATTGTAGTAGAGATTATCTATTTGCTCCATGTTTCTTTTTTTTAAAGATATTTTTGAATAATACTGGTAGAGTCATTTCAGATAATTTCATATTTTATTCATGTAATCCAGCTCCAAAATTAGATTCATCAAAATCCATTAGATCAATATCTATTTCTTCATTTTCTCTATGTAAATTAGTAAGAAATGTATTAGGAAAGTTAGGGAATTCATTTATAGATTAACCTCTACTATTTAAATCTCTTTATGAAATGATAATTTAATTTTCTTTATCATCATATTAAGCATAATTCTCCATTATTCCATATAATTATTTTCTCTTTTATACAAATTGATTTCTAGATGCAGTATTAACCTATAAAATCTTAAGTGTGTTAATTTACACACACAATCCTGTTTATTCATCATCTTCATTCATAGACTTAAATAATATTTATTCATTATCAATAATAGATATCTATGTATTACATGAAATTAATCCAATTTTAGGTCTACTCTTTTTTATAATGAGTTCTATATCTTATATCTTTATTTTAGATCCTTCCTTTATAAATCTAGGTACTAAAAAATAAGGCTAAATATGTTTTTTAAATATTTCTTGTTTGCTGATATCTGTTTAATTTTAAATTACTAATTATATCTCCTCTATTAATTTTTCTTCATAATTACTGATCTTCCATTACTATTTAATATCTCAAATATAATTACTGTTTCTTAAGTAAAAATTCCTTCATTTGGACTACATTTAATTGCTTACATCAATACTCCATTTATTATTACTTATTAATCTTTACTAATATGTAATTTTAAAGGAAGTTGAGTTATAAGCTCTGTTTTTTCATTAGAGAGATTGATAAAATGAACTTTTTGTAAGCTAATATTCTTTTATAAATCACTTGGGTAACATAAAATTTTAGTAGTTTGATTAATATGACCCTCTAAAGGCTGCAAAAAAAAGACTTTAAATTCAATTCCATGAATTATTAAACATTATCCTAATTTCAAATTCTGATTTTTTATACAATTATAAATTTAGCAATCTGATATATTCATCTCCTACAATCTATCATAATAAAGAACAATAAAATTAAAAGGATCCATTATTGAAATATTTATTTAATACAATAATAATAATTCAAAAATTCATATCCAATGTAAATTAATATGTTAAATACAATTACAGATATAGTTCATTTAAATAAACACTATGTAAATAATTCAGCCAACTATTTTGTTTAGAGCTATCCAAATAATTTTTTAATTTAAATATATTTTTATTTAGATAATATTGTATAATGAATCAAAATTGATAATTGTTGTTTTACCTAAGTATTCTAAAGAATATAACTATAAATCATCCATTTTTTTAATTAAATTAATTTATAAAAGTTCTCTTATACTTTTCTTTGTATATAACCTAATTTTATTTAACAGAAAGAATAAGAATAATTCAATAATTCTTTATTATTGTTATCATTTTTTTAATCATTAATGATCTTTTTAGGATTGTTAGTAAATATAGGAAATTGTCTAATTTGATAAAACATTCCTTTTTTACAAAAATATTAAGTTAATTTCTATTACATTCTATTCAGATAATGATTTATCAATTTAATTTTTATATGTATGTTTTAAATTAGATATTAACAATATTATGTTCATATTGTAAATTTCATTTTTATTAATATATGTTTTTTTTATTTTACATATTGAATATTTGATGTTCATTATTAAGAATTAAGAAACAATACACTTAATTATTCATTAATTATTGATAATAAGAGTGAAATAATTAAAAATGATTTACATTATTATGAATTAAGTATATATTTAATTATTTCAATAATAAATTTTATTTTATTTTATTTAATTAATATGAGTTCATACAGAGATTAGGCCTTTGGAATCAATTCAAGACCATCAAATGACCCACTCAGATTTCCATAAACTATAACAGCAGATATTTACAACAACTTTTCATAAAAACCATTAACCAATGAATAATCATCAGGATTACCATTTTAATTTGGTTCTGCTCCTGCTAGAGCTTATGCTTAAGAAGTATTATTTATAATAAGTTTAGCTTTAATTATCTCCAGATATATAAGTATTAGCAAAGCAGTAACAATTATAATAACATTCAGCTGCACTTCCAGTCTAATAAAAAGTCATTTAACCATAGCCTATATATTAAGAAATTCAACATTTCGATAAACCAGTTAAGGTTGTATCAAGAAGTGATATTGAGGAACCTTGGAGAAGTATTAATTTTTTAAGATTATATAGATAAGTGTTAATTTTTGGAAAGACAAATTTATGATTTATAACAAGAAAACATTAGATTAAGATAATAAAATATTGCATCTGAAAAGGTTACTTATTTTGAAGATACTGGAAGAGTTAATTAATTGATGCAAGAGATTGATAGATTAAATAAGACTATTTTAGATTTGAATTCAGAAATTGAATAATGGAGATAAAGATATTAAAGTTTGGAAGCATAATTAAAAACAAGATAAAATGTAGAAATGGAAATTGAAAGAATGAGAAGATCTGTTTAAGATAATGAGAATATTATGCATGTTGAAATGAATAGATTAAGAGAATAATTAGATGAATGGCAAAAAAGATGTCAATCACTTGAGTCTTAAAGTTAAGATGCTTAAACTTTCTTAGCTAAATCAAGAACTCATGAACAATAAATATGTATAAATATTTATATATATTTTTAGTTAATTTATAGGCTGATTTGAAAAAGGCAGAAATGAGTTTAAAATCTAAATAAGATGATTTTGAAGCTTTGTAATAAAAATTTAATAGACTTGAAAGAGTTGTAAGAGATAGTGAGTATTAATCATAAGAAATGGCTAAGTAATTAATTATTATATGATTTTCAATAGTCTAAGAAAAATTATTGATGATAGGAATAAAGAAATTGATATCTTAAGAAGATAAAGTCATTCATAATTTGGAAATTAGAGTATTAAAGATTTAGAAGGAAAATTAGCTCTATTTTAGGGAGAATGTGAAAGATTAAATTAACTTTTAAATCACAAAGAATAAGAATTGCAATTATACAGAGATTAACTAAAGAGACAATCTCATTATAGTAATAAATAATGATAGCTTAATTTATTATAATAATTAATATTTTGCTTGTAATTAATAAATAAATTTATTTATTTATAAAATTTAAATAAATATATCATATTGATATGTCTTGGACTCTATGATAATATTTAAATTATTATTAATTAATTAAATTCATATTAATTCATTCTTTTATCTCCATAAAGGTTTATTAGAATACCATTGTGAAGGTTACTAGACATAATATAATAAAACATCATTTTTATATTTTACATATTCGGCAATATTATTTGCTTCTGATTATAATATACATTTTGTTGCTTATGAAGACAAGAACCATATGAGATATTATTAAAAAATTCTTTTTCTTTCTTATTCTTCTTTAGGTTCACCTACTTAAATTATTAAATGATCTTTAAGCACTCTAAAACCTGATATGATTTCCAAATTTTATTAATAAAACCTTTGAAATTCAATTAATTTTTGATTATTATTTCTAAACTTTTCTAATAAAAATAGTTAAGCTAATGTGTTATTTATTCCTTTTATACCATGTCTTAAAATATTTCTACATATATTTTTCTTATAATCTCTAATTGCAGCTGACTATTATTTTGCTTTTTTATGTATTTTCTTTTTCTTGATATATTTATCTAGAGAAGGAAATTTTGATTTTAATTCCAAACTAAGTTAAGGATTCAAGAAGTATTGGCTAATACTTAGTTAAGGATATTAATCTTAAGATTATTATTATAAAGGTTATTATAATTAGTCTTCCAGTTTAAAATCTTCATATGACTATTAATTAAAAATTTTTAAACAAAATTGGTTTGGCCTTTTGTTTTATACAAAATTAGCTGATTCTACAAATTCACTACTAGGATTTTTGAATGAGTACACAAATGAATTCATGATTAAATAATAAATATTAAACTCATAAATTAATATAATATTTCTTAAAATTCTTTTATGTTATAAAATATATTTGGTATTTATCATAATAAATTAAAATAATTAAAAACTTTTTGATTCAACATCAAAGTCTTATATAATTCTCTTTAATAAATATTAATTTAGTTTTATTTATAATATTCTAAATGTATAAGTTAATCATAAGTACTTTTTGATTAAGGAATTTAGTTAAATTTATACTTTTTTAATTTATATACATTTTCTAAGTATATATCCTTAATAAAAATTAATATGATTGAAAGATATAAACATATGATTTTAATATAATTTCAATTAAGTTATGTATTTTCAATTTCATTATTAAAATATATCACTTAAATTAGATTATATATTGTTGTACATCGTATAAATAATTTTTAATTGTAAATGGATAATAATTTAAGAAATTAAAAAGAAGCTTACTTGTAGGAAGAGATTTTAGATAAAGGAATTGATCCTAATCACTTTCAAGAGTTTTGTGAGAAAATAAAAGGAGAAGGTATTGAATCAATATATAATAAGAGAGTGACATAGACAAATGGACTTTTGAAGATATTGTGTAGTTAGTCAATCAATATAAGATTGAATTTTTTACAACTGATTTTAATTAGCCAATAGATGATATGAATGTAGGATGGAATGTTTTTGATTAAGTTATTCCATAAATAGAAACAAAAAATGATCCCTAGATGTGGAACTTATTAGATTTGGATTATGGAGGGTAATCCCCTATAAAAAGTCAATATGAGGATTAAAAAAATGAATAAACTTTGTAATAAACTCAAAAACAAATTTAGTAAATTCATCAACTATAATCATCTGAAATTAATTAAAGAGGTTCAGATAAACTAGATCTTATCAAAATAGGAAAACCATTGGCAATATCACCAACTGCTTTAAAACTATAAGAAATACAATAATAAATGCCTAAAAAGGAAGCCCCTGAAATTTACTCATTTTCTTAGTGTTCAAAATTATAATGTAAAAAATTAGGATTTAATATATTCGCTTAAGGTGTACCATCTATAAAAATAACTGGGTATTCAAATAAATTTAATTTAGTTTTGAAAAGAAAACAGGAGGACTTTTTAAAAGTGATTTTGTTGTATATAGTGTTAAAACAGGAGATGAATATACTGTGTAAAGAAGATATTCAGATTTTTAATGGTTATAATAAACTCTTCTTAAATTATTCCCAGGAGTTGGTATACCAAGCCTTTCAGAAAAAACAGCTAAAAAAAATTCAAAAAATACAGTTCAAAAAAGAACTATAATGTTAGAATTTTTTTTGAATGAATTAGCAAAGAGTGAACTTTTTAGAAATAGTAAATATTTTGTAGATTTTCTTCGTTTAAGTGATCCAGCTTAATTTAAATAATTACTGAAGTTTGGAGAAAAACTAAGTAAACCTAATAAATTTGAAAGTCTTCTAAATATGACTGGAACTGTTGTATTTGTACCAGATATTAAATTGAATAATTTCGAAACATTCATTTAATAAGAGGAGCCAATTTATTAAAAAATTAAAAATCTTTTTAAAGTAATAACAAATCATTTATCAGCTGTATCTAAACTTATTAAAGATATTGAAGATTCATTGTAAACTTTAACTACTTTATGTTAAAAATATGAAATTAATTAAGATTATGATCCTTTATAAGAAATGGCCAAAAAATTAGAAGAATAAATAACAAAGTGCAGTTCAAATTAATACAATAGAATGTATAATATGTTTCGATATTAAACTTAAAATTTTGCTTAAATAAAAAATATTCTAAAGTAAAGAAATGAATTATAGACTGAATTTTCTAATAGAAAAGATTTTAAGGTAGAATAAATAAACGAACTCTATAGTTCAAGAGAAAATGCGAAATAGATTGATGAATTAGAATTTCCAGCAAAAGTTAAATAATTTATAATAATTAGAGTTCTAAGCTTTTGGCTTATCAATTAGGTTATATGAATTGGAGAACTATTGAGGAAATTAAGACTTTCTTAGAGCATCGATAAATTGGATTTAAAACATTTTCATAAGAAGTGTTAAATTGAATATATTTAATGTTAAATAATAATTTTATTTATTTTTATTTTAAGAACTCATCAATTATTATTAATTGAACTCATGAGTTAAATATCATAACAAAGTATCAACTAAAATCAAAAGAAATGGACTAGTTCCAAATTAATGATATAAATTAAGACATGATTTTTTTAAAGAAAATATATTATAAATTACAGCAAAAATCTAATTTTCATATAGAGCAAATGATTTCTTTTCATATCTTTAAAAAGAAAGATTAAATAAATTCATCAAATGTAATTTTTTCAACTTATGATAACTTAATGATTATGGGGTTATTAATATATATCCTAATTAACTATTTTTAAATATTGATATTACATTATTATAAATATACAATCATCCCTTTCATAGATATAGAATTTATTATTTTATAAATATGTGTTAACCAATTCCTTCCAAAAATTCAATTCATTTTATATAAATATAATTTGATTATTTTTTAAGGAGAATTTTTGATAATATTTAGTATAATAAAACCTATGAATTATTTTTCTTAACAATAATTTTAAGGAACTCAAAGAAAATTTATTCGTCTATTTGTTAGTAGTGAATAAAAGAAGTTTATAGCAACAGTAAATGCATTTGAATAAGTAATCAAATTTTATTATTTAAGAACCTTTCAGAATAGATTGCTAATTCTTATGCATGTACATGTGAATAATTTTAATCAGAAGTATGCTCAAATAAATATTTTGTGACTAATATTAGATAAAATGGGTTTAGTGTAATTATTCCTAAGGAATTAAATATTGGTTAGGTTTTAAATGATTAAACTTATATCACATGTAAGATTATTAGTAAGGCTAAAAATAAAAATAAGAAAACTAATAATTGTAAAAGAAATGATAAGTAAACAAAAAAGACTTTAAAAGAATAATAGAAAATAGAACCTTAACTTCCTGATATTTCTCCTCCTAAAATTTTGACTTCAAAAAATATACCTTTATAAGAAAATAAAGATGAAAAAATTTAAAGAAATTCAAAAAAGAAAAACAAAAAAAATAAAAGAAAAAATTAATATTTACAATCTTTATAGATAATTGATGGAAAATAAAATAATTAAATTGGGTAAAATTTATATAATGATTAACTTTAATCTATTTCATAAACAAAATAATAATTCTAAAGCCAGAATCTAAATACATAAGTTTAATAAACTGAAAATATTAAATTACAAGAATTAATAGACAATGTTTATTGTGATGCGTTGATATCATAAAATATTAATAAATAAGCTCAAAATGATAAAACAGATTATAAAAAATAAGAAAATCAATATTAAAATACTTATATACATGAGACAATATAAAATTTGATGAAAAATGATTAAAATTTAATTTAGGAGTAAAACAATTAAGAAAAATCATCAGTTAATAATTAATAAAACAATTTATAAATTACAAATAAAGTTGTTAAATTTACTGAAAGTAATCTAATATTAAAGGAAACATTAGATTATTTTTAAGATTCTTTAAATAATTCATAAGAAATGCCTAAAGTTCCTAATTCTTCATTTCAAACTAATATTGAGCATTCAACTAGATAAAACAAGTAAAAATAAAATTAAAATAATCTAAAGTAATAATAAAATGATAAATTATCATAGAATAATAGATAGAATTATATTTTTAATCAAAGTAATTACAATATTCATAAAAATAATCGTAGACAAAATAAAAAGAAAGGTAAAAACGATATCTGAATATCATAAAAATAATAATCTCATATTTAAGAAATAGATAAATAATAAGTGTTCTAATTTATAATTAGATTTTTAGGTTAATTCATTTCTTCTTTAGTTCTGATAATCTTTTATCTTCCTTTAATTTTCTATCCATCTCTTCATATTTAAGAAGAGCCTATGATTCAAATCTAATAGCTCTTTATTCTAAAATATCTATTCTAAATTGAATGTTAATATATTCATTATCATCAGGATCTGATTTCTTTTATTACATTTATTCTGCTTAATCTAATTTTGCTCTTTCTTCTTCAAGTTTTTTCTAAATAATAGCAGCTCTTGATAATAAACTATAAATAATAGATATTTAAAATGATACCGTTCTTTTAATTTAGTCATGACATCTTTTTGTATTTCTAAAGCCTCATTGTATGATAGAACTTCCTTTCCTTATAGTTTTCTTTTTTCTAAATATGGATATAAGTAATCTTTATCTGCTTATTCTCTTTACTTTTCCTCTTCTGATTTCTTTAATGTTTCCTTATATCTTTCTCTGGCTTTATCATGAAGAGTTTTTTCCAATTTTAAATCTTAAGATCGAAGTTATTCTTCATCTTTTTTGACTTCATCCTCTTAATTTTTTATATGTGTTAAACATTCCTTCTCTTAATAAAGATATTATTTATAATTTACCTAAATTAGCTATACGTTAATTCTCTTAAGATACCAAAGCATCTTCATTTTTTTTCTCAATCCCAGGTTCAGTTAACTTACCTAAACTATGCATATTCTCCCTTTTTAACTCTTTGAATTATGGATTGATTTCTCCTTTATTCATATGATAATAAACTCTAAAATCAAAGATATTAATACTTAATAATATTTTTTTGTAAATCAATAACAACCTTTTATGGTTATTCACTAGCTGGATATAATTCACTTAATTCATATTTTTAAGTCATTTTAGTAATTTTGACTTATCCCATATATCTATCATTATGTGTTAAATCTCTTTATTCAAATTTCTTATCTTTAGGATCAAATCTAACAGATCTATAAATAACACGATCGTCTCTATTTTCATATTCTTCTATAGTTTTTTCTCCTATTTTTTCAATTCTTTTGATTAATCCATCATGATTTCTAGTAGGATAATAAACAATGATTCTCAATTATCTGTCGATTGTAGTAATAGTCTTACGTTATGGTTTATTACCAGGTTCATATTCCTCAATAGTCTTAAATTCATATGGAAATCTTCTTTTCAATACTAATTTGTCAGATCTATGTTTATAAAAGTATCTTATTTCTTGTACTTTCAATCTTTTATAATCTTGATATATAGTAAATCTTTAAACTAAACCATCCTTTTCTTATGAATATGGAGCAAAAGAGTCTATTTTACATTTCTTATAAAAGACTGTTGATTCTCCTAATGGAGTTCCTTTAAGAAAAGCATCTTTATCAATAAAAATTTTAGGTGGCCATGAAGGAGGCATATCTAAAATTTATGCTATATCTTATAATTGTTATTATTGTGGATCCACTTGCTTTTATTATTGATTATGATCTTCACCATAATTATAATCTTCATCATCTTATTATGCTTATTCTACCATTGTATCTAACATAACATATTCCCAATTCATAGAAGTATCCATTTCATCAAAATTTAAATCAGCCACCTTTGATTCAAGTTTCATATTAATCCAAAAGTTTCTATTATTGAAAACTGCATCAACAGTCAAAAAAGGACTTTCATTAATCTAATAGATTCTTCCTGTAGAAGGTTCAATAAAGAGATTTCTTTCTACACCTCTTTTACCTGCTTTCAAAAGAATCCAACAATGAATTCTTCTACCAGCATAAAAATCTTATCCCATTTAATCAGGTTCATCATCATCAATAGTTAAAGCTATTCTTCTTTATTCTTTTTCAAATTCTTCTTTTTACTTTTGTATTTTTGTATCATATTTAGATATTATTTCTTCTTTTGGAAGAATAGCAAATTCATTATCTTTAAGTTCATCATTATCTTTATCTTTATCTTCATCATCTTCTTTTATTCCATTATTTATGAATATATAATCAAGATCTGATTCATTTTTACTTGTAATAGACCTAGGAGCTGTTCCATAAACACAATAAGCATCATAACCAACTCCTATTAAAACACTACAAAGTAATATAGATAAATCAAAACAATCTCCTTTTTACCATCTAGCTACATTTGTTGGACTTGGTATAACCTTAGGAAATTAATCAGGAGGATCCAATTATTCATAAGCAATAAAAAAACTCATATATCTTGCACACTATTCGTAATTATAAAGCTCCAAATATCCAATTTTTTAAGGACGAATTGTTGTACAGATAAATTTGTACAAATCACATTCATTTTTAGGATAAAGGAACAGATTTCTCTTTTCATCATAATGTAATTGAAACTGTTTTTGAAATTATTAAACATGCTCTAGTACTAACTCTTCCTTTGGTGAGTTTTCTATACATTCATCATCTAATATTTACCTTTATAGCAAAACGGAATAGTAATATCTTTACCCTCCTTAAAATCTTTGCATCTTTACAATTTTTCATTCACAACTGTTGCATTACCAGATTTCAATATTGCAAGTATATTATTTTATTATTATTATGCCTATTTCTATATTTCAACATCACTAACAGCAGAGGAAGTCATTATTTGATATTTTTTTAAAATAATTTATTTCAAATATTTTTTGCTCTATACAAATAATTTTATTTTTTTTTATTTTCAAAGTTTAAATAAAATATTATAAAATTGAGTTAATAATGGATGATAATATAGAAATTAAATTCATTTTTTACTTCCTTAATAATTTACAATAACAGTAATTTCTTTTTAAAAAGTGAATATATTTCTGTATCTCATTATTTATATATCTTTAAATAATAATATTATATTTATATTAAATTGATATCATTCAATCATTTTACAATTCAATATACTTCATGAATACTATTTAATCTATATTTTATATTTCTAATCAGATAAATAAAATATATATATATAAAAAAATCTATTATTTTATTGTCTAAGAATAACACTTCTAGCATTTTAGATTATCTTTATTCAAATTGATTATTTTAATATTATCTTTAATTAATTTTTCATTTTCCGTATTACATTGCTAAATTTTATTGGCCTGGAGGAAAGTATTTAATTAAATCTTCCTTGTTTAAGTCATCAAAAAATGGATGTTTCATAGCTTCTTTTACATATATTCTCTTAGCTGGATCAAGGGCAATCATTTTAGTAACTAGGTCTAATCCATTCTAATATTATTTATTTATTTATATACTTTTTCAAAATTTTTGAAAAATTATTCTGGAGGAGTAGGTCTGAATCTTGGGAATGTAGGCTTGAAATCTGGAAGATCTGCAATGTTTGGCCAATCTTATACTGTAGGTGTTCCATGATATTGAAATATCTTAAAGATTTAATCAATTTCACTATCTCCACAAAATAATCCATGTTTTTCAACCATTTCGGTAAGAATGCATCCAACAGACCAAATATCAACTCCTAATGAGTATTATTTTTAAGATAATAATATTTCTGGTGCACGATACCATAGAGTTTCCACTTCATGTGTTAAAGTTTTTATAGGCACTCCAAAAGCTCTGGCCAATCCGAAATCCGCCAATTTTATGATTCCTGTTGATTTATCAATTAGGATATTTTAAGGTTTGAGATCTCTGTGTATTATACGTCTAGAATGACAATAATTGAGACCATTTAATATTTGAAATGTAAAATGCTATAATTGATTTGATAAATACTTTGATTTGGCTTAATGTTAAGTTGTGTTTGTTCTAATCAAGGAATTTTTTGAAATCCATCTCAACATACTCAAACACTAAATAGAGTTTCTTCTCATTAGGTTGGTAAATGACTTCTTTAAGACCCACTATGTTTGGATGCGGTTAGAGTTCTTTTAAAATTGAAATCTCTCTCATTGCTGTTGAAGGGACTCCTTCATCTTCATTTTCCAATTTGATTTTCTTCAATGCTACTAATTCTTTGGTCACTGAATCACGTGCTTTGTAAACAACTCCATATGTTCCTAAACACAATTAAAATTAAAAGTTACCTTCTCCAATCTTTTCTAATTTCTCATATCTCTCTAACTATCTATTGTTATTGCCCATTTTGTCTGCTCCTCTCAAATCATAATAGTTTTATGCTTAGATAGGAATACATTCATACTTAACATAGCGTAAAATAAATTCAAAAATTAAAATATTAACTGTTATTTAAATCAATCTTAATAGAATGTAGGTCTCTAATCATTTAATAATAATTTTGTATAAAAATCATTTTCTGTTTGGCTTGCCTCATCTCTCAGTAATTTTAATTTCTCTTAAACAATCTTTACTTATCTTTTATTATGTATTTAAGGGTAAACAAAGAAATTATTTATTGGTTGTTCTTTTAATTATCCTAATTCATCCAATAAACTATCTAAGAATCCTTGATTATTCAATTAATCTTAAAATTTATTGAAAATTGATACAATATTTGATTCTATTGAACAACATCAAATAATGCATTAACTGCTTCAACAAAAGCAAAATGTGATGGATTAAATAAATTTTTATATTAACCTTGTAAAATTCACTTATCCTTACTCAAATATATATAAGTAGGTATTTTCTATGATTCTCTAAATTATTGCAAATAAATATTTAAGTTTAAAATTTAATTAGGATCAATCCATCATAAACTCCAAAAAAGAAAACGATATATTCTACTGATGTTTACTATTTTTAATTAATATTATAGAATTTCTTTAAGATTATTTATTTCTAATTATATGTTTCTCTCACTAGACCAAAAATACCAATCAAAATAATCTTTACATCCTGGGATAAAAGAAGCCTCCTTTTTTAAAATTCACCCTAATTTTGCATATACATGTGCTACCATGCATTCGTATATTAGTTATCCTGCAGTACTTTTCACTAATACATTTTAAATTATTGAATCTTTCATCAATTTATTATTTTATATTAATTTGATGAGACATTGAGAAGAATTATTAAAAAAAATTCTGTAAAAGTTTTCATAATCGATAGCATAACTAATAAACTTAGGTCTCATAATTTTATTTATTATGACTAAAATTAATATTCTATAATCATGCCATTCTTATTGAAATAGTATTAGTGATCCTGTAATGAAAAGAATCAATATTTTCTTCAATAAATAGTTTATATATTCCAACATCAACTATTTATTTATTCATAAATTTTGTATAAGATATTTTGAATATATTGATTAATATTTCAGTTGTTGAACATTATTCTCTTTATATACTGTCTTTTTCAAATATATCCAAATAAATTTTAAATAAATAATTATCTTTCATAAATTCTCCATTTATTTTTATATTATTTTTTGGAAATATTAATCTAAGTCAAATTATTCATAATCAAATGAATTAAAATCAGGAAATTTCTTCACTCTATAATCAATTATTTCCTTAGTAAATTTTTCTCAATTCTTTTAATTCAATCTACATCTGATATTAATTTCTAATTTTTTTTAGCAAATTGATGAATAAATTTTCTTTCAATTTTTTGTTCTTAAAAATGATTGATCACAATTATTAAGAAGTATTTTAAATAAATTGATTGATGAATATATAATTTGCTTTGTTTAATTCATCTGAAGTTGTTATTATAAAATATTAAATATAAAAAATAATAAAAAATGAATTATAAACCGAACCTGAAGATGGATAGTACTTCTGGCTCGTTTAAAAAATAGGAGCAGACCTCGTCTCTCGAAAGCACTTAAAAATCAGAATATAATGGAATCAGTATAAAACCTAATTTTGCTTGTAAACCAGTTTTCAACTTTCGCAACCGTTCTCCTCAACCTTAAGAATAGGAACCTTAGTTAACAAATACAAATGATGATTTCTTTAAAACAGGAACATTTTAAGAAAAAATCCCACTTAAAGATAGAATCTAACGATCAGATGAAAAGAAAAATACTGCTCCTGTTGCCAAAGGGCTTTATCTACCTGGTTAAGAAGAGTTATTTAGAAAATAAATATAGGTAGAGAAGAAAGAGATACAATAAACTTAAGAGAAAAAGGATGCTTAATCTGGGAAGACAATTTAAGTAGAATAATATATGCCATCTATTGGATAATAATCTAATAAAAGAGAGGCTGCCTTATTAGGTTCTAAAAATCCCTTAGAAAATAAAATAGCAGTTGCAAATCAAGAAAGAGTATTATAATAACTTGGTATTTTATGTAATAATACATATAGAGGAAGCAGAACCTATTGAAGAACTTGAATTAATACTTTGTCCAGAAGGATGTGGTAGATAGTTTAAATAAGATGCTTTGGAGAAACATGTTAAAGTTTGTAAGCAAGTCTTCCAATAGAAAAGACAAGAATTTAATTCAAAATAAGCAAGAGTTGTTACGAATGATTAATAAAAACTTTAGCGTTAAGGATAAATCAAAGAAAAATAATTAATAAAGAAATAAGGAAAAGCTCCTTTGGATCCTAATTGGAAAAAGCAATCAGAAGAATTACGTAATTTAATAAAAGAATCTAAACAATAATAATGATTATTTTATGATTAATAATACAATCAAATCCCTTTTTCATTCATCCTAGTCAATACCTTCATCTAATTAATTTCATAATAGATGTGTATGTGAAATATGTAAATGTGGTAAACATCATTGTCCAATTCATTCTGATAATATGCATGGAGACTTTTAGTCTACATTCCAGTACAATTCATTTTATTATATTAGACATGACTACCAACCTTGGAAATAATGCAGATAGAAACCCTTTAATTATGAAAGATAACCATAAAAGCATGCATATGATCCATCTACTTTGCTTAGTTAATATCAAAGTGAATATATTAAGAGACCACTTCCTGATAAAGAATTTAGAGAATTACCTTAAATTCCATCATCGTAGCCTTTCACTAGTAAATCTGATTATTAGACCAACTATTAAAAGTATTTCATAACATCTATCAAGATTTCCTTTGCCTTTAAAACCCCCAGTTACAAAAAAACAGTATAAATCTGCCCCAAGGTAAGTTCCTTGGAATACAACCTACGGAGTAGATTTTATTCCAAAGCCAATTGGAGAGAAAGAATAATTTAAACCAACTTAAAAGGATGGTCCAAATTGTAACATTGATTTTGGTTCAAGTACTTACAGGACTGCATATGTTCCTATGCCTACTTGCAAACAAGATAAATACAGAGATCCTCATTAAAGAAATTTATATGGAGATCCTGGATAAACAGGAAATTCAACATATCAAATGGATTATATAGAGAAATAAAACAATAATGATATGTGTCCAGTCTTTGCTTTACCTAAGAGACCTGTAAAATTACCTGGAGGAAAATCACATCTTAATTATGATGCTGTAAACAATAGATGGGTTTGATTATTAATTATTATGTCAACAAATTTTAGTTATTCTAAAACTTTCAACATCTATATTGAATATCTAATTTAATTGATATATTTTAGATAAAAATATAAATGCTAGATTATAAATATAATAGTGTAAATATAATCATAATATCATTTCTTTTTTGTAGCCATACTCATTAACTTTTCTTCCATATCCTTTTATCTTGAGATTAATTTATCTTCTAATTCTTATTTTGCTAAATCAAGTTTTCGTTGTATTGCTTCCATTATTATTGGATCCAATAATTCTTCATCTGTTGGTTCAGGTAGAGCTTGTTAATCTTCCTAATCAACAGTTTGAATTTATCCATCATCTTCAGGCTTTTATTCAAATGGACGATAAATCAAAGCTTCATCTAGTGGTAATTGAGACAAAGGCATTTCAATCTAAAGATCCATATGAAGTTCTAATGTTCTTTAATCTGATTTGAAAGCTTGATCAATTAAATCTAAATGATTTAGATAAATTTAGAAATGATCTTTAATTAATAATATATGCATAGATCTAAAATATCCTACTTCTGCATGTACCTTCAATAAATTATTAAATAATTCTGCATCTGTAACTTTATTCTTTTGTTGGATAGTGTTATTATACCTCATCTCTTGACTAAATTTATTGTTATTATTTGTGAATGATAAAAATAAAATGTTTAACAATACTTATACACTTTCATCATTTAAGCCTTTTAATGATTTTGAAAATATAAGATCATTAATTAATACATCAGCTGTTATTTATAAATCGACATCTCGTAGTTAATCTTTGCAATTACTAATTTCAGCTAGCTTATAATATTTATATTTTGTAATTACTTTATGTAAATATTCAATTGTTGCCTTATGGGATTCTGAGTGTGGATATACATAATCAATATAATATTTTGTAATAGGTAAAGGCAAACTAATGTTAAAGACATTGAATTACTTTGTACTATTTAGTTTAGTAATTTTATATTTCTCTAATTCTTTTCTCTGTCTTTCCTCTTCTTCTTCTCTTAATCTTTATTCTTCTGCTAATTTAGCAGCTTCTTCTTCTTTTTATTTTTGAGTCTTTGGAGGCATTTTATATAAATTATAAAAAAGTCTAATAACAATTTCATATTTTTATGTTTAATATCATACTTGAATATCATATAATAGTTTATTCAGTATCAATATTTTTATAATGTGAAAAAACTGAATTTTAAAAAGATATTGTCTAAAAAAAGGTTTAGGGACCTCATAAAATGTAATTAATAATTGTCAATTTAGTATGAAATTAAATAAACTTCATGTATGATGCAATACTTTTAAAGAGGAACTTTGTTTTCTAATTCTTTTCAATAATGGATTTTTTTAGAATAAGGTATTATAATCTGTTTCTGTTTCCTTCAAAATATTACCCTAAGAAGACAGGGCTTTTGAAGTTAGAACATCAATTATTTAATTGTTTGATCTTTCATATTGCAATTGTTTTATCATAGGGTTGGTTTTCATTTTAAGACCCAAGTTTTTCAAGTATCGAATTATACTTTTCTCTGTTATGTGTGATTCTCTTCCTTAATACTCATTAATTGTAATTTCAATAGAGTTATCAGAAAATTCATCATCATATTCATCCATTCTAATTATTATTGAATTTATTCATAGGAATCAATAACATTTTAAGTATTAATTTTGTCATTTAAAATTCTAATTAAACTGCTCCAAAATTTATATATATCTTAATTGCATCTTACTTCATTAATGATAAAATTAATTTGTTGCTTTTTAATTTGTAGTTTTTTGAATAAAAAAAAACAATAATTTAACTAAAATAATCTAATATATCTTTTATGTTCTATTATTTCTAGTTATTGTAGAAAATAAATTAATATATATTTCATTATAATATACATTATAATAAAATAATGAGAACTCGAAAAGTTTAAGATGGTTAAATTGGTTTTGAGATAAGAGGTTAGAGTAATCCAAAATTTAAAAGAAAAGGTTAATTTGATAATTCAGATGACATTTAATTAGATATTCCAAATGGAGATTTGATTGAAGGAAAAACTTATTATAAAACTAATTGTGCATCATGTCATCATTTAGGTATATATAATTACAAATTTTAAGATGTGGATACTAATTTAGGACCTTCATTAAGAACTGTCTACTTAAGGAGATTCAGAAAAAACTGGTCTATGGAATATGGAGGAGGAGATTTAAATTCTTGTTAAAAATTCATTTGGAATAGAAAAAAATTATGGGAATTTCTATAAAATCCTGAAAAAATGTTTTTAGATACAGCAATGTAATTAGATGGAATCAATGATCCTTTTATACTTGCTAGTGTTATTGATTATCTTTAATATTTAAGAGTATTTACTACAGATAACAAAAAAATAGTTATCTGATATATATTATAATTTTTGTTAAGATAATTATATTAAGTAGGTTTATAATTATTGAACTAAATGAATTTATCTGTTATTCAATTTTTTATAAAAACCATTATATTTGATTAATATAGAATTCATCTTACAACTTATATTGTATTTTGATGTAATTTATGTAATTAAGATCTAAGCTTTGAAATTTCAGAATGATAAATAACTAATTAAATAGCATATAAGTAGATATCTTAAGATTTGATTACATATTTCAATAATCTTTTTAGATAGATTTAATATAAAAGCATGTTGAATAATCACATCTTATTATTGTCTATACAATTTATTATAAAAACATTGATAGTTGATAATCAATTGGAAGATTATCTAAGAAATGAATGATTTCAAACTTAATTAACTGATTATCATCTTATTAAGGTGAAGACTATGATTATTATATAAGGATTAACAAAATAATTTCATCATTTAGATAAGGATTGCAACACGAAATATGAATATTTATCAATATGTTTTCTTATCTGCCTTTGTACCAATCAAATGATAAAGGATAATCATCACAACAATTCCAATTCCTAATGTATTACACAACAGCATAATCTCATATTCCATAGCTTTAATTATATATATATATTATATAATCAATCAGAAATAAAATATTCATATATTTTACTATTTAATCTAGAAATTTTAAAATCCATAAAATTATGATTATCTAATAAGATAGTAAGGGATTCATTTATATTCAAACTAAATTTAGTAATTCATCTAAATATTATATATATAAATTATATATATTAAATATCTTTTCAACAGATATTTGTCACAGGTCCATCTATAAAATATCTAATTAAAAATGCTCTTCCATCGTTTGAATATAATGCATAAGGGATTTTTCTACTCATAAGACCAACAATATTATCTGGTTATAAAGAGATTTTTTATTCATCAATTTCAATGGTAACAGGATTAATAATGTAAAGAAAAGTAAACTTTTTACCTGTATCAGCCTTTTTATCAAAGGAAGAATCAAAATGCTTTTTATGTTTTTTTTCTTTTCCACCAAAATAACTTATTTAATATGATTCACTTATCTATACTAATAAATCTTTATTTTTGGAATTCAATTCATAAGGTAAAGCACTTAGAATGTGAGATATGAAATATAGATTTTTAAATGAATCCTTATCCATTTAACTTAAGGTTAACCAAAATGTCTTATCATCTCTTTAAAGTTCAGTTTAAACTTCTTCAAATCTACCATCTCTTTCTAGAAAATCTAATTCTTTATATAATGCATGACAATAATCATTATTATTAATAAATTTATTCATAATACTCCATCCAGTATTCATTAAATCATACATAAAATCAGCAGATAAGAAATTTAATTCAATTTTAGGATATTTATTAATCCAAGTTTATGGAGTAGCAACTAACATTTATTATTTTGAATCTATATATTATTCCTTTTACATTTCTAATCGAATTTCTTTTAAAAAATAAAATTATAATCCTTCTCTTAATACTTCATTCAAAATATAAACTTCAGTTTCTACATCCCATTATAAATTATCCTTTTTTCCAGATTTTTTAATACTATTAAATCTCTATTATAAATAATCTAAAATCTATGGTAATTTAGTTCGAATATTATTTTTAGACAATTATTCAAATACAATTTATTCTAAAGCACTTCTTTCTTTTTCAGGTATATAGACTTTAGCAAAAAAAGATCCACAACAATTTCTATCATCATCTTTATGTTCATGATGACAATCTTTATGTTATTAAGTATAATAATAAGTATTTTTCTCTTTGAATCTATCTGCTTACTTTTAGTCTAATGAAAAGATTAACTTATAAGCATTTAAAAAGTATTTTCTAAATATTTTAACTAATAATATTTCTTAGTCACTCATAATCTAAAATAATAATATAAGAATATTAATTATCAATCAAGAATATGAATTAGTTAATGTTTCCATTTTTCTTTCTTCTTTATCCAACATTATCAAACTTTAATTAAAACGTGGTTTTTCTGTTTTTGTGAATCTTCCTTATTCTCTTTATCTATATTCAGCAAGATTCTTTCTTACAGGATATCTATATATATATATCAATAGGATTACCTCACTTAATTCCATTATTTATTCTGTTTCTTTTCTCTATATGCAGCAACTTTTAAAGCTCTTTCTTCTTTACTTAATTTTTATCCAGGATTTAATAATTACTATTCGATGAGAAAGTCATCCATATATCTTTTCTATCTTTCTTCTTCAACTCTTATTTCTGTTTTGAGAACTTACTAGGCTTCTGTCATTAATTATTCATAATTGGCTGGCATTCCAAAAGGTATGAAATGTAATTTCTATTAAATTAGATTATTTTGTATTTGTTAAAGATCATTAAAAGGTTTAGTTAAAATATCTGAAACATCTAATTCTTCTCCTAATTTGAGATATTTTTAAATCCCCATAACTAATTATGGTTATTTTGGAATAGATCTCTCTGTTTGTAAAATTTGAGGAATAGCTATCTTAACATATGGTTAAAATGAACTTGAAGGATTTCCACCACTTAAATTCAATCTATTAAAGCTTTCATTTAATTTCTCTCCAGTTGATTCACTTCCCTCACTTCCAATACTTAACTTTCTTCTTTTATTGATTACTTCATTATTCCCGTTAGTAGTATTGTATAATTTGAAACCTAAACTCATATTAATTTAATTTATTTAAGGCTGTATTCACTCTAATATTTTATTATTTATTAAGATAATAAAATCATTTTATAATAAATCAAATTCTCTTATTTAAGTTACAATTCAATACAATTAATCCTATTATTCACTTTTCATTTAAAGAACTTTTAATAAACTAATATATTACTTTAGTTTTTAATTCAGCATTAACATTCTTTATATGTTATTATAAAATATATTAATTTTATTTTTAAATGTGTTACAATTTAATAATAATCACTATTCGATGTTATTATACTGGCCCAACTTACATTTTGTAAAAGAATCAGTGTCACTTTTGTAGATAACATAATCAGCATCTACAAAATAAATCAAAAAGTGTTTTAATGAACTAGAAAAGAGCAAATCTGTATAATCTTATTAGAGTTAAATCAACTCATTTGAATCAGAGAATTATTTAACCTTATAAAGAGGAGTAATTATTGTCCCTTAAGTGTTTTAATATGGAATAGCTACAGCATTTCCCTTTAAAGTTATATAACCTATTGGAACCCAATCTCTGTATCTATTTAATACTGATTCTAAAATTGCCTTATTTGATTAATATAAAATCTAATAACTATCTTCCAAGTCTGTTGATATAACAAACTCAGTTGAATTTTCACTTGCTTTCAATATAGCTGCACTCTTGAATTTAGTTGTTGCTCTAAGAGTAGTGATTGTGTATCTTAAAAGAATTGATCCTTAACTATAAGGAACTAAATTATTAGTTCTGTAAATTGAATCTACCCAAAGAACACCTTCATTTCTATCTGTAATCAATATTCTGTATACTAACTAAGAGTCCATATAATATGATTTGATATCAAAATCTGTTAAATAAAGATTAGTTCTATTAAAGTAGGATTTATCAAAAATATAAGATGTTGTTCTTAAATACCATGATCCAGTTTGTACTACTATTGTATAGAATAAAACTCTATCATTTTATAACATTATAAAAGTATTTCCAACTACTACAGCCTTGTCAAATAATTAAATTCCAAGAGGAATATATACTATGCTTCCAAATGGATTACAATTCAATCCATAACATTAATATCCTTATAAGTATGCCTCAGATCCATTCTATTGACAACCAACAAAAAAGATATTTCCTAATGGATAACCAATTACTCTATTACAAGAATAACCAGTAGTTTTAGGACCAAGTGTAGAGTTGAGAACATTGAGATCTGAGTCCAATAATAACAGTTGCTTTGTTGTTTGTATTACATCAATAGACCCATTTCCAAATTTTGCTTTGTCAACCAGATCCTCATAAGTATCAATATCGAACTCTTATTCAAATAAGCAATTCACACTATTAGTTTAGGACAAAGCTAAGGGGAGAAGAGCATAAAAAATTAATGACATCATTATTAAAAATAATATGATAACATTTTATTAATTTTCCATATATTCACAATAGTATATATATTTGAAATTCTGAAATTTTATATATATATATGTAAGTAGGACAAATACGATATCAAATTTATTATTATGCTTTAAATTAATGATCCCCAAACTTTTCTTTTTAATTTTTATAAATTTTATTGAAAATTCCTGATTTTTAAATTGTTTAATGAGGTTAAAGGAAATCTAAAATTCTTAAAAAAATCAAATCTAATATTAAGAGAATCATTAAATATAATCCATATATTTATCCATTGCTATAACAATCTTTAAATCTTTTTAATATTGTTTAATTTTATGTTTATAGTATCTTATAATAAACTTTTTCAGTTCTCTCTGCCACCTATTCCCAACTATACATTTTCTTAATAAGTTCATGTTATTAATAGACTTAAAAGTTTTTAGCTATTGGAATTGCTTATACTAATTTCTGACAAATATCTTCAGGATTTGGATCTGCATACAATACCATATTTTTAGGTAATACTTCACTAATACCTCCAACATTAGTTGAAACAACACATAATCCACATGAAGCAGCTTCAACTATTGCTATACAAAATGCTTCTGTTAATGATGTATTTAAGAATATATGACCTCTATTTAGTACATCTTTCACCTAATGACCTGGAACACTTCCTAACTATTTTTATCAATAATATATACTAATTCTGTTTAATTTTATAAGTTATATCTTTAAATGGTCTCTTCAAGAATTCTTTTCTTTGGTCCATCTCCACCTATTATAAAATATACCTCTGGATGCTATTTACAAATTATTTATAAGACATCCACTAATAAATCTACTCCTTTTCTGAATGTCATTCTACATATAACAACAATATTAATTGTATTAAGAGGATATCTTTTTTAAGGATTTGGGGTGAATCTACTACAATCAACTGCATTTGGAATTACAGAAATATTTCTAGGATCTAAAGATGCTCTCATTGATAAATTCTCTTTGCTTACATGAGATACAGATATTGAATGATCAATTTCACACAAAATGTATTTTAGAATTTTATTAACATGAAAAGATGATGCATCATTGAATGCAAACAAAGAATGATCAGTAAATACTGTTTTGAATCCCATAGATTTAGCATGAAGTAATAATTCTCCACCTAAATATGATGTAGCTGCATGAGAATGTACAACATGTATTTCTTCTCTTAATAATATTTATCTAAATATTGGGAGGGTACCAACATAAGTAAATAAAACAACTGTTTAAATGGCAGGAATGAAAGGACAATAATAAACTTTTAATCCATTAGTCATATATCGAACTCCAGACCTTCCTTAATATCTATGTGTTATTACTATAACTTTGTGCCCTCTTTCAATTAAACCTAAATATACTTAAATCTTCAATACATAATCCAAGTTAAAAGATATGCATTTCTACACCGCCTAAACAAGGATAGAAAAAATCACATATTAAGCAAATGTTTACCATTCAATTAAGTAATAATTACTTATCAACTTTATTATTTTACTTTAATTAAAATTACCTATTATTTTCTGATAAAAGTAATTTAAAAACAACATCTAAATCCTATCTTATTTAAAAGATAAATAATTAATCATTACAGACTTATAATCTTTATCTAAATTTTAACTCTTTACAAGAATATTAAATAAAATAACTTATATTCATATTGCTCTAACTAATTAATTACTAATACAACTAAACTACTAATTAATTGATGGATTCTTATATTTTTCACTTTCTTAAGTAGGTTTTCAAACCAAAAAGAAATTTATTAACTATTTTATTGGAATAGATAGATTTATATTTTAATTTATTTGATTAATAAATATTATAAATTATATAACTTATAATAAAATTTATTCAATGGATTTTTAAGTGATTTCATAACATTTAAGTTGATGTTATGACTAATATTATTATTGAATAGATTATTTATTAATATCTTATAATTCTATAATAAACTATGAGTATAGGAATTCCTAAATATATTTGAGATATCAAATAATATAATCATTATCTTTTTTTAATCCATTCAATTATTTTGGGAATTATTTCATGTATTTCTTATTCCTCTATACAATCATGCCACATATTCTCATAATATATTAGTTCTTTATCTGTAGATGTACATTATTTCATTAGCTCTTGTCCAACTTCAGGATCAATTATTTAATCCATTCCTCCTGATATAATCAAGAAAGGCTTTTTATAACTTTGAAAAGTATTTGGTGCTTCCCTCATCATTTTAAGTAATACTCTAGCTGTACCTGGCAAAGTAGAATTCCAATTTATATATGGATCCTTCATATTATCTTCCAAAATCTGTGGGTTCTTAGATGCATTTGGAAATGATGCTGGAAATGGTGTCCAGGTAGGACTTAATAGACCTAAAAATAAAGCAATTTATTTTAAATAAGGTCTATTATAATAGTTGTCCATTAAAGCTGGTGTAATTAAAATAGTTCCATCTACAAGATCATTCATTCCTAATAGGTAGGATGTTAATCCACCTAATGATTATCCTAAAGCAAACAATTTTACTCCAGGATATAATTGTTTAATTAATTAAATAAATCTAGTACAATCATCTATATGTTATTCTTTTGATTGTAACCATCCTCTAAGACCTTCACTCTTGCCAAATCCTCTAAAGTCAAAGCCTACACAAAGGCTGTTAGCTTGTTTACTCAGTGCTTATGCTATATGAGCATATAATCCAAGATGTTCATTTAATCCATGAAAAAAGAAAGTCACAGATTATGGAGTTGAATTTGATTTTGTGAAACATCTATAGGTGTGTAACTTAATAGTTGTATTTCTTTGAAGACAAGTAAATTAAATTACACCTTCTTCATCCCATTTACTATTTCCTAAAGGACAAGGCATTCGATATTTCTCTTCAGAAACAGCCTATTATATTCTTTAATTCTTAATATCTTTTTCTGATTTCTTAAACCAATACATACAAATTTTAATAATATAATTATACTAATTAGGTTTAAATAAATATCTAATTAAGAATTCAAGGCTATCTTAAATTTTTTGCAAGAAGGTCTATTTATAGTGGATCAATCATTAAACTATTTGGGAGTAAAAATGGATTGTTCATAAGTTCAAAGGGATATTTGGGTACCATCTTTAATATCATTTATTTTTATTGAGGAATTTCAAGGGGTTGAGTTTAATTTGATTGATCTTTATTTACTTAATGAATAAGATTAGCAAATTAATTTCCATTCAATTAGATATCATCGATTTGATCATCAATTTATTACTAACAGATTCTTAGTTCTTTTTGTTTTAGTTTAATTTATTTAATGAGACTAAGTTAATAAATACTGAATACAAAGAGAAATTTTTCTTATGATCAATGACTCTTCTGACAATGGCATATAAATTTAAAAACACTTTATCATCACAGATTCCTGTAGCATCTCTAAGATTTTTCATATAATCTGTTAATTCTTCTTCATCATGTATGGTATCTATAATTAGTTATATTAGAAACGATTACATGTTTTTGAGAAATAGCTTTACCCAAATAATAATGTACCATAGTTTCCATCTAAAAGGAGTCTTGCAATATTTTAGAAACAATATCTAATATATTATTTACGCTTAGTTCCTGTAGCATTAAACTTGAGTTTGTATGATTCTGTAAGCAGTTATTACAATTCATTAAATTCTTATTCCTTTATCTTGAGTTACTCAAACAATTAAGTCTATTCAACAATCATATCGTAGATACTAGAATTTTGTTCTAAAACAGAATGAATACTCTGAAAAGTTGATTCTGTTGATTTTCTTAGTTGTTCGATTGCCTAATTTAAGTCTTCAACCTTCTTTTCTAATAGGTTTATATATAACTTTTTTCTTTATCTGGAATTTCTTGCACTTTCTCTATTTCTTATCATCTTTTGATCTTCATTCTCTAACTATTTACTAGATGAACTTGGCTCCTTTTATATTTTTTTGACAATCTTTTCATTCTCCCCCTCAACACTAAGTAGAGAATGTATTTTTTTGATATAAGCATTCTTCACATGTCCCTTAATGTTCTGTAATCCAAGAGCATCATCTTTAATTGATGCCTAGGAATCAATCTAAACCATGGATCTGTCTTCAAGTTTAACATCTTGTTTTGATAAACTATAAGGCAAAAATGATGGCATTAGAAATCTTCCCCTCACTTAATCTTCATCAAATTGTTCAGGTAAATGGTATTCTTGATATTCATTTAACTTTTGCATCACTACTTATGATAATAATAATTGATTAATGACGTCTGAAAAGACTTATATAGTATAATTGTTATAAAATTATGTATTATTTTACATAAGAACAGTTAAATATTATTTTCCAATAAAATAATCTTACAAATAGCCATAACCTTTTTCTAAATTTATTATATAAATTCTTTAATTATTAATATATCAAAATTCAAACATAGTTATAATTAATAATAAGTAATATATATAATATTAAATATTAATCATTCTATTGATTCTTAATCTACTTAATCATATGTTATATATTCAGAATATAGATCTGCCACTGTTTATTCAGCTTCAATGAAATCAAATTCATCTGCTCCTTCAGATGCAAAATAATGAAAATAAGCCTTTCTTTACCATTATTGTAAAAATTTTAAACATAATTATCTACAATAAATTCCAAAATAATTGTGATGACCAATATATAAAACAGTATCACCCAATTCATAATGTTAAACTTTACAATTAATATTACAAAAACTATCTTTAACCCAAGCTGTTTTATTTTAACTTTTTGATGTAGAATCTTATATTTCATAATACAAATCATTTGTTCTACTTATAGTTGCTTACATTCTATAAAAGTTTTTGGCATCTTCTTAGAATGTAAAATTCTAATTTCTAGGCTCCATTAATTTATAAATCTAATCACTTAAGATCTTATCTCTATTTATAACACTAAACGCATTTGATAAAAAATGCATCCTTGGAAATGAAATTAAATTAACAGCTAATTTTCGTAAATCTCCATTTTAATAACCAGAAAATCTCATTGAACAATTATTTTATAATATTGTTTCAGCAATTATATCATGACAATTTTATAAACTTTAATATTTATATTATTCTTAAACTCTCTTACTTAAAGAATTGTAATCATAAATCATAGTATAATTACAATTAAATATCAATTAATTAAGTGAAAGTATTGTATTATAAATTTCAATTGCTGAGCAACATAATAAATTTGGAAATTATGATGTAGAACTACAAAATAATTACTGATCTAAAGATTATATAGCCTACATTGATATTCCACTAAATTTATCAGATAGTGAATGAATAATATTGAAACCAAATAAATTATCTGAGTTCTCATGTATTTATCTTAACTTATCTTCAAATTCTTATTAATATACTTGACCAAAAATATTTTTTCCATGATAATAAGTACCATTTAAATAAACATTTTTACCTATTATATAATTAGGATCTATAAACTCTTAATCTTATATTGACATTATTTAATCCAAAGCTGTTAAATTTATATTCAATCTTACATTGTTATTCATCTAAAAACACTCCTCTAAAACTTCTATATTTCTCATGTTCCTCAAAACAAGTTGATATTCTCTCATAAAATTATTCATTATTTTCTCTATTGTTCATTTTTTATTGTGATAAATGATGATCTTTTATTAGTTTTTCTAAATATTTCATACAAATCTCATTTGAATTAAACCCTGCATTTATCTAAATTAATTCACTCATTAATTCTAATATATTTATATATTAGTACTAATATTCAATATGTTAATTTATATTCATTTTTATAAATTATTTCTAAATTAAATAAAGTTCTTCAATTTTTTTAAGTGGAATATTTTATTAAGAAAGTAATCACAATTTCTAAAATTTCTAAACAATAAAAAAGATAATTAATAAATGAATAATTTTCATTTTCCTTAAACAGTATTAAATAATTTCAATTTCACAAGTAGCTAACATGAAAAAGTAATTCATTTTTTGTTTCTTATAATGATTATATAATTTTCATTAAAATACATATCTCTAATGATTTATACTATGATATAATATATTATTGGTTTTTCTACTTAATTATTTAATATGGAGAAAGGTTACATAATTAATACCTAGATTAATATCTGAATAATTTGAATTGTATTTAAATAAATGAATATCTCTAAACCTATTTACTTTATTTGTATAATTAAGAGAATAAAAAATAAAATTTACAATTGAATTTAATTATAGGTTATATTCTATAGTATTATAAATAGGATTATTTATTTAGATGAGCATCAATCTTTATAATTAATTTATTTTTGAAATTAAAGATATTAATTTAATTACTTAATGTTGTTGATAATTTAATAGTTAGTTTTATTAATTGATTATAAATTAAGTAAGGATGAATAAACTATCTCAGCAAGAATTCCAATTTAAAGAAATACATAACATTAATATTTTTTAATAATGCATTGGCATAAATGCTATATATATTGATTAATAAGGGGGATATTTTTATGCAATAGGAGAATATCATAATTTGAAAATATATGATCTAAGAAAAAGATGTACAAAGTTAATTATTTTTTGTCGTTGTGAATGCATATTAGGATTAAGAATATGTGAAGATATTAGTACAATTATAACATGTTGGGAACCTGGATTACTTATAATACACAAAATTGAAACAAGAAATTGGAAAATTTTGAAAAGATAATATATTGAATCATCAATCCACTTTACTGGAATTAGCAATATTAATCAATAATAAAATCATTTTGCATGTAACTAAATATGTTAAATTAGGCTCTAAATCTGATGGTTCTTTAACTATTTACCACAGCTACAAAGGAATCTTTAAATAATTCTAATAAATTTATGAGGCCAATAAGAAAGTATGGCTCAATATTATATTTATTGAATCTTCATTATTTTTTTCATATTCAGGTGCTAATTATTTAGAGTATTTCAAATTAAATCAAAATATGAATCGATATGAATTTATTAAAAAAATAGTAAATAAAATTCCTATTTATTCTATTTTCGGTTCATATGATAGAATTTTGATACTTGGATCAAATAGGAAATATATATAATATATATTGGATTAGGAAGAAGATGGTTTAAAGTAATTAGGAAAGTCTAAAGAATAAGGTTGTGTATTATCTCGAATTTAATTTATGGATGAAGGAAACTTATTTGTAGAATTAGGATTCTCAAAATAAATAAAATTATGGAAATTAGACAATTAAGAACTCAAGATTATATAATAAATTGAGTTTTAATCACGTATCAGTACTGCTAGTGTTTAAAAAAATAAAAATACTTTAATTGTTGGTTTTTTAGATGGAACTATAAAGATCTTTGTTTGAGAATTAAAACAAAATTTTAAAGTATTTTATAATAAATAAAATAAAGAATTCTTAATATATTAGTATTATAGAATTGAATTTTAAAGATAATCCTTTTAAAAAATATGTTTATTTCGAATGCTTTAATTTTTAATTATTATTCTTAAAATAATATATTTTATATCTTTTGAGCTGCAAGAATTATATATTATTTATAAAGTATCATTCAAAAGATATCATTATTATTAAAATTCAAACTAATACATTCTATTTTCTTTTTTTTAAACAATAAAATTGATATTAAATATATTGTCTAATTTTTAACCTTGCTATTATAATGGGCGATGATTCATTTGAAACAGAAATATGGATAATAGTATGCATTCTAGTGTTTCTTTTGGCAGCAATGATTGCTTTTTTAATTTTACAAAGATTTAGAAGAAAAAATAAAAGTAAAAAGCTTGAGGAAGAGATACATAAACTATAATAATATGTGAATTCTTGTGACAGAAAGCTTGATTGTCGAGGTGATAATATTAATACTTAACCTTAATTATAAAATTAATCAAGCTCATTTACAAAAACTCATCCAATAGATTAATAGGATTAAGAAGGTTAAACTAAAAAAAATGGGAAAATATATTATGATGATATGGATAAGTTAGAGAGAGAAATAATAAATTAATAATAATCATATTCTCCAAATAATAATGAAAAAGTAAACTAAGGAAATTAGAATGGATATAAGTTATCTGTTGGAATCAAAAAGAAAAATCTATAAATTCAGATTCCTTAAGATTGATATTTAGTAATCATATAAAGTTATTCTATTAATTTTCGATTTAGATTTATATTAGGATTCTTGGAATACAATATAATAGTTCAATAAAAAAAAATTATAATTTATGGACTTATTTTGACAACTCTGATTCCAATTAAGGGATATACAATATTCTATTATGTTTTTTGTGTTGATTATAGGTAATATCTAAAGAAGTATTTATTCATTTGCTTTCGATTCTATTTATTTATTCTAAATCTAGTAAGAATAATGTTGAGTAAATCTAATTGTTATGTACATATGGGAGAATGATGTGCATTAATTAATACTATTTTTAATTAAATAAATTTTGGAATTATATTTTGAAATCCATCCCTATTATCTTAAATCCTAAAGTATAAAAATAAATATATAAAAATTCAAGATTTAATTAACTGATTAATTATTCTGTCTATTCTAATTCTTTTATACCATTCATTTTTATATTTTCAGTATTGTTTTATTCATATATAATAAATTTTTATTCTAAGAATTATTTGTTCACATCATTTAACTTATCAAATAATTTATTCAATTTTTAGTTTCCAAGCTTAAATTTATTAAAGTAAAGCATTATCAATACTTTTGTTCTAAAAATTATTCTATAAAAAATATAACATAAAATGATTTGTTCTTAATCATTGTTTTAAATTAGTTTCATCTTTAACTTTATCTCTTATTTGATATCAAATTTTATTAAGTACTATAAAATATTCTAATTATTATAAATTCTATTGGATTAAATTTATTCTTCATATTTTAAAAAATAATGAATTGAAATTTTTAACTTGAGTTGTTAAACGTTCAAAACTTTTATAAGTTCATAAGAGATACAATTTTAATCTGCACAAAATATCTATATTTTTTTTTGTGAATTTTGAAATATTCATTAATATTTACTCTAAACACATCATTAAATTCAAAGTTCATTAATTATTTATTAAATTTGAAATTAACAGTCAATTATGTCTAAAAAGGTCAAACAATTAGCAGAAGTAATTGCTTTACAAGAAAAAACAATTGGAAAACTTTAAAAAATAATAGAAAACAAAAAATCTAAATAAATTGGAAGTAGAAAGAATCAAAGCATTAAATTAGATTAAAAATATTTAGTTGGGTATTTCAGCTGAATTTATTGTCAGTACAAATGCAAAACCTCCTAGACTTGATTTTAATGAAACTAATAGATCCTATAGATGCCGACCTTCAATTTCTCAGACCCATAATTAATTGAGTTAAATTTCAACAGACTATATTCAAGATATTTAATCTCTTCGAGGAAAAATTGAGGGACTCCAAAAAGAAAAATAGGATAGATCTCTATTCTTTCAAGATAAAGAAAATTGGAATAATAATAATAATAATTATTAAAAAATTGAGACTCTTGAAAAATAAATAAAAGACAGAGAATCTACTATAAATGTATTATAAGAATAGTTAGTTTAGGAAAAGTAACTTAGATAATAAGTATTTATATAATTATTATGTATTTTTAGACTTAATAAGATTTAAAATAATAAAGAACTATTTGGAATAAAATGTATTCTGAATTATCTAATGAAATAAAAACCTTAAAGACAGAACTAAGAGCATTTTCATCTTAACCTAAAAAACGATCAAATTAACTATTCTTTTCATGATAAATTTAATAACATTATAAATCATAAGTATTTATCCAAAATATTTGCTGCTAATTTATTAACTTAATGATTCTAATAGTAACACAAATCTTAAAGATGTTTCTTTCGAAGTAATAATTAATTCAAAAGAAATTGATTTAATTTTGAGTCTAACATAAAGTTTATTAAAAATAAAACTTCTTCTAAAAACATTTTTGAATCCAAAAGTTCAATATAATATTTAATAAGATTAATCTCTTCTAATAATTCAGCATTATATGAGTGTTAATGAATTAATATTAAAATTTCTAGTATTCTTTGTGAAGGGATTAATAATATTAAATCATGAATCACATGTTTATTTGAGATTATTGGACAAAGTTTTTCTGAATTTGCCATATCGTAAAATAAGTTTATAGCCAATTAACATGATCTTAAATCGTGTAATTTTGCTATAAAATAATCCAAAAAATAAGGGTGTTTATTAAACATTAGATAAATGAATTATTCATCAGCCATAATGTTACAAATTAGTTCAAGAGTATTGAGTTGGCTACCCATAAGATCAATAATAAAATCTTCATTTGATAATTCATTAATACTACTGTTAAAATAAATTGTACAAAATTTATGAACGCATTGTTGATTTGTGACTAAGTTTAGTAGTTAAAATTAGAGCATCCTCATCTTAAAAGCATATTTACTTCAATAGTGAAGCTGCTAATTTAATATATTTTACCTGATTTTTAAGTAAAAATTTACTTCTATATTGAGTGAAACTTAATGCAAAAAAAATAATGTTAGTTGTTATGCTTAAGTTGATTAATTCAATTTTTCATATTCTAACAACCACTTCAAAATTTATTGTGATTCATAAATATTTTAACTTCTATTTTCAATAAATTCTTTAAGATTAAAGATAACATCATCTTCATTTCTTGAAATTAAATAATTCATTAATGCTGCATTATCAGTTTAAATAACCTTCCTACTTTTAGAAAAAATCTCTTCATTTTTTTATCTTCTAATTGAAACTCTTAAATGTTCTCTTTTTAATGAAATACAATTTGATATTTCAAACATTTAGATTTGTGTCTATATTTTAATTATTTTATCGTATTATTATTTATAATTATAAATAGCTTAGTAAAATTTAGAACAATAATTATAACTTATATATTAGTCTGAAATTCATTGTATTTTAAATCCTTCTTTATACTTTCATAATGTTATAAACTTATTAAATTTTCATGAATTCACAATTTAATTATATTGATCTTAAATAGAAGTAAAAGAAGAATAATTGCTATATATATATATTTAATAAAGAATGATAATTGAATTTTCAAATATTTTGTGATTAGAATAATCTGTTGATTAAATCTTCTTAAAAAAATAATTAATTGATAAGTTGATAATAAAATTAAATAATGGACGCCACAGGTGACTTACCTCCATGGAAATTTATTTATTTAGAGGTTTCAATGTTGTTACCATCAGTTGTAACTTGTGTGCTATTTTGGAAATACGGGTATCCTATGATAGCTTTATTAACAATTTTACTATTCTGCTATCTAATTGTACCAGGATTGTTATTATAGTAATTTATTTAAAATTATCAATTAGTCTTGATAAGGTTTCTACTCATGTTACAAGATTATCATCTAGCTTTGCTAATATTGCTTTAGAAAAGAGCGAGTAAATAAAAAAGGGTATGATTTGGTTTGCTGTTTGTTTAACAATTTCCTTTTTGGCATTCTTCATTTCACTCAGTTATGTTCCCTTCTGGTCATTTCATAGAATCAATTTCTTTTATATGGCAAATACTGAAATTATAGTGGTAGAGATTATATATATGGTTAGATTTCAGTGTTAATGCTTTTTTTAGATCCATTTTTAGAAGAATTCTTTTGGAGAGTATTCTTATAGAGTGGTTTATCAGGAGGATTAACATACTCTAATCCTAAAGAATGGATTATCTGGATAGTTGCTATTCATTATGGATTATTATATGTATTCATTTTTGCAGTTGTTACAAGGTAATTTCATATAATATAATTATATAGTAAATTCATTTATGCCATATTTTGTGCTATACCATTCGTAATTTTCAGTAGAAAATTTTCATTTATTCGTGACTCTGGTGTATTAACAGCTATATTGGGACATACAGGATTTAATCTTGGATTTGTAATTGTATTAAATTTATGGTATTGGAATTAATGGGAAGTTCATGGATGGAAACCATTTAATTTTTGATAAATAATAAAAAGTTCATATTAAAGGATTATCAAATTCTAATAATATATTGATTTTAGACAATTTCTATTCTATTGTCTCTTCTTCTTCTTCTTCATCTGATTCATAATTCACTTAACTATCATTTATCCATGGAGCTGTAGAAACTATTTATGATTTAAGAATATTAAATGTTTCTAATAGTTGTGTATCAAATTTATTCCATTCAAATTGTTCATCAATTTTAATGTCCATTTCTGTAGCTATGCTTTGAAGAACTTTCATTATATTGTCATAATTTGGAATTTAATGATAAGGTAATTTTCTAATGTACCTATAAATATTAATATCGCATTACAAATATATTTAATTAAATTATTATGGCAATCCTTTAAATAATTGAGAATCTGTTATTTATTATTTAAGTCTTCCAGTCACTTCTACATTTTGGTAAGCTTCCCATGGTAATTCACCATGAAATAATTACACTAAAACATACAATAATGATTCAATATCATCTTTTGGAGATTATTCATGCCCTAAATGAGAAGATATAGATGCATATTTGATTGTGCCAACAAAATATTTGTCATTTCTAAATGGAATTTGTTAACCCTTGTTCATATAAAATTTACTGATGCCATAATCAATAATATAAATCTGTCCTTTATATTGTCCACCTATCATAATATTCTCTGGTTTCAGATCTCTATGTATGATTCTACGACCATGAATCTCCTTAAGAATCCCTATTGATTATAGGGCAATTTGTAAAATAGTTTTTAAAGATAATTTACCATGAGCTCGCTTTAAAACAGATAAATCACTTTCTAAATTTTCAAGAATAATAATATCTGCTCCGTTAAGCTAACCATAAAAATGAAATTTAGGCACTCCATTTATACCTTATAAGGATTTAAGAATTTTTTTCTCCTATTTCAGTGTTTGCCTTTTACCAATCTCTCTTTTAATCACAACTTTGGTTTTTTTTTAGATATGAAAGCCTTCAAACACTTAACCAAATGTTCCGCATGAAATCATTCTTCCAACTTAATATTCCGAGTTTATGTTCCTCATTATTAAAATGAAATAAAATGATCTAAGATTTGCAATAGCATCCCAAGGAGCCACTATTTGTGTATAATTTCTTCATCCACTTGATATAATCAAGACAAGAATGCAAAGTAAGTAATTATTATGAATTCTTCTAATAGGTCATGATGGTCAAACACACAAAAATTTAGTACCTAAATATGGTAGTATATCAAATGCAATTAAATAAATATATAAGGAAGAAGGAATAAAAGGATTTACCAAAGGAATATTTTGGTCATTATGTGCCAATAGTATTGCAAGAGTTCTATTTTTCGTATTGTAAATTACATCTCTAAGTATAGTTATGAAAGCAAAAAAGAAGAATGCAATTCCTATTTTGGACATGGTTCTAAAAAAGGAATACTTATTGCCTCTATATACGCTTCACTTCTTGCTTAATTAATAACCTAGCCCTTATGGGTTACTCTAACTAGATTGCAATTAAATGTTGGGAAAATGAATGTAAGAATATGATGTTTATTTTAAGGGTTTCGAAAATGTCAAATTTACTATTCAATAAATATATAATCAACATGGATTTTTAGGTTTTTATCGTGGTTTAAAAATGGCTTTATTTACTTCATGTCATGGAATGATTTAAATCAATTGTTATGAATGGACTCTATCTCTTTTAACTCAACTTGAATAATATAAAGATTTCAATTCGTTTATAGCTGGAGGATTTTCAAAGGGATTTGCAATCTTTTGCACTTATCCAATGACCACAATTAAAACTAGAATCATATAAAATTAATTTATAGGATCCGAAAATCCTAAATATAAATCTAACTTTGACATCGCCAATAAAATATTAGAACATGAAGGTTTTAGAGGGTTTTATAAAGGGATTACTGCCTCTATGCTTAAAGGAATGCCTTCTAAAGCTATTTATTTTTTCTTTTATGAACATTTTAAGGATATGCTTAATGTAGGAAGAACAAAAAACAATAATTGAATTTGAGTTCTATATATTTCTATTTAACAAAAGATCTAAATTACTATAAATTTTGATTTTCTACATTAATTTTGGAATTATAATGAATAATAAAATAATTATATATCACTTAATTGATCTTTATGATATCCAATCAACAATTTTAGGTATTATTTCAATGATTTCTTCCTCTTAAACACAATCATGCCACATATTTTCATAATGAATCATTTATTTATCTTGAGAAGGACTTTATTTCATAAGCTCATGTCCAACATCAGGATCTACAATTTAATCCATTCCTGCTGAAATCACTAAAAATGGTTTTTTATATTATGTGAAAGTTTATGGAAGAGATCTCATAGTAGACACAAGAACTCTACCTGTTCCTGGTAATACAGCTACCTAAACACAATAAGGATCTTTTAAATTATCTTCTAATATTTATGGATTTCTTGATCCTGTCACTATAACTGGTGGAAATGGATTCCAGGTTGGAAAACATGCACCAAAACACAATCCCAATTTTTTCATAAATGGTTGATTATAATAATTATCCAATATTGCAGGTGTAATCAATATAGTTCCTTCACATACATCATTTAATCCCATTAAATAAGATGCCATTCCACCCATAGACTAACCAAGAGTAAATAAAGGCAATCTTGGATACATAGTTCTAATTTGCATTATGAATCTTTAACAATCATTTAATAATTATTCTCTAGATTCCACCCATCCTCTTAATCCTTAACTTTTACCAAATCCTCTAAAATCAAATCCAACTACAACACTATTTGCCTTCTTACTTACAGCCTAAGCAATATGAGCATATAATCCAAGATGCTCATTAAGTCCATGAAAAAAAACAGTTACAGATTTTGACTCTGATAGTGTTGTTTTACATCTGTAAGTGTGAAGTTTAATTTATTAACCTTTTTAGACTCCATAAAATTCTAAGAAATCCTCTTCGTCCCATTTATTCCCTCCTAATGGACTTGGTTTTCTAAATTTTTCTTCTGGAACTGCTTGTTGAATTGCCTCATTTTTCCTATCCTTATCAGATTTTCTAAACATTTTTAATTATTTAAATATTTACAAAAATTTTACTAATAAATAGACGAATATTTATATTAGAATCAGATATGATCAGAAAAATATATGTATCTCTTATTAAACAAAACAATTAATATTTTTTAATTTTCTTATATTGAGATTTTAAATTATATCTATTAATAATCAAATACATTTATTTAAAATAAAATTGATAAGGAAATTGAGAAAATTAAAAAGAAATTACTTAATATATTGATATACCCAATAATTTAAATAACTTAACTATTTGAGTCCTATGCTTATCTCTTTGCAGGTATTATTTCAATTAAAATAATTAATAAATACCATAGACAAATGTTATCATATTAAAAAATTGTGAGAAATTAATTCGATATATATAGAATTTCTTATGATAATACTCTAAAATAGGTATTTACTTAGTTTAGTGAGTCTTCTATCTTCTATCTTAAATAAATTTATTATCATTTTAGAATAAAATGGAATATAAACCAAAAAATTGAAAATAAATTAGTGAAAACTTTTTTATTATCAATAATATTAAAATATTTCAACTAAGCATGTTAATAATGAATCATAAAATCATTATATTCTAGATACAACTATTTTAAGTTTTTAAGGTGACAATATCTTCGTTTAATAATTAACTTTTAAAATTAAAGAAAACTTAATTTAAATTATCATTTATTTTATACTTATATTATATAGGAAATAATCTTTATTTCTGTTGACTTTCTGTATTTTAAGATCTTCAAACTAATATCTTAGATTATAGAACAGCCTTACAAAATATCATTATATGTTAATTGAATAATGCCACAATTGATATTTTCCTGATTTCTGAATATATCTTATTAAATATAAAAAATGCTTTTTGGAATTATCTCTTTGATTTTGCATATTGAATCTTCTTATTAATGGTGTGGTATATTATTTGTTTAATGTAGTAACTAATTAGGAGAATGTTACATATTATACATCAAAAGGTGAATAGATTAGATGGAGAGCAGACTCATTAATATCAGGAAATGGGCTTGAATTCACTTTGATACCAAATTCAACTATTATGAGATATCATCCTGCCTTTGATTAGATTTCGGCTGAAGAAACTCATTTTGGAAGTACAATATATTCATTAGAATTATAGCTCTAATATAGACAGGTGCAATAAGAGCTTATGACATAGCAAGTTCAGGAGCCTGGACAAACTAATTTGCATTTTTAGAATTGGATGATAAAAAAAACATTTACGACATATATTATGCTGTAGGGTAATGAATTGGAATTAATCTATGTAGAAGCGCCTTATAAATGGATAAGACTCCTTAATTCTATTAAAAAGTTGTATTGACTAAGAGTAATGCTGTTATAGATTGTTTTGATATTGAATACATCAATCCTGACTTATGGATTGTAGATTGTGCTGAAAAGAATGACAATCCTCCTACATAGCCAATGAAAAATTTTATATATTTTGTGGAGAAAACAGATTCACCTGATGTTGTAGCTAATAAAAGACAAGAAGTAGCTAATCATAAATAATACAAATAAGTGAAAGGAAGAAAAATATAATATCATGTTTATTATAAAAAAGGAACAGCAGAAGAGAATGGAGTTGATCGTCCATAACCTCCTAGTCCTATTAGAATCTTACTTAGAGGTTAATAAGCCTTTAATTCTGAAACAGGTAATACAACAGTATTAGATAACGATTGCTCAATTGATTTATTAATTAGATTAGATAACGGAACTTTGAAAGACACTAGTGTTTTAGATAAAACAAAAATTAGTGAAGATACTAAACAAACTGTTAACTTCACTTTAATAGATTTCAAAGTATAGCCTAATGGAGATGTTTATATTTTGGATGCTGATTGGGGAATATATTTATATAAAGTGACAGAGGAAGGACAATGGGTTTATGTTAAAACAATCTAGACTCTTAATTAAAAAGCTTATGGATTTGATGTTGTTGAGATGTTGAATGAGGATGGCTATTATGAATTAGCTATAGCTGTTTTATATGAATCTAATTTGTTAATCACTGTAGCATCAGTTTAAAAGAATGGGTATAATTTGCCATTTAAAGCATCTTTTCCTGTTACAGTCTCATTCAGTGATAAATATGTGGTTGTAGTACATTAATAAAGATTATACCTTTATAATATATTTATGCCATTTTTACTTCATTCAGAAATTTTGATATCCTCTACTATTTTAGTAAATCCATATGCTCCTGATGTTATTGTTGTATCTAACACATTAACTAGAAGATATGAATTGAGTGATGGATATTTGGCATCAGAAAATTCAGTATAAATAGAAAAATCAACAATAACTTTATATGGAACTGATGGCACAAAAACATGCAGTTGTAAAATTAATTACTAAGTTTTACCTGTTGATGATACTAATATTTATGAATTAGGTCATGATCCTTTTCCTAACATGATAACATATCCAGCTGAACCATTTTTACTTTAAGATCTAGCATCTGGACCAAATCTTAAATATATCACTCCAGATGTTAGTTAGGACCATGTTGAAGTTTTAGTTCATTTTCTATGGGAATTAGAACTTAGGAATGTTACTTTTTTTGATGCTAAAGATGTTGCATATGCAGATATTTTAGTTGATCCTCATCATCATAATAATAACAAATATTATCTATTTTTATAACATAAAAATAAAACTGTTGTTATTTGGGATTGTTAATCATATAGTTTTAGAGATAATCATAGTAACTGTGAGAAATAAGATTAATTTGATTTACCTGTACAATTAAGTAGGACAAACTCATAATTTGATTGGAAAACATTTGAATAAGAAGTAGTGACATTCTAATTTTAAGTTAATGATTATGAAATTCTATTTTATAGTTCATATGATGGTGATCATTAAAAAATAGGGAATATTACTTATGAGGCTTCACCAGAATTTAAAATTACTTCATTCACAGCATTAAAATAGAATATTTATGTTGTTTAATATGCTTAAAAAGAAGTAGACGTTATATTTGCAGTTAATCCAACTCTAATTAAATATTCAATTTATTCCAATCTAATTGATGAATATGAAACAGGGTGTTCTTGGACTCCAAAAAGAGTATTTGGAAATTCATTTACTAATAGTGAATTTATATTTATTTTGACTGATGATTGTGTCATAATGGGTGAATTAAGAACTCATTTTGTGTTAATAACAGTTATTCCTATAGAAACTGATGCTGAAGTTGAAGTTGCAGTTGGTTAAAAGACCTTCTATATAATTTCCAAGGGAAAGAAAGATTCTATTAAAGAATACAACTATGAAAACTTAAACGATATTTATCCAATGAAATCTTTGCCTTTGTATGGAAGATTTGCTTTATAATCTCCACTTACAATAGATTACGTATTTGAAACAGGATTCCTATTTGTGAGAGCCTTGGATACTATTGAGAAAGAGACTGTAATTTTAATCTATGAATCTAATATCTTATATAGAAATTCTTTACATAAAGTATTAAAAACACATGAATTAATTCCTGATGGATAATTGTTAGAAACTGCTGCTTCTGGATAAGATTAAATGTTTGTTTATTTTAATGATTTGAAAACATAAAGAGTAGTTGTATTTTTAAAAGATTCATTAATGGAATTAATACCTACTAAATTAAGTGATGCTTATACAACATCTTTAAAAACAGCTGTAAGTATTTCTAATACATTATCAAATTCTAGTACAAGTGTTATATATCCAGTTAAATTTATTAACACTCAATCTATTGTTAGAATTAATACTACTCTATTGGCCAAAACAACTTTTCATTTTGATTCTACTTCAAATACTTAATATTTGAATTTCACTAATGATGGACTATATTTTGGTCATGTTACAAAATTTAAGATCATTTGTAAATAATGTGATGGTAAACTTATAAGTATAATCAATCCCCTTACTCAAAGTAGTGAAGGAACTTAATTTGCTAATTATGAAATAATTACTGGTGCTACATTTAAAGATACTGTTGTTTATTTGGCAGATCCTAAATCATTAATATTCTAAAATAGTGATGATGATACTGTTAAATTTGTACATAAAATAGAACCTGGAACTCATTGCACTTAATTATCAACTTACAATGAGTATGTATTTGTAACTTGTATTAACAATGCTGATACATTAGTATATATTGCTAATTGTGATATTTCAAAATCAACATGTACACCTATTTAATCTGATTCTCCAAATATAGGAAAGTTTAATATAGTTTCTAAAATTTTATATTCTAATTCATACCTATACATTTTGGATGCAGATCCAGATCATCCTCTTTCTAATAAAGGAGTTCTTCATGTTTATTAATTAACTTTAGATTAAAAATGGAGTGTTAAGAATGAAAAAGTATTTGATGAAAAATACTTCAGTTTACCATCTATTAATGATTACTATATCACTGATTTTGATGTTGTTTAATTTTAATAAGGAAATACATTTTATTAAAAAATTATGATTTAAACAGCTATAGGTTCTAATTATTTTGTATAAATGTACAATGATGGTGGTTTATTAAAAGATAATCATAAGTAAATTTATAATCTAGCTTAATTTTTGAACAAAGATTATGCAATCAAAGATAATACTAATTTCTTCTAAATAAGAACATATAAAAGTGTTACAAATTCAAATACATTAGATGTAACTGTGATTGTTACAACTAATAATGTTGCTTAATATGCTATAACATTTTCATTTGATATTAGTGATCCTCTTAATAAGGGTTCACCAATTAAGGATACAATTGTTCCATTTTTATTGAATCAATATGGAACTATGCAAACATTGAATAAATTGGTTATAGGATTAAAACATGCTGCTGTTCCATACTATAATTCATCTCATCTAATGATAAGCATGTATTAATTACCAGAACTAACAGGCTTAGGTGCTGATACAAAAGCTAAAATGTTAACAATCACTGGAGCAGAAATTGTTAAGCATATTGCTTCTAATACTTAATTTGCTCTCGTTATTTAAAAACCTTCTAATTAAATTGAAGTAATTTATTTGTTATATATCTATAGCCCTCATGTTATACAAACATAGAAGAAGATAGCAAAACTAATAATTATGTAGTCAAGAAATATACCATACATGATGTGCCTAAGATTAAAATAGTTTCAGGAGATAAGGTTCTATCTTAAATTGTAGAATTATAAATTGAAAATGATTACAGTTCTGCATTAGGAGCTTTTGAAATAATTAATAACAATACTCCTCCTCCTCCTCCTGATGATGATAATAGTGGAAGGTATTCTTTAATTATTTCATTTTAGTTCCCTGCTCTGGCTTTGGATATTATTGGGAATTATAGGTGGTATTGCTATATTAGGTGGAGCCTTTTTTGTTTATATAAAGTTCTTTAAGAAGACTACAAATGTATCTTCAAGTGCAAAAGTATCATTAATGAACTAGTAGTGATATATTAAATATATTCATCTAGTTATTTAATTTAAATTTTTATGCATTCCATTTATATTATTTTAATATTAAATTTATTGATAAATTCAGAATTTATAGATCATTATTAAGATATTAAGATAACGTGATATACTGTTTTTTCTATTCTTTTTGACTTATAATTTAGTTTAATTATATTGTATAAATTTATAATCTTGTAAAATATAGAAATTATGGTAATTAATCTTAATAATTAATAATGAAACTATTTATAAAAGAAATATTTATAAATATGAATATTAAAGTTGTCTTTGAAAACAAAATACATTTGCTTCCCTCCTCACTCAATAACTTTAATTAAATCAAAGAAAATATCAAATGTCTTTATCCAAAATTAAGGAAAGATTTTGAGATTTACACTTAAGTTCTTCCAAGTTTTTATTTTAAAGTAAATTAGAATAAACTCCATTTAAAATCAATAATGAAGACCATTTTAACTAGTTAAAATAATAATATGGACATTTAAAATTCAAATTCATTATAAAAAATTCCTTATAAGACTATTTAGAATAAGAAGAAATTCAAGCACTAAATTAGAGTATCATAACCCAGTACAATAATGGGGATAGTAAATATTTTAATAATTTTAGAATAATTACAGGATATACATTAGAATTTTGATGATATAAATACAAAATCTAATTAATAGATTTAATAACAATCCAATATTGAAAAGTTGATCATTGAATTAGTAGACTAAAGGTTAGAATTCTTTGGTTTGATAAAATAAGATATATAACCTATTTTTAAAATGAAAATTGAACATAGTCCATCTACAGTATTTGTAATACCAGGAAAATAATTTTTGTGGAGTGTTTGTTTAAGAAATACTAGCAATGTGAAATGGTTGAAAGAAGATGTGTATTTAAAGTGCATTGAAGGTTAATTTTTACACTAAAAACTGTTTGTATCAATATTAAATAAATTAGTTTAACATTGATATTCCAATAAATGAACTTTGCACATTAGGTACTAAATTGATAGCTCCTAAAAGATTAGATGATTCTCCTTAAATATTTCAAGTAATTATATAAAGATATAGTTTTAGTTATTTCATTAATAATAACATTTTGGAAAACCAATTATTTTTAAATTATAGCTTACAGAAAGTTTATAAAAGAAATAATAAGCCTCTGTATTAAAACTTGAAATCTAATTATAAAAAATAAAATTACGTAAAGCGAAAGAATTTTTTTAAAGCTTAAGTGGATATCAAATTAGGTAAAAAGTAATTTTACTATGGCATCATAAACACCTTGATTGAGATATTTATAAAAGAATATTCTTATTATGTTACATCATTTAAGTAAATAAAGTTTAAGTATGTTTAAGAAAATTAGGATTCTTAAATGGCAGCACCTTGTTATTGGTTTTAATTTATATTAAAATTATTGTATTTTACGTCATTCTATCCATTCTATGAATATATTTTTATTAGATATAAAATGAGATTTATAGAATGTTTGAGTTTTTATTTAATTAATTAAGATTTCTTGACGAGATGATGAAATTTTTGATGTTGCTGAATATATTAGTATTTACTTCAATAGCTGCTGTTTGTGGTATATATATATTGTAATTGATTAGATACTATTCAATAGTAATACAATGTATATGCTACTGTAAATGAAACTTAGGAATGGGATATGCGAAAGTACTTTTTTACAGGAGATAATCTAAAATTTAAAATTACAGAGGATTGTCCTTATTTTGAGACAATTGATCCTTTTGCTGAAATAGGAGATTCTATAAGTCATAGAGATCGTAATAATAATAATTGATATTTAGCTTCAATTGGAATTATCAGAAGTCTAAAAGCTTACAGATCATTTGAAAATGGAGCATGGTTGAATGACTTTATTTTCTTAGAGTAAAATAAGTCAGATGTTGATGTATTTTATTCTTATGGGTATATTTCTTAAATTATTTAATCATAGTGATCCATAAAAAATGGATAGAGTTCCTGCATTTAGTGGTTAAATTAATGCCAGAAATTAAACAAAGAATTTCGTATGTTTTGATTTAGATTTCTTGACTAATACTAAGATAATAGTAGATTGCTATTAATAAGATTTGGATGATTAGAAAAAAGGCTATACAAATGGATTTATAGTAGTAGATATTGCTAGTCCAGATCAATATGCACTATTTCCAAATGAACATCCTTAAGGATATAATTACAATTATACAGAATTTCGAAGAATTTTTTTCCACAATTATACTTATTCAAATCGTGATAGATAAGCTTTATTATTTAGAGGAGAACCTGCATGGGCTACTGAGCATGCAGATTTAGTGTAAAATAAATTAGATGATGATTGTGAATTGGAAGTTTATAGATTTGATAATAAATTTCAATTATCAAATCCAGCTCCTGTAGCTGTATTGACTAAAAAAGTATTGGCAAATTTATTAGGAACTTCTGAAGAAACATAAAAATTTTATTTAATTGATTTCTAATTAGAACCTAATGGAGATATATATGTATTAGATGCATTTAATGGTGTTTACGTTTTGTATTTCGAATCAGCCAATCTAGAATGGAAACTTAGGACTCATATAAAACCACCATATCTAACACCATGTTATGGATTTGATTTTAATTATTTATAAGGTGAGGAAGGAAATGTTACCAACCATTTAGTTTTAGTATTTGAAAATTCAGTTAATTTTTATGAAAATAATTTATAAAAGTTTTCAATTAAGACTCCAAATGTTACTTCATACAAAAATTTATAGGTGTAAATGAGTTAATAATATTTGGTTTTGAGGATTGATACATACCTTTATATTTATCATGCAAGTACAGGATCTAAACTTTATACATTTACATAAAACTTGTTTGATTAAGTAATAATCAATCCTTATGAACCAGATTTGGTAGGAGTAAATGAGAATTCTGCTCATAGATTCTTAATTAGTAATGGTTTACTTCGTTTAAAGTATTTAGATAGTACTAATGATGGATTAAAACCTTATACATTAAAAGCCATTTCTTTAGATAATTAGTCTTAACAATGTTAAGTTCTTCTTAATGTATAAGTTTTGAAATCTAATGACACAACTATTAGATAATAAAGTAATCATCCTCTTCCAGCAACTTTAACAATACCATCTCCTCCTATTGCCATTGATTTAATAGCATCTGGGCCAAATCTATAATATATGTCTTTAGATACAATTGATAACTCAAGAGGCAATAACAAAGTAATAATAACAATTAAATCTGCATGGAATTTATAATTAAATGGTATTACTTTACCAGATGCTAAAGATGTTGAATATTCAGATGTATTGGTTAATGAAAATTCAGGAGTATTTTATTTATTACTCTAAATTCCATCTAAAGAGATATTTGTTTATAAATGCGTACATAAATTAACTAATCATGAATAAGCTGATTGCAAGAATTATGATAAGTTTTAATTAGATCATTTAATAGATAAAACTAAACACTCATTTTAATGGTGGATCTATACTCTATATATTACATATATGTATTAAGATACTGATTATACAATATAAATATATGCAAGTGCTGGTGGAAATGTTTAACATGTTGGTACAATAGAAGTAGATAATACTTTACCAGATAATAAAATTGATTCAGTAACATTTTTAGAAGATGAAATCTATGTAGTTTAATCTAAATTAAAAAAAGTGTAAATATATTCTAAATATATGCCTTTCTAATTGATCTATGAAATAACTGATAGTAAATTAGCATAATTTAATGTAAAAGGTAATTTTACTCCATTAAGAGTATTTGCAAATAAAAAAGCTAAATCCTCTTTAATTTTTATTTAATCTGCAACTACATTATTTATTGGAACATTTTCAAATGATAAAATTTCATCCTTTATATTATAAAAAGAAATTTCTATTCTTCCTGGAGCTTAAGTTGAAGTTGCCATAGGACCAGAAAACTTTTTCATAGTTTAAAAATAAGATGATTTAGATCTTATTGAAGAATACAATTATAAACATCTCTAAAGAATATATAGAACAAAAGTCTTGCCTTTATATAATTATAAATTGTAAAAACCTTTAACTGTAGACTATTCATCTTAAACAGGTTGGCTATTTTTAAGAGCAAGTGATTCAAAATAAACTGTAATCTTGATTTATGAACCTGGAGTTGTCTCTCATATTTGTCTACATAAAGTATTAGAAACTAAGGCATTAGATTTAGATGGTAAGACATTTGATATGGCTGTTGATGGAAGCAAATAAATGTTTGCATACTTTAACAATAATACAATCCATAGATTTGTAAGTATATTGGCTGATGCTGAATTGTATGCAACTCCAATTTTGGATTCAACACAATTTGTTACAGATACTATTGCAGGAGTTGAAATTACTAATTTCCCAGGAAATTCTCCATATGTATTTTAAACTGGTATGAAATTACTTAATTCTCAAAGTACTGTGACTATTAAATAATCATAATTTGATAACAAATAAAAAGTGTTTAAATTTGTGAAACAACAAGCTGAATAGGTCATTGATATGGGAACTGATTGGTATTTAGGATAAGTTACAAGTTTCCATGTGATATGTTAAAAATGTGGACCAAATTTAACTATTAGACCTAATATTTAAATGGTGGCAGATGGAACTGATATGAAATATGATATTTCTGATGGAGTTGCATTTGGATCTATTGGATAAGTATATTAAACTAGAAATTCTTTGATATTTTAAGATAAAAAAGGCAAATTTTTATCAAGATTCGATATGAAATTGTCTACAGAAAATTGTGAATTAATTACTGTATCAGATGATTAAAATTTTATATTCTCAAGTTGGCATAACACTAAAAATGAGGTTGGTATCTTTGTTAGTATTTGCTAATAATAATCATGTCAATAATTTAGATAAGGAAGTTAAGTCATTGGTGGTATTCAAAAAATCTCTAAAATTTAAATGGCAGATAAAAAGAATATCATTATTTTAAATACAGATCCTGAAAATTTTAGTTCTATTGATAATATGATAGTTGTTGCAACATTTACTTCTGATGAAAAGAATTTTGCTATTTCAAATAAATATCTTATCAATGATTAATATGTTGGAAGTAAATTTTTGTAAATTGGTGATTTTGATATTGCAAAATATACTATCAATGGTATGACTTATAATACTATCGTTTTTACAGATATTAATAATGGTCTATACTTTTCTCATTTTACATATGATAATGGAGCTTTTTCAAAAACTACTTCTGAATAGTTTAAACTCCAATCTATTTAGGATAATTAATTCTATATAAATGAAGACACTAAGTTTTATTAAGTAAGAGTAATTTCAACTTAAGTTTCTGGAACTACTCTTTAACTTAATATTTTAGTAACAACAAGCAATACTGCCCATTATGTTATTGCTTTTGATTTAGATGCATCAAAACCATCAACTTCTATTTCTATTATTAAAACAAATACAAAATTATTATATATTTTAACTCCATATGGAACATGGCGAGCTATAGATAAACTTGCTTATGTTGATGGACATGTTGCTATTCCTTATACTGATGAAACTAATGTTGTTATTGGAATTTATGACCTTCCTTCTGATAGACCATCTACTGTTAAATCAATTAAATTTAATCATTTTATTGGTGCAAATTACTAAAAAGTTTTACCTATTGATTTTGCTTTATTATTAATAAAAGATTCTGGAGCTAGTTATGTAATTTATATTTTTTATATTCTAGCCTAATGTATATGTAAACATAAATTATGATTCCAAATCTGAAGAATATTTAATTGAAAAGTATGAATTAAGAGCAGATCCATAATTAGTTTTAAAAAATTCAACAAATTTAGATGATGAAGTTCCAATTACGCTTTAACTCTTAAATGATTTTACTGAAACTATAGGATAAGCTTATTTATCTATAAATGGATCTCCTATCCCTCCTTAACCTGATGATAAATCAAGGTAAAACTTATTTTATTATTATAAAGCTCTAATTGGTGGTGGATAACATTAATCGTAATTTTTGGTGTAGCTTTACTTGGAGTTGGTGGGTATTTTGCCTATTAAAAGTTCTTAAATAAAAGAGTCGACCCACTCATTGGATGATTTAAACTCTTAAAAATTGAATTATGGAATTAAATAATAAATTAAAAATATATTCAATTCTAGATCATATAAAAATAATTCATATATCATCAAATATTCAGTTTTCTAAAATCTATTTAAATAGAAAATTAATAGAAATAAACAATTTTCTAATTAATTACTCCCTAAATATGGTTTCTTATTAAAACTTAAAATATTGGTTTAATTTATAGATTCCCAGAAAAATTAAGACTAAAAGAGCTAAATAGGCCCTTAATTTAAAATGATCAAATTATATATATTGTCATTTCTTATCAGGCAATTTTTTTAATCCAGTAATTATTTTTTCTAGATCTCCAGAAACTTTACTTTTTATATCTGCTTTTAATTAAGATTTAATTTCCAGATGTGTTTCTTTTGTTTATTCTCTTTTTAATTAATCTTACTATTTAGTTTCAAGTAGTCTCTACTCTAAATTTTCTACTTATTTTATAGTTCAGAGCAGTCTTATTCTAATTACTTTATCCTTAATCTAAATTCAGCCTACATATTTTGTATATTTATACTTTTTTTTTCTTTTTCAGATAAAAACTTTCTCATTCCAAATGCAATACCTGAAGCATACAAAGTTTAATATGTCTATATGACCATTTAAACTTCATTGCTTACAGTCACAAGCAACATTCCTCTTTCTGCACAATTTATTGTAATTTATCATATTCATTCATCAAAACATTATGAATATAACTCCTCCCTAATTGGACATAAACCAGTCTCTCTTGCAAGTCTTTACGATAACCATTTATCTAATTTATCTTATAGTTCTAGCACATCTTATTTAATAGAAGGTGAAGGAGAAACACATTAAATTTGTAATTAATTTTTCTGATGATTAAATTCTCTGGGAAGTAGAATTGCATTCAAAATGTCTTCAGTATTATTAGGGGGTGATTATTTGACTTATTTTTTTTAACTGTTTGGTATGAGAATTGGATTACTATATTTAACAAGACTTGGAGCTGGTATGTCATTCATTATTTATAATAATAATCAAATTAATCAATTACTTCTCGATTGGAATTCATCTAAAATATTGAAATAATAATCTAATATTCAATAATATTCCAATATCTAACTAAATTCTTATTTATAAAAAGTAGTTAGCACTTGAAACACAAATTGGTTTTGCTTATTTAATCAAGTTTTGTAGATCATAGCTTTTAAATTAATTGATATTTAGTAGAAATAAAAAATAATAAATAAGAGATTTAAACTTCATTTATACAAATTTGTTTTATATGAAATTAAAATGATCCTTTTCCAATAAAAATTAATATATTGTTATAAGACTTTTGTATATTCACATTGAGAATTATGAAGAGAATAATCATATTTACCAAAATATTATCATTTTTATTCAAATTTGATTTGTTCATATATGACTTTGGTTGGCTACAATATTATGTCTTTGATAATTAATAATAATATTGAAGTTTTTCATTCTTAATCTGTTTTCACAAAGTTTAAAATGCAAATCTACAGTAAGCTTTTTGATAAATACAAATAAATATATGCTATTCAAACTAATGAACTTATTTTTTTCTTTTTTTATTATGAATTTGACCATTTAGCAATTTTTTCTTTGTTAATTCACTGAGGAACAATTTGTGGTATAAAATTTGGATAATTCATATGTATTTAATGGCTTTTTTAATCTTTGATTATCATTTATTCAAGATGGAACACGTAAATTCGAAAGTACGAGAATGAAATAATCCCCTTTGAAATGGCATAATATCTTTTGTAAATCTAAATATCAAATCTGTGTTTTATTCTTAGAGATATATTTAAATATCTGAAATATGAGTTTTCCTAACTAAGATTATCTAGCAATGCTCAAAGCTAAGCCTCAACTGTACCCTCAAATGTAGCAAACTCCATAGACACAAATGATTTACCCAAATCCCTAATTTATGTATGTAACAAAATCATTTCCATCATATTCTTATACCTTCTATACTTTATTCTCTATTCTATTATGAATATTTAGGCAACCTTATATGAACTGTGTACCCTAATACTTTATGATGTAACAATTACAACAAATGCAGTAAATGTAATAAATTCCAACCATGGCATCTATGGGTCCTTTGGGCATGCCATTATTGCCTTCCTAACCTCATATGCAACCTCTTCCATAAATGGTTATGCCTTTTCCAATTTAACCTCCTATCCCAGCTTAAACAAAAACTGATTAGAACTTGCCTGTATAGGTAAAGGGCACCAAAGTGAAGCTAAACCTCAAAATGATAAAGGACATACCATAAGAAGAAGACAGTGTACTGGATTATGACGAAATCAAAAAGCAAAGTGGAGATCGCCAATTTATCAATTTAAAGAGAAAACGTAGACTTCTAGATTAGTAAGATGCGCCCTTAATGTAAACACGTAGACGTAGCGAACAGTCATAATGTAAATATATGGCTAATCATTTAGATTTAGAAATAAGAGAAATGTTGAATGTAGATGACAAAGACATGACACTTATAATGGAGGCTTATCCTGATACAAAATCCTTGCTCCAAGAATTAAAGAATGGCAATTTAAAGTAAGAAATAGAGGATCTATTACTCAAATGAATTTGACTATAATTTTGTTCATTTCTAAACTTAATTCCAGTTACTCTATATTTTATTACTATCTAATTATTAGCACTTTCTCTTTAGCACTCCTAATTTCAATATTTAGTCTTATAAATACTATTTCTTTTGATAATATAGTATATTCTCTTCATAGATTCAAAGAATGTGAGATCTAGAAATCAAAAAAATCAACAATTCATTACAATACAACTTTATTAAACTCATTAAACATTTTCATTATGAATCTTAATTAACCAATTAACCATATTTACTAAAGAAATTTGTTATATTCTAGAACTTTATTTTTATTGCTAATAATACGGAACTCTTTTAAATAAAATTGAAATTTATAATAAGAATCATAATTAAATGAAATTAAATCTCAGTAATCTCATTTTGTTAAATTTATGAAAGGACTTGTTAATTTCAATTCCAATGTCAATAAATTCTATTCAGTTTTATTTCCATCTCAAATTCTACTCTTTATCAATATATTTAAATTAATAAGCTTGTATATTTAAATATTGTTACAAATGTTTCCATTTCATTTTAAACTATGGGAAATATCTAATTAAATGAAGTTTTCTAACAAAATTATCATTTCATTTTATAAATAAATAGCCATTATTATTACACTTAAGTATTAATACTAAGTATTTGTTCTCAAATTTAATGAAGTTGAATAATTTAAATAAAAAGGATACTTATTTTCTATCTATTATTTTATCTTCTATATAGTAATAAACACAATATTTTTATTCTGATTTGAATTTTTTTGTAATGGTTTTCTTCATTTATTTGTGGAAAGCTAACTATTTTAATAATAAATTAAGCATAAATAAATTATGAAATAATAAACTCTTAATCCAGATCCTAGAAAGAAATAAATCTTGTTAGATATGATTAATAAAGGAAGTATTTCTGAATTGAAACCAGAAAAAACACTTTAAGCTTAATTTGAGGCTTTGCAATTAGAACTATAAGAAAAAGATTAAGCAATACATTAAAAAGGTATATGGCTCTTATATATGTAGATGAATAAATTGATAAATTGTGTGCTGTGATATTTTAATATTAAGAAGAAATAACTTAAAAAAATAGAGAATTAGAAGATTTACAATTAAATAAAGCTCAATTAGAGATGGAAGTTCAAAATTACATTGAAATGAAAGAACATTGTGATCATGCATTGAAATAATTACATCATGTTGAAATGTAAATGAGTGAATTGTAAGAATAAAATTCATAACTCAAAAATCAAGGTAATATAATGTTCTCTATTTATTTAGAACAGTAGCTTTTGAGCTAAATTTAAGCATTATAAAAAAATTCAGATGTTCTTTTGAGGGATGCTTTTGAAAGAGAGAAGAAATAATTACATAAAAAATTACTTGAGAAAACCAAGATAATTTAAGAATTAAATTGTTAAATATAGAAATAAAATGAAACATAATCTACTATTCATTAATCAATGATGAAAATGAAAGAAGATTAAAGAAGATAAGAACAAACTATTTAACAATTAAGAGAAGAAATTGAAAATTTGAAAGGAGATGGAGCAATGTTTGCCAGTCCTTTAAATTAGTTTACAAGTCCTTTAAATTAGTTTACAAGTCCTTAAGGATAAAGATAAGCAAGCTTTAATACGCATAAAGATTTCGATACTCCTATGAGATAATCATCATATACATAACAGAAACCATAATCATCTAATAGTCTTTGCAGTAATTTTACTAGTTAAGAAAGTAAGAAAAAAATGATGGGAAGTTTTAAAAGATTAACGACTATGGCTGTAGGTATGTATAGTAATCTACTTGATTATTAATCATTATAGAATGGCAGTAAATTAGTAATTTAATATAAAATTAATAGGCATCTGAATTAAGTTAAGCTAGAATTGATTTAACTTAATAAGTTTCAAGATCTTCCCTGTTGCATTAGGAGTATAATGACAATAATTGATACTATATTTCAAATAAAATCTAAACAATCTTAAATATAGAAATATTCTCTTATATTAATTTTATTCTTATATATTCTTATATTTAAATAATATTATTCAATATTAAGAGAGTTTAACATTATTAAATTTATTTTCAATAATTGTGCTAATAAAAAATAGATTCCAAAAATTTTATAATAATAAATTTTAATATAATCAAATTAATTAATAGCAATACTAATTATAAGTATGCTCAGCATCTATTATTTGTTGATTTAAGTGATATAATTAAGTGTTTGGCATAGGAGCACTATTTCTTTGAATTCTAATTCTTTATGGTGATTCATCTATATTAAAAGTAACCTTAGGTTCATAGTATTGTACATCAGTGAATAATTATTCTCTTTCTTTAACCATTCTTTCTATTTCATAGCTAAGTTCACATGGTGAATTTTCAATATTGGTTTAATTGGGGGTTGGAGTTTTAGTTTCTACAGATGCTTAAAAAGTCTATCTTTTTTAATGTCTAACACTGCTTGGGAAAGAGAAACCAGAGAAGTGAGATTCTCTATATTAGTAAATTTTGGATAGATTTAATTCTTCTTCCTTAAATTGAGGAGATTCTTCTACTCTAAAGCTCATATTTTTTATTTAACAAATAAATTTTATTAGTACTTTAATATCAATTAAATAAAAATTATCACTATTCTATATTAAAATCTGACGATAATTCTTACTTATATTTTTCATTTTCTGATTCAAATTATTACCTTACATATTAATCTACAGTTATATATTCATTATCTACATCTAACTATTACTCTTCATTAAAATTAGTATTGCTAACATTTGCCTATTCTTATTATTCAATTTCTGAAACTTTCTCTGGACATTCCATTATCACAGACATTTCAACCTTTTATTTATTTTCATTAGTAATCTCAGTTAATAAAAATGAAAGCTATTAATCCTCTATTTTAATTGGTTGATGTTTTAACATTTCTTCATAATTTAATGATTCTACACTCCTACTTTCCAAAATACCTTATATAATTAAATAGTCTATTTCAAATTAATTTAATTCAATATTTAACGAAGCCATAGCATCAATAAATTAACTTTTACTAACTCTAATACATTCTTTTCCATACAATTATTTTATATTACTTATAATAAAAGGTTTGAATCTTGTTAAAACATCTTTTATTTTCTCTGAATATTCAAATTAACTTTTAACAATTTCCAATTTATAATTAAACAATACTTTTCTAAAAACTGAACGAATATATGGAGTAGGATTTTATGCTAATTCTTCTAATTCATAAACATCATTTTCACCTTCCATTATATATCTTGCTAATAAAAGAGCTTCATCCTTAGTTAAATTAAATGGATATAATCTTAATTTATCTTTTAATTCTTTGATTGTCATGAAATCCCCTTCAAATAAATAATCATCTATTTATTAAATTCCTATATCCATTGCCATAAGTTTATATTTAAGTGTTTCTCCTATAATTTTGATATTCTCAAATTTAACAGGTATTATTCTTCTTCTAGGAGGTTATTTAATTACTGATTGTTATTCTTAAATGACAATTGATTTTTTAATAGGCAAAGCTATTTCTTATAAAATTTCAGTTGCAAATACAGGGGATGATAATTTAATTTACTTCGATTTAGAAGTTGCATCTAATTATTATGATTAATTTTAAAGGTCTTATGCTTCTTAATTTTATGATAGTGAAATTTCTTTAATTTATACCTCTAAATCAAAGATAATTTAATTTAATCTTTCAATTTCATTATCTTTTGATTTAATTTCTTATTTTGCAAACATCAAATCAGTTAAAATTTATAATTCATCAGCTTTGGTAGGATTTTATTTTAATTCTTTATTATTCTCTTTTTAATTATTTTAAGTTTCTTCTTTTAATTAAGCAATTAATTTCTTTATTTCTCTTCTACTTCTATATTCTGCATCAATTTGTTATGACTTTATAATTTTAATATTAATACTCTATATTTAAGACATTCTTTTTTTAATCTATCAATTACTTTTTCCAATTCCCTTCTCTGCATTAAATTTTATTAGATTTAGGCTACCAAAGCAAATAATCTCTCTTAAATTATTTAATCTACATTATTCTATTGTAGATTAAATAAACTTGCTTTAAATAACGAATCTATTTATAATCTTAACCTAATTGTTTCTTCTTAAAAAGCAGCTCTTTCAATTTACAATTCTGTAATTTAAGATAATCTTTGTGTTTTTTTCAAAGTTTATAGTTCCTTATCCTTTTTTTGCAACTCTTACCTAATATTAATTATTTCTTTTTTTAAAGCAGTTTAAGCAGTTGAAAAATTCAATGCTTATAGAAGAGGAGCTTTGACAGGACCTATGCGATCTAATTCTTATATAATTTTTTCTTATTTCAGTTAATTATCTAGATTTGAATTTGATTGATAATACCTTCCATTTAATGAATTCTAGTTTTCAGTCTTATATTTTCATTTTCCAAATGATGCATATTATTTTTCAATTACTTAATTTCTTATTCATATCTTTCTTTATCAGGAAATCTAAATGAACATGAATATTCATTAAAAGAATTATTTTGATCATCTTATCTTCTTTTTCTATGAAAACTCGATCTAGGAAGAAGATCTGAAGTATCAAGTATTGGTTTGTTTCGATTTGTACCTGATTTAGCTGATTCAGCCCTTATTTTTGTTAACTACTAAAATAAGGTTGCTCTCATTTAATTATTATTAATGTCGGATATTGAAGAAACAATCAATAGAATCAAGACTCATAAGTCAGTTTAAGGCATTGTAATTTGCAATAATGATGGTTAAATAATAAGAAGTACTTATGGAACAGAAAGCAAAGAGGGTGAAAATATTGCTAGAACAATACCAACCTTAGCTGCCAAAGCCAAGTATTTAAGATTGTTATGGATTAAAAAGATCGACAGTACGTGATTTAGATCCAAACAATGAGTTAACTTTCTTGCGTATAAAGTCTAAGAATAATGAGATAATGGTGGCACCAGATAAAGAGTTCTTGTTGATAGTAGTTTAAGGACCAAAAGAAGAAAAAAAGGAGGAAGAATGAACATACAAATATAATATATAAATATATACATGTAGCAAATCAATTAGATTGCTGATCATTTGTATTTAATACAATAAGGCAACAACTCTTACATACACAGACAACTTGGAGCATCAGATGTACTCTTCAATTATTAGTTCTATAGACTGTGGTTATTAAATCTGTATTCCATGCTTAACTATTTATGGAAGATGATAGTGTTTGTCACTCTGTTCATTAAAGAGAATGCCAAGATCTCTAAAATGAATGGAAAATACTTAACTAGCTAAATCATCCAAACATAATCAAAACTTAATAATTTATTCCCAATCATTAACTTGACCCAGCAGGAGGGAACCTCTAATGTTGTAGCTTATTCCTTGAAAATGCTACTTGTGATCTTCATACTCTTTGCAAATCAAATGAAACATCCTTCAAAATTATAATCAAGTACTTTACTTAAATTTCAATTGCTGTCGAATATTTACATTCCTAATATATAGCACATAATGACATCAAATTAGAGAACATGCTTGTTATCAATAGAAATGTTATTAAATTGGCTGATTTTGGATTTAGCTATAGACCTTCTTATGAAGACTTACTTTCAAAATGGTTACCCAGAACTCTCACATCCTATTCTAGTCCTGAAATTGTTAATTTTAGATTAAATGTTGTTGATGGTGAATATGATGAATTCTGTTTATTTTCTTCTGATGTATATGCATTAACTACTGCACTATTTTTGGCAATTTATAAAAGACCACCTATTATGGGTTAATTTCCGACTGTAGATGATTAGTATTATCAATTATTGATTAATCAACCTGATTTGTTTTGGAAATTAGATTTCATTTAAAAAGTAGACTCTTAATTAATGAGAGAACATACTCCTAAATAATTACTTGAAAACCTAAAAGATTTAATCGAAAGTGGATTGGCTGAAGAATATAATAGGATAACTATATAAGAATTTGTAAATCATGAATTTTTCAAATATGCTAAATAAATAGAAGGAGAATAAATTTGACATCATCAATTAATAGTAAATACTGATTAACTATAATAATAACATTATAATTCAAACTAGTTTTATAAAAAAGTTCTAAATTAATTTTATTTTTTTATAATTTGTTGATAATTAAGAATTATCAAATATATAATCATCTAATTATCTAATTTAGATGCTATTTAAATTTTCCATTTTATTAATAAAATCACATAATTTAAGAAATACAATTTCTTTAATTATAAATTAGGATTTATTTTTCAATTTATTAGACAATAAAATAAATTTTCAAAAAATTGTAATTCCATAATATGATCCAATTTTTATTACTTTGCTGTTTAAAATTGCAAGCATTTTAACAATTTATTCTCCTCTCAAGTTCATTTGAATCAAATACATTTATAGATACTAATGGTATAACTATGAATTAATACTTTAAAGATTGGTATATAACAAATGGATTATCAAGTAACATATATTAAGATTGCGGAACTAATCGAATATTTGGTGGAATTTCAAACTTTGGTAAGATGACTCTAATATCAAAATTTTTTATTCTTCCACCTCATTCAAAAATTTAGGTGTAATTGGAGTTTTGGAAGTACATCTCTAACTATTATATAATAGAATTTCGAATTGGGCCAATAATGAAACAATTTATGTTCATTTAGATGGAAATAGAATAATTCAATAAGAAGTAAATACTCTACCAACAGGATCTAATATTTGTGGATTAAATGATTACGTTTTATCCATAGATGAGACAATTCTTCATAATTTTGAAACTTTATAAGTAATAGTTACAGCAAATATAGCTTTATAAGGATAAATTTAGGTAGTGTTTATGCATATGTAGGGATTTTGGGGAATTAAGAATTTCAGACTTTTCATTAAATAATGTCCAGCTGGATGTTCAATATGTTAGGATACTGATTCAAGATTTGATTGTCTTAAATGGACATTATATGTATCTTCATTGACTGAAACTGTGTTAGAACTTTTTAATTTTGATGGATGGAATGTTGAAAATGGACAGTAATATTAATTATCAAATTGTTAAAGTAAATGAATATATATTATCAAAATTAGTGCTTCCTATGCTTTGTGGACCAAGTATTTGTGGAAATAATAGCATTATTAGGTATGAGTAAAGACTTCCACCTCATTTTAAATTAAAAATAAGATTTAGATTTTATTATATTGATAGTTGGGATTCTGAATATGCTTACTTTTATGTTGATGATGAAATTAAATTAGATAAATAATTCTAATTTTTAGGAAGTTTAAGAAATTATAGTCTTTGTGGACTAAGCAGATTTAATGATCTTTCTGATACTTAAGACATTGAAATTGATCATACATAATAATTAACTAAATTCGAATTAAAAAATAGTTTAGATTAGATTCTTGAAGATGAATCCTTTGGAATTAGAGACTTTAGGGTGTATATATGTATTATAATTAATAACTATTTAGATTGTTAATTTGGAGATTCACCTAGTTAATAATGTTCTTAGTTTTGTGGAGATTAGATAGTTTAACAAACTGAAGAATGTGATGATGGAAACTCAATTCCTTTTGATGGTTGTCATAATTGCTAATATGAATGTGTAAATGGATGTTCAAATTGTGTTAAGGGAATATGTTTAAATTGTTATGAAGAATGGGAATATAAGATTACAACAAAGAACTGTCAATGGATATCTTTAGAATAATAATAAAATGTGATGTAATCATGTATTGATAATCCAAATTGTATGAATTAAATGGAAGTCTGGCATCAAGAATGCTCTTTAAATTGCATCTTATGTTATTAAGCTATATGTTTAGAATGTTAAATAGGTTATCATTTATTGGCTGGAGAGTGTTAAGAAATTTGTGGAATATCAGCTATTTCTATGTTTTAATATCCTAATTGCTTTTGTGATTAAAATTGTTTATTATGTAATTTAGGCATGTGCAAATAATGCATAGATACTTATACATTAGTAGATGATAAATGTTTAGTAATATGTGGTGATGGTTTAACTACAATTGGAGTAGAAGAATGTGATGACAAAAATGACATCCCTTATGATGGATGTTATTAATGTTTTTATTAATGTTAAGAATCTTGTAATAAATGTGAAAAAGGAATTTGTATAGAACCTTGTATAAATAATATGGAAATGATTAATGATCAATGTTAATCATTTTGTGGTAATTTTATAGTTGAATAAAATGAATAATGCGATGACAATAATAATATACAATATGATGGTTGTTATTAATGTTAATTTTCTTGTCCTTTGTATTGTTCTATTTGTGAAGAAGGAATGTGTTAAGAATGTAATTTAAACTATTACTATGATAATTTAACATTTTCTTGTTATTCAAAATGTGGTGATGGCATATTAACATCTGAAACAGAATAATGTGATGATAATAATACTAATTCAGGTGATGGATGTTCAAGTATTTGTATGATTGAATATGATTGGATATGTATTTAAAATGATGAATGCATCTATTCTAAGTATCCAGAATTATTAATAAATTATTTGTTCTAAAAAAACTAATATTAATATGTCCAAATTGAATTCACATAATAACTCAAAAGAATATCTGATACTCAAATTGATTATTCAAACTTTATTTCAGCTACAATCCTATAATTAGATTAAACCAAATATAATATTTCAATCATTCCTGTATCCAATGCATCTACTACTCTTTCTTGGGTCATCTATGCAATTGAAATATATATCGATTAAGAATTAAGTGATCCCCCATATATCAACATTTCATTATTAGAACCCTTATATAATTAATATGGCATTCAATTGAAAAATCTTATGACTATTAAATAATTAAAAATACCAAATTATTTAAGCAAAGAACATATTGAAATTTCACAAAATTTATTAACCTACAGTGAAAAAACTATTTATTCCTTGGGAGCACTTGCTGGATTTTTGTTAATTAGTGGGAATGGATTGGCTTTTTGGGTTGCTTTGGAAATACTCTAAGAATAATCTTATTTCAAATATCTTAATATCATATATCCACAAAATTTAATGATATATTTTGAATCTTCAGGTATCATATCCTTAAGACCATTTTACAATTCCTTTAATTATTAAGAATTGCCATCTCTATATTAGTTTCGATATTTCGAATCAAAAGAAAAATTTGAATTTTATCAAGTCAATGCTAACATAGCCGATAATATTAGAAGTTTAGCTTTCAGCTTTATTATCCTGGTATTCTTATATCTCTTATCAGACTAAGCTGAAAAATGCTTAACTATTCTACAAAACAAAAGATATTGTGATAATAATGGGTTTCTTTCAAAATTATACAACAATCTTAAATTTAGAGCATTCAAAAATAAGTATTCTCTTAGAAAATATGGAATCAACAAACTATTTATTGTGAATTGTTGGGATATATTTTTTATGGTATTTTTATAATTGAGTGTTAAATAATTTTATCAATTAATGTTCAATTAACTTATTGCAATAACCACTTTATTCTTAAGCCTCTTATATATAACTACATATTTTACAGGAAAAACTCAATTTTAGAATTTTCAATAATATTGGAAAGATAAACTTTAGCTATTTCTTACTTTAAAAAAACTGTTCGTAATGTATTCTTTAGTGATCTTTTAAAGTAATTATGTGTTACAGTTTATTTTAATTTGTTTAGTTAACTCACTTTATTTACTATCTTGGATCTACTTAAAAAATTAAATTAATACTTATGAATATTATCAAACTTTAATTTTATAAGCTACTCTATTAATTTTCTTACTTACTACACCAATTTACTGGGATTTAGATATATGCAACTTTTCATATAACACTAAATTAATTTTTGGATGGTTTCATATAATAATCTTTTTATTTGTAATTGTGCTTTTCCTAATAGTAGATACTATACTGAGTTTGAAGCAAATATTAAATTTTATAAACAAATCATTGTAAACATAATGTATTGAAGATAAAGAAAAAATCGATAAATAAAATTCTTAATTGTAAAATAGACCAATCAAATTTATAGTTTGTTTATTAATTTGATTATAATGTATTAAAGTATTAAATATTTATTTTTTATACTTTCATATATATAAAATATTGATTTTTTTTGTAAAATCTATAAATTATTTAAAAGAGTATATTCATATAATAGATTGAAAATATTGTTTATTATCATGTATTGTTTTATTTATTAAATGTGTATGTAAAACAAGTTGAGCATAAAAAAAAAATTTGATTTTTGTTATAAAAGTAGTTTAATTAATTTAGGTTGGTTTACAAAATATAGTAAGGTAATTAAAAAAGCATTTTAATATTTTATTCTTTTATGTGATATTGATGATTCAGATAAAATGAAAATAAATTAATACAATGAGTGATCCAACTGAATCATAGTAGAAATAAAATAATGATGTAATATACTGCAAACATCATCCTGAAGAATAGGTAACTAGAGTATGCAATAATCCAGAATGTAATAAAGATGGATTCATTTGTTCTAAGTGTGTACATGAAGGAGCACATGAAGGTCACCCATCATTTGGATATGCTAAGTTAAAGGCTGCTCTCATTAAATTTGTTAGTATAAATATTATTTTGAATATTAGATTCATCAAGAACACAATAAGATTTAACCAAAGAAGGTTAATTAAGTTATGCTAGAATGTAGAACTATTTAGAAGAGACATCATAAAGTATTTATAAATAAGCCTAAAAATTAAATAAACTAAGTCAATTCATGGAAAATCTGAATGAAACTCTTTTAAGTTTATAAGAGATTGGAGAAGAGGTAGATATTGCATATACAATACTTTATAATATGGATAAGAAAGAATCAGGAGTAGATGTTAGTACATTAAATGATTACTTAAATTAATTTAGATTATTGATGGATATCAATTTAGATTCATAAAATCATGAAGTATCTATTAAGCCATCAAGTATTTCACAATTAAGAATTAAGAATATTTTAGATAAAAAAGCTGATTTTACATCATTATTAAGAAAAACTGTAGAAGAACATGAATAACATTTTTAAAAATTCTTGAAAGAAATGGGAGATTTACTTAAAGAGAATAAACAATTTTTAGTACCAAAGGCAAATGAAACAGAAGAGAATAGAAATGCTGAATTTGGAAAGAGAGCTCTTTATAATTCTTATTATAAATAAGATACAGAAAAAACTGAAAAAAGTAAAAAGAAAGTAAAAGGGTAAGTTAAAGGCAAAGTAAAACATGAAGATGATGAAGAAATGAGTATGGGTAGAGAATATTAAATAGGAGCTGTTGAAAAATGTGGTATTCCAAAGTTAGATTAAGGATAACCACCATAAGGAATAAAAAAATAGNAAAACAAGTTGAGCATAAAAAAAAAATTTGATTTTTGTTATAAAAGTAGTTTAATTAATTTAGGTTGGTTTACAAAATATAGTAAGGTAATTAAAAAAGCATTTTAATATTTTATTCTTTTATGTGATATTGATGATTCAGATAAAATGAAAATAAATTAATACAATGAGTGATCCAACTGAATCATAGTAGAAATAAAATAATGATGTAATATACTGCAAACATCATCCTGAAGAATAGGTAACTAGAGTATGCAATAATCCAGAATGTAATAAAGATGGATTTATTTGTTCTAAGTGTGTGCATGAAGGAGCACATGAAGGTCACCCATCCTTTGGATATGCTAAGTTAAAGGCAGCTCTGATAAAATTTGTTAGTATAAATATTATTTTGAATATTAGATTCATCAAGAACACAATAAGATCTAACCAAGGAAGGATAATTGAGTTATGCTAGAATGTAGAACTATTTAGAAGAGACATCATAAAGTATTTATAAATAAGCCTAAAAATTAAATAAACTAAGTCAATTCATGGAAAATCTGAATGAAACTCTTTTAAGTTTATAAGAGATTGGAGAAGAGGTAGATATTGCATATACAATACTTTATAATATGGATAAGAAAGAATCAGGAGTAGATGTTAGTACATTAAATGATTACTTAAATTAATTTAGATTATTGATGGATATCAATTTAGATTCATAAAATCATGAAGTATCTATTAAGCCATCAAGTATTTCACAATTAAGAATTAAGAATATTTTAGATAAAAAAGCTGATTTTACATCATTATTAAGAAAAACTGTAGAAGAACATGAATAACATTTTTAAAAATTCTTGAAAGAAATGGGAGATTTACTTAAAGAGAATAAACAATTTTTAGTACCAAAGGCAAATGAAACAGAAGAGAATAGAAATGCTGAATTTGGAAAGAGAGCTCTCTATAATTCATATTATAAATAAGATACAGAAAAAACTGAAAAAAGTAAAAAGAAAGTAAAAGGGTAAGTTAAAGGAAAAGTAAAACATGAAGATGATGAAGAAATGAGTATGGGTAGAGAATATTAAATAGGAGCTGTTGAAAAATGTGGTATTCCAAAGTTAGATTAAGGATAACCACCATAAGGTATAAAAAAATAGATGTTTAAATTATGTAATTATCTAATATTTTACAATACTTTAATGTGTGATTCAATATTGCCAGAACCTATATTAAGAGGAGTACCTTTGAAGAAAATGTAATAAGGAGAATTGAAATTTCCAATCAGATGTGCTTTTTGTAGATTATTAAAAATTAGATCATTTGTGCAATTTTATTTTAGATTTGATTTGGTATCAAGATTTGGAAAGCTTTGTTTATTTAAAGATAAAGAAGGAAGAGAAATATGTTCTCATGAAATGTGTTTATTATGGTCTAATAGAGTTTAAGTTGATTACAACACTATGTTAGTGGATATTGCTACTTTAATTTAAGCAGTCTAATTTGCTTAAGCTTAAATGTGTAGATATTGTGGATCTATTGGAGCATCACTTAAATGTAATAAAGCTGAATGCCATGTTCATTATCATTTTAATTGTCTTAAATAAGTTAGATTAATGGGATTATAATTAGATCATGAATAAAAATTTAGATTCTTTTGTGAAGATCATGTTAGACATAATTATTAAGGATAATCTGATTGGTTCATTACTAGAATTAGAATGAAACATATTATTTAATAAGGAGGATAACCAGCATTTACCAAAAAGAATCCTTAAATTGATTGGTCTACTAGAGATTCTGGTCTAAACAATGATAGTGACATGGAAGAATAATAATTCAATAAAAAGCATAGATATTGAAATATGTTATATGAATATCATATATATATATATATAAAATTATGATAAAACAAAATTATGATATGATATGAAATTAATCATTTTCCATTAAGAATAATCGAGATTTATATCATTAAAATAATAAATATTTACCAGAATTAAGATGGCTATGCGTGAATAACCTTGTCCATATAGAATCATAGATGATTTTGGAGGAGCCTTCTCAATGGGATGTTTTGCTGGATGCATTTTTTATTTCCTAAAGGGAATGTCTTTTGCTCCTAAAAAAGAAAGATTTTTTGGAGGAATATAATTATTAAAAAGAAGAGCTCCTATTTTAGGAGGATCTTTTGCTTTATGGGGTGGGTTATTCAGCATCACTGATTGTACTCTTATGCATTTGAGAAATCAATAAGATTTTATTAATCCAATTGTTGCAGGTGCATTCACTGGAGGGTTTTTAGCCATAAGAGGTATTCATTTTCAACATCATTTATAGCTGGAACAAGAATTGCTATGAGAAATGCTATTTTTGGTGGGATTATTCTAGGATTTATTTAATTAGCAGAAATAGGAATGTTAAAGATGTAAATGAGAGAAGAAATGAAAAGGATGTAATAATAATAATAATAATAAATGGCTGAAATGTAAGAAATGATGGAAATGTAAACTAATAGAGCTAATAAAAAATAATAACCTAAAGTTGAAAAGTATTGAAAATGTCTTTATTTATTTATTTTTCATTTGTCACCTAAAAGCTAATTAATAATCTATTGATTCATCCTTTTAATAAAATCACAATGTCATTTAATTTTATATTTTATAATAAAATTAATGGAAATGAAAGATTAAGATAAATAGATAAAATATTTATCACTTTTAATATCAAATAATTCAATTATGTCTACAAACTTAAATTTAATTGTCTTTAATTACTAAATAAAATGAATGATTAGGCGAAGTAATTATTTACCGACATGTAATTTTTCCAACATTTTCTACATTGTTATCCTAAATTAACATTACTTAGGCAACTTCTGCACCTAAATAAGTTCTTTAAATTATTATATAAGCATCAATAGGAACAATGTCAGAAATTTAATTATTATTTATTATTGGTATGCCTGCAATTTTTTGATAGTTTTATCCTATCTATTAAACATAAATTTCTAAATGAGCTTTTGTCAATAATATTAAGTTATTGAAAGAATCAAATTTTGTATAAAGAAGACCATTTGGTAAATTAATTTATTGAAATGGAATAATTTTTTTCCATTTATAAATATTCAGTTAATTAAATTCTCTACCAACAATTAGATTATTCACTTCATTTAATACACAATCTGTTATTTCGATTTATTATTAATATAATTTCTTGATCTAAGGAGTATTTTTTATATTTAAGACCATAGTTGTATTATTTTCCTTCTTCTACAATAGAAAACATGAAAATTATGAATGAAATGATTTTAAAGTGTAAGAGTCATAAATTTTATAATCTTATATTTATAAATTAACAGTCTATGTATAATTATGATAAAAAAATGTCCAATTCTATAATTATGCCTTTTTGTAATATAAATTAAATTTTGTTTTGTTAATTTCAATTAATAATAAATCTCCTCTTTTGTTTAAAGCAATTTTAGTAGGTAATTCTATTTGTTATAGATAGTATTATCTTTTAAACTAGTATAGTTCTTATTAAAATATTAATTTTATTCGACCCTAAATTTCCTCATAATGCGTTAATTAATTTTATTGATAGATAACAATAATAGTAGCATTTTCATTTGAGCAAATAAGAGCATTCTAATCCTTACATGGAATAACGTCATCAAGATGAAATTAATCAATTAAATATTCCAAACATCTTGTATTTCTCATCAGATTATCAATTGTCAAAAATATTATAAATAATTTTAAAAATCAACACAGAAATATTTAAAATTAAAAATGGAATAATATTTAAGTTTAATAACTGCTAAAGACTATTAAATCAATCAATTATTCAGAAAAATAAATAAAAAAATTTAAGAAATTACAATTGTTTCAAAGAGATTCATATTATAATATTGAACTTCTTATTTATATCTCAATTGAATTTGCACTTTGAAAAATCCATTTCAGGATGAGCTTTCATAAATTCTGCTAATTTATTCTTCTTTTCAAGTTCTTCACTAGTAGGTAAACCCATTTATTTTTGTCTCATATCAAACATCATTTTTTCAACTGTTCCCCTGGTATCTCCATCCAAATCTGACAATTAGGATGGTTCTGGACTGATCTTCTGAGTATTGATTTCAAGATCACCTAATTTTAATAAATATAACTACCTTTAATTACACATGACCACCAATTCATTTAACCTGAGTATTTCGTTATAGAAATGTGAATATACTTTCCTTTATAATCCTAAATTTCACCATCAGTTAATAACCAAGTTGATTCATCTGATTGAATTTTTTCAAATAGCTATCCATTTACAATAGGAGGTTAACCTAAAAGTAGATTTTATTTAAATGAATACCTTTTAGTCCAACTAATAATGAACTTGATTCGATTTTCACAATCAGTTATTTACTTGTAACAGAAGAGGGTATAGGAATATAAACTTAAACTTCTTCAAGGGTTTAGGTCCAAATATATCTTTCTGTTCTTCCACCATTGCCTACAGGGGGTTTCTCGTTGTCATCTTTTTTCTCACCATCTTTTGCTTCTCCTTCGCCTTCCTTTTTTTCAGGTTCTTTTGGTTTTTACTCTGGCACTTTCAAAACTGGTTAGTATATAGGAACTGATGGATCTATTGGTTCTTATTATAATAATTATTATTATTATTATTATTATTATTTTTTTTGTTATTCTAACTTTTCTTGTTATTATTGTAATAATTATTGTTATTGTAGCATTTCAGCTTCTTTCTTAGCCTTTTCAGCAGCTTCTTTTTCTTTCTTTCTTTACTCTTCTCTTTATCTTCTTTACTCTTCCTTTTTGTCTTTATCAACTTTTTCTGATTAAAATTTAAGGAAGTTTTTGGCACAAGATTCAGTTATGACTTTTTCTGCTTATTTTTAATCTAAAAAGAAGTCTGTGTGACGTCTTTTATAAATAGAAAATAAATTACCTTAAAAATCCAAATGCTGCATCAAAGAATACATTAATATCTTTTGTTTATTACATAATTGTCATAAATAGACCATCATACTTATTTTCTTCAGTCATTTTAGGTTAGGGATTATTTATATTGAAAATATTTTTAAAAATCAGAGGTATTTTTTAAATGTTCTAGAATTCTCTATTAATTATTTGGTAATTTCTATTAGTAATAAATGGTTCTTTAGAATTGCTATATTAATTAGTAATATTATTATTAGATGAAGTTATCATCTATAGTGTTCTTGAACTGAATAAGTTGATTCCATCAATTATAAGATTGCTTATTATAATTAAACTTATAATATATATAATTGTATAATATACTCATAAAGTTTTTCCTCTATCTAAAAAGGATCTCCCTTTCATACAGATTTTTTAATAATCTGAAGACTTACCTGTAAATAATCTTGCCATTAAAACAATGTTTAGCATACGTACAAACATATTTCCATAACTGATTATTGTGTAAGATTTGTATGGATCTACTAATTTTGAAACAAATAATAAAAAAGGAAAAGCTAAAAAAAATAACATGCCATAAATTTTCAATTAGATATAAAAGTAATCAACTGAATCTCCTTTCTTCTTTCTCTAATTTGTTGAATAATAAAAATATATGGCAAGACTAATATATATTAAACTAATTGTGTATCCTACCCACCCTTCATATAAATGATTATCTGTTTAATTGCTCACCAACCTTCCTAATCCAACAATTAATGCCTAAGCAAAAGCAATCAAAAATGCTACTGGTACATATATATCCCAATCTTCCATATCCATAAATTCTATTGACCATCCCCATGCCAAAAGTATTAATAAAATCATTAAAAGAAAATTATCAACAACTTAAATAATTTCTGAAATAGTTGAAAATGCTCCAATTCCTTTACCATTAATATAATAGACAATTAAATGCATAAAATTTAATAAATTTTGTAATGCCTCTAAACCAATTACAACAAGAATAAATAATTAAGCATAATCCCATTCTCCATATTTTTATAAATCTGAATTAAATATTCTATAATTGTAAATAAATCCGATAATTGTAAAAACTGTTAAAATGGTCACTACATTTAAGAGTCCTTACTCTTCTAAAGAGAATTCTTGTCCTCCCTCTTCAGAAAACCAAACTGTGATTTCTAATTTTGTATTTTTATTATTGATCTTGATAATTTTATCAATACTATGTTAACAATTATTAAAGACTGCTAACCAAATATTATGATATTATCCAAATTTCAATTATCCTTCTTATGTTGATACTTTTTAATCCAAATTTGCTTCTATAGTTTGATGTACAATTGTATTTGCATCTTCATACCTACTACATTCATCTTTTTTTAAAGCAGACTGCCAACTATCTTATTGAAAAAACTCAAAAGCAATATCAAATTATTTATTTTCGTATTCTTTGGGGGGTTTTATAATACGAGATCTAGAATAAAAATTGAATTTACGATATTTTATAATTAACTGTTCCTTTACTGCCAAATCTATTAATAGGGATATATTATTATTTCTAAAGCTATTTCATTGTAAAAGTTTGAGTTATCGATTTTGCTTCTGTTAATGCAAGAATAATCAATACAATTAAAAACATTTTTATAAAATTAATTCTTATTAAATATTAATAAATGATTAATCAAAGTATTTACATATTTCTTATTCCATTTATAATCTTATATTTACATTAGATTTAATGATTTTATTAATAAACTATATAAATAAGTTGTATCTTAATTTTTTAAATTAATTGAAATTATACAATATACTAACATATATTTTTATTTTACTTTAAGTTTTGATAAAATTTTAGGCTTAAATAATATTTTATTTTTACTTTATCTTAAAAAAAATAAAGATCACACTTATGGAATTGTGAATAAAAATTATAAATCGTTGAAAAAGAATAATTTAAATTATACAATTTATTACAAAATTAATGAATATGGATATATACAAAAATATATATATTTAAATGTTGATGATTTTTAGATTTATTTATTGTGAGAATAGTTTTATCCTTATTTAGACTTAATACAGTATTACAAGAATAGATAAGAAATTACTTTTTGTGGAGCATTTATATACAAATTATATAATTAATACATTCTAAATAAATAAAAATATTGTAAAATACTAATACGAAACATATATTAAGGATATTACTAGTCTATTTATATAACTTATTTAAAAAGAATACTAAACAATAAATTATAAATTATTATTTTAACAATGAAAATGTTTAAAACAGTGGATGATTGATAAAATTTAGATCTTCATTTATGTCATAATTATAAAGAGTCAATTCCATAATCGTATGAATTTGTAAACTATTATTTCATTATACTTTTGATTCTAATTAAATAATTAAAGTTTATATACATAAATGTCTCCATATCCGATTAAACTTTATCACAGATGGGGAAATTTTATCCTTTGGGGAATTGTTGTTGATATAGGAATAATATATGCTTCATGCAATAAATGTCAAAGAAGAACAAATATACATGGGAATATAATGACGTTTGTAGTCATAAATAGCTTCTTAGCAGCCTTAGCTTATTGTTATTTAAAACCATATAATTATTAATATGATAATTATTCAAAACTAAACGAATATAAATAATTTCATTTAGTAATTGGAACAGCCATGATGTTAATAATGATTACATTGTCATTATTTGGTTATTTTGTTAAATATTAATTAGGAAATTCGGAAGGAAATAAAAATATAATATATTATAAAAAAATACATTCTGTTCTTGGATAAATAACGTATTTAATAGGAAAAGTGGAATCATTTATTGGAATGTTTATGTCATACAGAACTGAAGAATGGTTCACTTTTATTTGGATTACTTATATGGTTGTGATCATTTGTAGAATCACTTTTGAATGGATCATTCCCATATTAAAATCAACTAAAATAGATATAATATCTGAGGATTAATAAAAATTAATTACATATGAGAGTTTATCTGAAAATCTATCAAATCAATAATGGTTCATATTTTAAAATTAAGTTTATTGTTTGGATTAAAATTTTATACATCCAGGTGGTCAAATCATATGGAAACATATTAAAAATATAGAAATAAGCTAATATTTTTATGGAATTTCACAACTTCCTGGTACAAACATTCTACATTATCATTCAAAATACGCATAAGAATAATTTAATGGTCATTATTATGGAACTTTATGTAATTAGATTCCTTTTCCAATCAATCAGAATACAAGATGGGAGTTAAAGAATTCATGTAAAATAACAGAAACGGTAAGTAATTTTCAATTTTAACATCCAGAAATAGAATTTGAGATCAATCTAAATAAAATAACACCCAATCATTTTGTGTTCAAAAGTATAACTGATAAAAAGGTTCCAACGCGTCTTTATACTTATATTTAATGTATGTAAAAACCTGCTGTTGAATATATGCAAAGTCTTAGTGATTTATATGATAAAAAAGAGAATATTAGATTTACAAATAATTTTAAATCTGCCTCTCTTTCCTTTTTTATAAAATACTATGACACTCCTCATGGTTTTAGTAAATATATCACAAAATAAAATCCTGAAATGATCGATTTAAAGGGACCTTATCAAACAGTATTCAAAGATTATTTAAAAGAAGGATAAATTATTTTGATTTGTGGAGGAACAGGAATATTGCCCTTTTTGGATTTACTAAATTATCATTTATTAATGTGTTATAATGAATTAATTAAAGATCAAAATCTATTAAAAGTTTAAAGTATGAATAGGTATATCACATTATTCTATTCAGTTAAAGCTGAAGAAGAATTGCTTGGAGATTCTATATTTTTAAAATTAAGGGAATTATAAAATCATTTAAAGAAATAAAACTTCACATTAATTTTAAGGTGTAGAAAATAAATTGAAAAATGTGAGACAACTAAAAATAGATTCACAAGAGAATTTATTGAAAAATAATACAAATATGATACAAAGTAGATATTTGTTTGTGGTCCTCATATACTAAGAAATAGTATAGAAAAAGAGTTTAGAGATATGGAGAATGAAATTATATATTTATGAAAACATTAATAATAAACAAATTCATCAAATACACTTTTATTACAAAAGATCTTTGTACTTTTTAGTTCCAGGTAAATTTTCATCCATTATTAATCTAAATAGATTATCTTCACTTAATTATATTCCTTAATCAAGTTTATCAATATAAGCTTCATTAATTTCATCGATAGTTTTGTTGGTTAACAATGAATCGAGAGGTCTTTTCTCTTTGTTCATTTTATTTGCTAATCTTGTAATAATTTTTTTAAATCTTAAATATTTGCTTCTAAGATAAGCATTTTGTATTTCAATCATATCTTGGGTCATTTTGGCATGCTATCTTTCTCTTGCCAAAGTTGTCTTCAAGGTTTATGGATTGTAGTTCATCTCCATAATATGTATTTGTAAATCATCCGTTAAAATAAAATCAGCTGCAAAAAATTCAGCTAATCTACTATCTCTATTGAATTTTTGTTATGCTGATCTAATTGCATGAATGATCATTCTATCAATTGTAGGATGCAAATAATTTTAAAGCCATTTAGTGTCTTTGATTTTTCCTTATTTTAATAAAAGTTCCTAAAGATAATCTAATTTCCAATCTATATACAACTCTGATTCATCAGAATTTTCATCATTCATAAATAAGTTAGAACCCTTTTTCTATAAAGTATTTTACACAATAGCAGTATTACAAACATGAGCTTCCTTATCCAAAGAAAATTTATCAAAGGGAGCTATACATCTTCTAATTAATGTCTTATCGTATGCATAGGCTATAATGGGATTTGTTGATGCAATAACCCAATATACTCTAAATTCTATTTTATGATCATTAAATAACAAAGGATTTCCAATATATTTTTATGCAACAAGTAAAGATTTTTCAATTCCACATCTTTTGCCATGTTTATAAGTGTCTTATAAGATTTTAGTTTCATCTGGAAAAAGAACCTTAATTCCTCTTCCTCTATGAACTTCCAAACCAACCTTAGTTATAAATTATGGACCCTCTCTTTCTATTAAAGATTTATATTCAGTTGAATCTAAATAAGTAAAAAACTCTTCACAATCTAGTTTGTTAAATAGTCTATAAGTTTTAGGAATGAATGTTGCATTGTTTATACAATCTTAATCAACTCCATTTTTTCTTAGAGTATCCAAATATTAGTATTAATTATTCATTAGATTATCTTTATGTGAAAGCACGTGCCTAGTTATCAAATGATTGTATTTTTGGAATAAACATAATGATTCTAATTTGTTATTTGATGATAATACCTTAGCCTACTTAAAATTTATGCACTAATTAATCATAATAAGTAAAAGGAACTGTTAATTAAATAGGTAATACGTGTCTTGGTAAAACTATCATTATCTAATATTTGATATTACATTAAGTATTTTTTAATTTGTATGTCATTTAAGGAATGCAATCATAATAAGAAGATCTTAACGTCTCTCTTATAACACCTCTAGCTTCTCTAAAAGTATAAGTATCTTTCATCACAATATCAGAATGATAAAATTTGTATAAATCTGATCGTTTACAATAATCTATTTCTGGTTTGACCAATATTGAGTTATACTATAGTACTTAATCAATATTGATTTATTACTTAAGTTTTAGTTGCTAATGGAGCAAAATATGTTTGAGTCAAATACTTATTCAAGTAACTCAATATTTGATCAACCTCTTGTTTGTTTTTATATACAAGTGATGTCTTAATGAAATTATAAGTAAGTAACAAACTTAAAATGGAAACAATCAAGACAATCACTTTGCCAAACATTTTAATAATAATATTATATTCGTTTTTAGAGAAGTAAGATAATTAATCAAAAATTACAGACTTTGATCCCATTACCATTCTATCCTATTACAAATGAATCTTTCATCTTTTCAACAAAACAATAATCCAATTAAGTACTTGGTATCTATTGATTTATTGTTAAGGTTTTCATATCCCAAATTAAAGTTTAATTAAATTAGCAACTAATTACAGTATCCTTTTCAACCTCAATTGCATATATAGAATTACTATGACCATTAAATTATTTTAATAGTTTATATTTATCCATATTCCACAATTTTATTTTTTTATCTGCACCACCACTTATTAGGGTATGTCCTCCATTTGCATATTTCAATGCCAAACATCCCTTTTAATGTCCTTTCCATTATTTAATTAATTTATAATTCTGTAAATCCCATTCAATTATAGTACCATCTAAAGAACCTGTTACACAACGAAAATCATCATTAGATATTTAAATTGATGTTATCGAATTTTGTTGTCCTGTCAAAGTTTTTAATATAGTTTGAGATTAAATGTCCCAAATCTAAATTAGGTTATTTTATGTAATTGAGATTAATCTGTCATCCCTATTATTAAAGTAGATGATTTTTTAAATTTTGCTATTGAGACCTTTAAGTTCGAATTATAGTTATTAACTATCAATATTCCAAATTCTTATTATTTTATCATATGCACCTGCAGAAGCTAAAAACTTTCCATTTTAGTTAAAAGACAGAGTCTTATCAAAGTCTAATAGATTTTCGAATTGATGCTTTAATTAACCATCTATTGAAAAAATCCTCACAACTTTATCTAAGCTAGTAGTTGCCAAAATTTCTTTAGATTTACAATATTTAGCACAAACTACACTTTTCTAATGTTAAAATTGCTAATTAGAATCACATTTATCTTTTCCTATTACTACTTTTTCAATGATTGATTCTTCTTCTTTCTTGTCAAACTTTACTTATCTCAATTTTCTCCAATAATTGTTACCAAAGAATTGAGTCTAAGGTTGTATGTCGATTGTTGCCATTAATATTTATTTAATAAGTTTTCAATTTTCCTTTCTTCTATAAATGCTTTGATAATTCATATTATAAACATGACAAAAATTTTAACATATGTTCATTTTTTACATAATATTACAATTGTAAATTAATTTAATTGATAATAATTTGAAAATTTATTCATTGTTAAGGTGGTTCTATTATGTAATCATCATCAATCTCATCAGCTGGATTCTCAGGTATTTCTGGCATTGGATGTTCACTATCAAAATTAGCATCCCACTCTTCTTAATTAAATTCTTCTAACTCTTCAGGAGATAACTTTGATAATTAATTATTTTTACCTATTCTTTATGTTCTTTTAATGCAATTTCTTTTTGTTCTATCAATTTAGATGCTTCCTCTTTCAATTACTCAATTTATTTTCTTTTATTAACAATATTTTCTTTCCTTATTTCAATATCTTGTTTTCTTAGTTTACATGTCAATTGCAAATATTTAAGCAATCTTCCCAATATTAAATTATAAGCATCTACTTATTCTTATTCAATTTTTTCAATTCTTTTCTAAACTCGATCAACATAACACCATTTGTATTAAGGCTCTGGTTTAGGTCCTCTATGATTGTAAGCAGCTATTTATTAAATTAGATTCTCATCAAGAACTAATTTTCTAATATTTAATCTATTAGTATCAGGTATATTGATATCTGATTTATTTGCACCAATTAAATATAAACCTGATTAAATTATTATATTGAATTTTATTATTCTACAATTACTCAGATTTAATAGTGGTTATATAAATTCCTTATCGTTTAACTTCTCCCTTAATCTTTCTAATCTTAAACAATCAGTCTCATATTATAATAATTTTTCATTTTCTTTAAATTCTGCCAACTTCTCCTAATGACTATCAATAAATTATTCTTCCTCTAATGCCCAATTTTCTAATATTTCTTTGTAAGGAGCCCCCAAATTAGATTGATAATGCAATTATAATTCAACATCAGATTTCATTGATTATATTTCTTAAAGTTCCCATTACTTAATTAACATATTAACTAAATCAAAAATTTCTTATCTATGATTTTCAGGTATCTCCCTATCTTAACCCAAAGTATCAATACAAAAAACATATTCTTTTTTTTATTAATTAAATGAAGGTTCCAAAAGGGGTTCTAAACTTGCTAAATATGCTTATTTCTCCTATTCAATAATTGCTACATCTTCTGATTCAAGTCTTTCCTCAAATTCTGCTTCTTTTGCTGATCTTTCCTTGTCTTAATTCTCTTTTAGTATCAAATATTGCTATCTCTACTCAATCCCTTAATCAAATGATTGTTCATAAAGACAACTCTAATAAACAAGAGGGATTGCATAATACGCACCCAATTTTGGCCATTTATGATATACAATTCTTGGTTCTTTGACAACATTTGATATGTAAATGCCATTAGTTTAAATTACTTCACCATTTTCATCTGGTTATGGTTCTTTTAATGCATCATATGTAACTCCTGTTTCTGGGAGTAAATTTTAACCAATTAGGAATTTAGAATTTTAATCAGCATATATATATGTCAAAAGCTTTGTTCCTTCTAAATTTATGTGAGCATTTTCATCATCTTCTTAATTTAAATCTATTTCCTTTTTTGGAAAATCAAGTTCACATACATAAGTATTTACTCTCTATTGATAGATTATTATATTTACAAATCGTTTAGCCACATAATCACAAAATACATCGCCTAAAAATTCATCATGATATTTTGCCTATTTAATTGATTCCAAAAATTATTCATGTTTCTCTTTTTACTAATTTTCAAGTCTATTACTCTCTTCTTTTAGATATGCTAATTACTCAGTTAAAACTTTAAATTCTTTTATTTTTGATTCTTTAACTTGTTACTAATAATTATGAAATATTATTCAATACTCTATCTTCCCTTGTCTTTTGTTTTTTAAGTAATTCTGAATAAGTGAGAAGCCATTTGGCAAGATAATCAATAGGAAATTATGGTCTTTCTAAATAGAGAGATGCTAGACCTTTGGCAACAATACCTCCTACTTCATCTTATGTGAGATAATCCATATCAGTTATATAAAAACAAATAATTAGTTTTAACAAATTATTCTTATTGTATTTTGTCTTAAGATTAGCATAACTTTAGTAGTTTCTCTTCCAAGTCATGGATTCCTACATGTTCTAGTTAATTTACAATTTCAGTTGCAAATTGAGATATCAAAATAGAATTTTTTTATCTTTAATCCTTATGACAAAGGAACTTCGGGAATGGATATGCTTTTTTTTTAAGTTCACTCTAATTAAGTCTAACACTCTCTGTTCTTACTTATAATTTTTCTAGTAATCGACTTTATTTTGCATGTTATTGTCTTTCTCTATTGAAAAGTGCATCCTCCATTTTTAATTATTCAAGCAAGCTTCTTCTTTTTATTTCTATGATATTTGATGATTTCTTAGAGTTAGCTTTTTCTAAACTTTCTTCTAATTTTCTTAATCTTTCCTAATCTTATAATTTTCTATCTTCAACACTTTTCTAATATCGAGCCATAGTTTCATGAAACCTTGTTTTTCTTGGAGTTGATTATTAAGCTTATCTATATTATTACAGCTTTTATAATTTGGCATCATAACTCATTTTGCGTTTTTAAATTTTATCTTACTCCATTTTTTATATCTATACTCTATTTCTATAAACTTATTCCATTCTAGATGTATCTAATACTTCTTTTTAATATGCTCTAAATTCTCTTTCACTACTAATTTATTTTCGACGAGTCTCTATTAATTATTCTTTTTGAAAGTATTATAACAATTATTGTTCTCGTTGTTCTTAAGANATTTAGAATTTTAATCAGCATATATATATGTCAAAAGCTTTGTTCCTTCTAAATTTATGTGAGCATTTTCATCATCTTCTTAATTTAAATCTATTTCCTTTTTTGGAAAATCAAGTTCACATACATAAGTATTTACTCTCTATTGATAGATTATTATATTTACAAATCGTTTAGCCACATAATCACAAAATACATCGCCTAAAAATTCATCATGATATTTTGCCTATTTAATTGATTCCAAAAATTATTCATGTTTCTCTTTTTACTAATTTTCAAGTCTATTACTCTCTTCTTTTAGATATGCTAATTACTCAGTTAAAACTTTAAATTCTTTTATTTTTGATTCTTTAACTTGTTACTAATAATTATGAAATATTATTCAATACTCTATCTTCCCTTGTCTTTTGTTTTTTAAGTAATTCTGAATAAGTGAGAAGCCATTTGGCAAGATAATCAATAGGAAATTATGGTCTTTCTAAATAGAGAGATGCTAGACCTTTGGCAACAATACCTCCTACTTCATCTTATGTGAGATAATCCATATCAGTTATATAAAAACAAATAATTAGTTTTAACAAATTATTCTTATTGTATTTTGTCTTAAGATTAGCATAACTTTAGTAGTTTCTCTTCCAAGTCATGGATTCCTACATGTTCTAGTTAATTTACAATTTCAGTTGCAAATTGAGATATCAAAATAGAATTTTTTTATCTTTAATCCTTATGACAAAGGAACTTCGGGAATGGATATGCTTTTTTTTTAAGTTCACTCTAATTAAGTCTAACACTCTCTGTTCTTACTTATAATTTTTCTAGTAATCGACTTTATTTTGCATGTTATTGTCTTTCTCTATTGAAAAGTGCATCCTCCATTTTTAATTATTCAAGCAAGCTTCTTCTTTTTATTTCTATGATATTTGATGATTTCTTAGAGTTAGCTTTTTCTAAACTTTCTTCTAATTTTCTTAATCTTTCCTAATCTTATAATTTTCTATCTTCAACACTTTTCTAATATCGAGCCATAGTTTCATGAAACCTTGTTTTTCTTGGAGTTGATTATTAAGCTTATCTATATTATTACAGCTTTTATAATTTGGCATCATAACTCATTTTGCGTTTTTAAATTTTATCTTACTCCATTTTTTATATCTATACTCTATTTCTATAAACTTATTCCATTCTAGATGTATCTAATACTTCTTTTTAATATGCTCTAAATTCTCTTTCACTACTAATTTATTTTCGACGAGTCTCTATTAATTATTCTTTTTGAAAGTATTATAACAATTATTGTTCTCGTTGTTCTTAAGATAACTTTTTCACTTTAATTAACTTTTCATTTATTTTAGAACTTTCAGCATCTTATGATTTTTCAAATTAGGCTGTAATTTTTTTGTCTTGAATGCTTTCAACTTATTTTTGTTTTAATAATTCATTGTATTCAATTAATAATCTTTATCTCTTTTTTCATGCTGTTTCATTATTGCTTCTGTGTAAAATTGTACATCATTTTCATATTCAGCAGGCACTTTGATTTTGTTAAGGGGTTGCAAATCAAATTAGGTAATCCCCATTTTTTTTAATATTTGTTAATTCATTAAATATATTGTAGACATTTCAATTTCTATATCATAATAAATTCAATTTGTAAATACATTTTCCTTGACCTTTAAATCATTAAATAATTAATTGAATAAGACATTAAACTAGAATATTACTTTTTAAATTATTATAGAGTTAATTTCAATATCTAAATCATCTAATTACACTCTTTTTTATTGACTTACTTGTATTTTCTAATCTATAATTTAATATTAATATTATGTATTTAATATCAAAACAATCTTTATTTAGCCTCATCTCCATCACCTACAAGTCCTTTTTATTGAGCAAATTAATAATGTAAATCTACAACATCAATTCCATCATGAACTTTTGTCCATCCATTTTAATGGATATGATAAACTAAATAAACGAAGATTTACTACCTCTAACTACACCTCCAGATGCTGTGTCTCTATGTGTAGCATGATAGATTGCTCTAATTCCTAATTCTACTGCTTCATTCAATGACATTTCATATCTATAATGATTATCCAAAACACCATAAGCATATGTACTACCACTACCTACAGAAAAGATGTCACCTTTTAATCTCATTCCATCATTATCAATATAATATAAATGTTATCCAGTTGTATCAGTTCCTGCAATCATACATCCCATAGAAAGACCTGAATTTCTATAACCTATTAAAATTCCTTATAAGAATTTAGAAGCTGCAGCAACACTTAATTTACTTCCATTTTTCAATTCATATGTTCTACAATGATTGGCTAAATAAGCAAGCCAGTATTGACAATCAGCTGCCCCTCCAGCCATAGTCCCTTTAAAGAATTTAAATTTCTAAATTACCCAATAAATATTCATTAATTTCAATTACTTTTCTTACTTATTCACTACTCAAGAAACTTCCCATACTGGCTCTTGAATCAACAGCCAATAAAATACCCTCTTTAAATACAAATCCTAATGTTGTTGTTCCATGTTTGAAATTATTTAATTTATTTCCTCCATTTATTTAAGTTGGACCATTCAAAGTTTTATAAATTACTTATGGTGCAGATGGCAAAGCTAATGTATTTATTTCATCTTTATCTTCCTTTTAATAAGTATGAGCTAAGCCAAATGAAGAAGGATCGAAATCAATCATTTAATATTTAATTAAATAACATTCCTTATCGAAATATAATTTATATATTTTATTTTTCAGTAATTATAGTGCATAGAAGTTAAAATTTAAACATCATAAGATTGATCTAATAGAAGATTAAACAAATGTATTTGCATAATAAAATTGACAGATTAAATTTTAAATTATTTATACTAAATAATATGAAAAATAACCATCATCGAAGAACGAAATCGAGTGGCAACTACTTTCCCATATAAACAGAATTTCTAGTTTAAGATGACGATAATGATACTAATGAAACAAAGGAAATCATTAAAAAAATTTAACAACAACCAATACTCCATCATTAGATAGTTGAAAAACTAGATGATCAAAATTATGGGTTATTCAATGCAATGTTTAATTTTGGTTAGATGAAATTTAAACCAAAATAATCTTTAGATCTTAGTACAATTACAGAATGCAGCTGTATCAATTGAATTTATGCTTTTAGCTACACCTTCCACTAAAGATGCTAAACCTAAACACAGAAAATGTGGTAGTCAACAACAATAAGCCAATAAACAACCAATAAGACATACACATAGTCAGAGTCTTTAAATTTAAAGGCTGGAAAAAGAATTAGAATAAATGAAAGTATAACAGGCAGAGATCTAAAATGTTAACATGATGCTTATTATTGAAATTCATAAATCCAGACAAGAGCTTTAGATATCTTAATAAGTATAAAGTAATCTCTATTCTAGAAAAACGAAGTCATTCTTTAGAGAATAATGAAATTAGAGAAAATGCTTAGAGAAGACTAAAAATTATCATCCACAACTAACGATAGCCTTGAATTTTCCTGATAATATACTTATTATTTAAAATAATAGTATTTTATCATATTTTATAATTCATTAAATATCAATTATTTCTACTTTCAATTTAGTAATTGAGTTCCATTATTATTTCATTAAATGTCACTTTATTAATTATATATAAAAATATATATAAATAAAATAACCAAAATTAAAAATCTAATTAATTGATTAATCTTCAAATAACTTTAGATAATATATATCTTTAAATGTTTAACAAACGTTTAAGTTGATTGTGATGATACTAAATTAACTGAATATGATTTTTTAGAGTAAAAATTCACATTGCTTAAATAGAACTAAGTTTAAAAGTAATTTATATAATATTAACTGCATATTAAGTTGATTTCATATTTGATTGAAAAAGCTATAAAATTTTAAAGCAAGATTAAGCATTAAAATACAATATTAATAATTCTTATTATAAAAAAAAGAAAACTTCAATTCATTTTTTTTCATTGAAAATATCAATAATTAAACAAGGTAATTATTGATTAGAATTGAAGCAGATCTTCAAACCATTTATTAATAAAGCTTTTGAAAGTTAATATTTGATTATTGAAATTAATCATTAAATATTGATCAAAAGATCTAATTTATTCTAGAAAAAATATGTAATCAACCTAGATTAAGAAATATCGTAAAAGAGCATTTAAAACTATTAGAGAAACTTAAAATGATAGGATAGTCTTTGGGAAATAAAAATTGAATTTTATTTTTGAAATTTTTTAATAATTTCTCATTATTATTCAGCAGCTCTTCTTTCAGCTAATCTTTCCAATTCTTAGACTAAAACTAATTCTTATCTTCTTCCTGCTGTGACAGCTTCATATTCAACATCAAAACTGTGGCACAAATCAGCAGCATCGTCCCATAAGGTTTGGTTTCTTTGCTTCTTATTTGAGGCAGCTTGAGCAACAGCGGTTTAGACTGAGATGACTCCTTATAAGTTTTCAGCTTTGGTGTTTAATCTTCCTTTTGAGGCATCAAGTCTGGTTTATGAGGCAAGATATAAATCTTTTTATTAGGTGAAAAGAGCTAAAGCATTGGTGTTTTCTGTGGTGTATGAGGCCCAAGCTTCTTCAACATTAGCTCTTAATGTCTATAATAATTAAACAAGTCTTTCAGCAGCACCTGCAGCATCGTCTTCTTAGGTAATTTAAGCCAATGCAGCTAATGGGGTCATGAAAGCTTTGTTCATCTTTGTGGCAACTGAAGCCTTCATCAATCTGGTTGTCATGTCGGCAACTTGGATCAAACTGGCTTTTCCTTTAGCTAAGGCAGCAGCCAAATCAAGTGAATCATCAATGGCGTTAATAGCATCATTGAATGTAACGGCACCTCTGTTGTATGATTAAGTGTCTTCCTTTCTAGCATCGTTAATGAGTCCAATATGTAAGGAAACAGTGTTCAAGATATTTTCGGTTTCACCAAGAGTTGCTTAAGTTTTCTTCAATAAAATGTTGGAAGTCTTGAGAATTCCATTGGCAATTTTGAGTGTGCCAGTAGCATCTTCAACTTCGGCTCTTCTGTAGGCAATTTCACTTTCACATTCAGCCTTTTAAGCTCCATAAACTTCATCGTGTGTTCCTTATTCTTAGGCAACTGCGGATTTGAAGTTATCAAGAACACCTCTGATTGTATCAAGTGGTGAGTGAGATTTAATCTTATTTTCAACTTCAACCATGATATTCATGATGCTTCTTTTACCTCCATATGTAAGTGGGAATCTTTAAACCATACCAGCATTAGCAAGAGCTAAGACAACTAACAATGTAATTGTGACTTTCATTAAAAATATTTATCATTCACAGACTCTAATTTGCTATTTATAGGCCCATTTAGCGTATCTATAGAAAAACGGGTATGCAATTTTTTTATTAAGTCATTTAATATTATTCTATAATAACTGTATATAATGAGTTATTAATAAATTTCTTCAAATAATAGGTTTTCAATAATTTTTGAATAAAACAACTTGGCTTAAGGGAAATTAAAAATTTAGCTTACCAATTAAGTTAATATATTTTCAATCAAAATGTTGTAAAATTAGACTAATGTTTTGATAATTAGCAATCTCTCAATTGAATTTGTTAATTATACTTATTTATTTGACACAAGATTATTTAAAGAAGATTTATTCTTTAATTTCAAAATACCTTAATAACGATAAATTAATGGAGTAAATTTTATTAGAAAATAAATGTCAAAAAATTTAGATGTACAGCTTTAATATAAAATTAATGCAGGATATTTATTTTTTCAATTTCTAAATTTTATCTTTCAATTATAAATACCATAGCCATATTAAATATATTAAATATAATTTTATTGAAATTGCTACTCTAAATTAGTGAACTTTTATTTAAAAACCAATAAAATGATTTCAATATATAATTGATGTTATATTTATACCAATTGATTAATTATTAAGCTTTAAAATTTTCTTGTACTAAAAGCTACTTTAAAAAAGATTAAGAAGAAAAAATTATTTTTATAAAAATTTATTATTTGATTTTCATAAATCTTAAATTTGCTCAATAAAATGAAATAATAGTATTCCTATTTTCTCGATTAATATAAATTTAGCAATTCAATCTTGATAAAGAAATACTATTAAATATTTAGAAAGTAATTGTAAAAAGAAAGATACATTAAAAAATGCATTATCTAAAAATGATTTTATATCTCATTATTATTCAGCAGCTCTTCTCTCAACAGCTCTTTCCAATTCTTAGACCAAAATTAATTCTTATCTTCTTCCTGCTGTGACAGCTTCATATTCAACATCAAAACTGTGGCACAAATCAGCAGCATCGTCCCATAAGGTTTGGTTTCTTTGCTTTTTATTTGTGGCAGCTTGAGCAACAGCGGTTTAGACTGAGATAACTCCTTATAAGCTTTCAGCCTTGCTAGATAATTTTTCTTTTGAAGAATCAAGTCTTCCTTAAGTAGCAAGATATAAATCTTTTTATTAGGTGAAAAGAGCTAAAGCATTAGTGTTTTCTGCGGTGTATGAGGCCCAAGCTTCTTCAACATTAGCTCTTAATGTTTATAATAATTAAACAAGTCTTTCAGCAGCACCTGCAGCATCCTCTTCTTGTTTGATAGAAGCTAAAGCAGCCAATGGAGCCATGAAAGCTTTGTTCATCTTTGTGGCAACTGAAGCCATCATCAATTTGGTTGTCATATCAGCTACTTGGATTAAGCTAGCTTCACCTTTTACCAAAGCAACTCCGAGATCGATTGCATCATCGATAGCATTTATAGCATCATTGAATGTGACAGCTCCTCTATTGTAAGATTATGTATCCTCTTTTCTCACATCATTAATGAGGTCAATGTGGAAGGATACAGAATTAAGAATATTTTCGGTTTCACCAAGAGTTGCTTAAGTTTTCTTCAATAAAATGTTGGAAGTCTTGAGAATTCCATTGGCAATTTTGAGTGTACCAGTTGCATCTTCAACTTCGGCTCTTCTGTAGGCAATTTCACTTTCACATTCAGCTTATTGGGCAGCATAAACTTCATCGTGTGTTCCTTATTCTTAGGCAACTGCTGATTTGAAGTTATCAAGAACACCTTTGATTGTATCAAGTGGTGAGTGAGATTTAATCTTATTTTCAACTTCAACCATAATATTCATGATGCTTCTTTTACCTCCATATGTAAGTGGGAATTTTTAAACCATACCAGCATTAGCAAGAGCTAAGACAACTAACAATGTAATTGTGACTTTCATTTTAATTAATAAGTACCTTCTAAAAACAGGTTAGCAACTTTTGTAGTGAGATTTCAATTGGTAAAAAACGAAATTTAGTTTAAAAACGGATTTAAGTTCTAATATTTTTTGTTCAAAAATCCCAATCGCTTAATTACATATTAATTCAAATGTTCATCTGATCTTTGAGTGATAAACAAGGTCTATCTAGTGATTTTTAATTAAATGCTAGAATAAAGTCTTCAACAAAATTAGAGTTCAACCAAATTCGTATTGTATAATGATTCAAAAAATTTATCAAATGGATTTTCAACCTATTACAGGAATCATTGAAAAGTATATAGTTGATAAAAAGTTATACTTAAAAAATACTAAAAATAGAAATAACTTATTTATTTATAATTTTGGGGAATACCCAGAGATTTTCAACTCAAATTGAGTCCTCTTTTAAAATGACTCATTGGACTTACATTATTGATATTTATTATCATTGACATTTATATATATAGAAAAATCCAATATTTATATTTATTTAATATAAATTGCAATAAAACTAATATCATATAAAATTTGAAAATCCTTCTTTGAATTTATATAAGAATTATTGTATATTATTATTTATAATCATTATTATTATTAAGTAAAATGTCTCATTAAGGAAAGGATATAAACATAAATGATTTTAGCAGCCCTCATCTTTAAATAAGCAAAAAAGATTAATTTTTAGAAGAAATAAGAAATCACATATTGTAAAAATCAAGAAATGACGTCTGGAGATTAAAAGGCTAGCCAAACTTTGTTACTCGCCCTTATGTTGAATGGAGAAGAGGAGATACTTGCTGTGCAATAATGTGAATTAAATATAATCACTTTAACTTTTAGAAATAGTCTCTAATTGATTTTTGTTTAAATTTATTATTATTTACTTTCTCTTAAGTTTCTGGAACTTCTAGTTTATGATTATCGTGATCCTCCACAGATTCTGTTTTGCTAGGTGTTTTAACATGATCATCTGTTTTTTTATTCTTTTCATTTCCATCTAATTATATTTCTATTTGAATTTAATCTTAATCAAAATTCTGGTTATTTAATTGAAATTAATTGTCTCCAGAAACATTTAATTCTTCTTAAAAGATTTTTTTTTCTTCAATATTTTATTCTTCAATTTGAAGTTTGTCATTTGGTTGATTTTAGAGATTGTCAATTTCAACATTTAATTCTTCCTTTAATTTATTTTCTTGCATATCCTTTATCCTTAATCTTCTTAACTCATCCAGTTTACATTTATCTGCCAACTCTCTTTGTAATTTAAAAGAGGAATCTTTGAAAATTTTTGATTAGACATTAAGGATAGCTACTTTTTCATTTTAAGGTAAATCATCAACACATAAAAAACACTTGAATTCAATCTAAGAAGCTTCTTCAAATGGTATTGTCATTTCTAAACAATCAAAATGAAACCATTCATCACATACTTCACAACAAATCATGGGATCTCCATCTTTAAATTTACCTCTACATACACAATATAAGTTATCATCTCTTTAAAAAAATTCATCTCCTACTTATTCAATAACAATTTCTTTTTTTTATTCAGCTTTATTAGTTTTTTTATATTTTTTTAACATTAAGATATCTATAAGTTTAGCTTATTTTTTTTAAGGATTTATTTCTTACATATATTTACTAGCTCTTCTTCTTAATTTCTCATACATCTTATATGTAATATCTTTCTCATAATCTCTATATTTAAAATGTTTCCATAATTCATCAGTTGCAGTAATAGTGCTCTTATAAAATTATGTAACTAATAAACCATTTGCATCTACTTTATTTTAATAAACTTCTGGTAAATTTGTGAGTTTATACTATTTTTATGGTTTGAGCACAGGTCCTGAGATTGATTCAATAAGATATTATCCCTATTCTAATTTTAGATTAACTATAAGCTATTAATCAGAGATCTAATTGATAAAGTCCTTTAATTTATTTCCAAAATCTATTAAATCAAATTCATTTTCTGTATGTTCTTAATCTTCTTATTTTTACTTTTGATCTTTGTTTACTTTTATTTTTTTTGGTTTTTAAACTGACTTTTTATGAACTTATCGACACTTCTCATAAGCTCTAAAGAAATCAATTATCTCTCTTTCATATAATCTATGCTTTGATTCTAGAATTCTCTTAACTTTAAGGGGAACATGTTTTAAACAGAAAATCTAATAATCTGGTTTATTATTTATAACAGTTTGAGTCAAGAATATTCCAGATCTTCTAGCACATTCAACATGAAAAGAAGTAGAGCAGCTACCTCTTGCACATTATATACACATTCCTGCTTTTTTAATATTACATATGCTGCAATTAAGAGCAAATCTTTTGGCATTAATATTATCTACTCCTCTCAATATATCTTATTTTTCATCTAAAAAACATTCTGGTGACCAATAAAAACATGATAAATGAATCCAAACTTTTTATGGTTATGGTTCTTTAATTTCCTTATTATTTTCTAAATCACGAATATCTCTATTTGGTAGTTTCCCAAAATCATAATAAAGATCTTAATCATCATCAATTTATTAAACTTTATTTAATATAAATTTATACATAATTTAGACACAAAGTCATTCTTCATCATAGTTTCTCCTTAAGATTCAAAATAAGTTTAATTTAAATTCTAAAAACATGATGCATCTATTTATGTAGCTTTCATAGCTCCACCTATTTTAGGACACAAAGCACATCTTAAATATTATCCATTTGGTCCAAATGTTTAACAAACATCACATATCCAATCTTCATTTGGTATTATATCAATTAAATAACATTTTTAATGTACAGATATATTGCATTTAGAACAAAAGACAATTAGGTTATCATCAGTATAATCTCCATCATTACAAACCTAACACAATGCATCATCTAAATTTGGCTATAAATGAATTCCTCCTCCTTATGTTTTTTTTCCAGTCTCTTACACTACTACATTCTATTCATCTGCTTATATTTTCATTTCTGTTTTTTCTATATATTGTTTTTCAGTTTCTGTAAGTCCTGCAATATCCCTCAATAAATTATTTTACTAATCTGTTTTTAAATGCTATTTAATTGTGGGTACTAAATTAACTAATTATTGCAAAGTTTCTTCATTTTATTTTGTTATAAGTTCTAATTCAATTCTAATGATATTTATTGTTAGTACTCTTAATTTGTTATTAAATCATCTAAGTCATTTTATCCTTAGTTTCTCATTTCTAAAATGAAGATATCATCATTCATATCATACCCTTTTTTATTTTTCTATCTTTTACAATCACTAATTATATCTAAAAATATTTACTCTTATATTTAAGTCCCAATTATTGTTTCATTTTTCTTCAATATTTTCTCAATTTCATGCAGACATTATTAGAGATACTCTTGATCGCAATTGAAATAGAGTGCTGCAATCATAAATTAGAGTGTAGATGCTTGCAAAAATTGAACTTGATATAAGAAAATGAGTACTTGGATAAATAACTTTGGAGTTATTTGTATTTTCTATATCAGTCCAATCAAAATCTCCCATTTTTCTTAGTGTATGCAAATAATTTTGATATTTTTTTGTGACTTTCTATTATACCTCAATTAAAGAATTTTCTTCACTTTCATCTTGTAAATTCGCTTTAACTAATTGCTTGCGAACTCTTGTTTATTTTCTTCTTTTCATACAAGGATCGATGTTGTACATTTTCCTAACAAACTTATGAGCTATTCATTGTACCTCTAGAAAGCGCCAAAAACTTCTTTAAAATAAAATAATAATTAGCTATGAGCAGTTGTCAAGAATCAAAACTTAATCCAAATATTACGAAGCTAAAATAACATGAACATACAAAAATTATCTACAATAATTAGGTATTTTGAAATTAAGATATTTCAAATAATGGGTCTTTTTAATACTAAATACTCTCATATTGATTAAAGATTACCTATTTATCACTAAAATCAATTTTTATTTTAGCTTCAGATTATTTATAATTAAAAACAAATAGAAAACATAATAAAACATTTATAGTTAATCATTATGATACTTCACAATCAAAAGTTCATATAAAAATTCATGTTTAGAAATTGTTTCATTCAAAAATTTATACAATCTTTATACAAATCTAGTTAAAAATATTATTTGCATTTTTTATAATAAAAAATAATTGAATTGAAATTGTCACAAACAACATATCAATTCTCATTCTACAACCATGTTTTATTCTGTACCCTCTTAGTTTTAAATTTCTGATGAAAATTTTGGTAAATAAAACATAAGAATAAACTTTCCAATTTGAATTGAAGATCTATGTTTCAAAATAACAGGATTATCCTTTGATGTTATTGTTACAGAATCTACATATATTGGTTTTTTGTTGCTTAAACATCTTATTTCAAAACTAAATCTCATAATTTATATTTACAATTCTTTATCCATATTGTAAGAGATTACAGCATGTTATTTTGAAATCTTTTATCCTAAATCTAAAGCTAAGTCTACATCCCATTCATATTTGCTATTCTTAGTCTGATTGGCTCTTCCTATAATTATTGCTAGTTTTTTTATATAGTAAGTTATATGTTTCCCTTTTAACAATGCATATGCTGCTGTTGGAAAGTTAACCAAAGGCAATTTCACTTCATTATCTTAAACTTAAAATTCTACTAAATCTCTAAATAAATTCGAAAAATAAGTGGATTCCTTCTCGAAATTTAACTTCACTTTACTTGTTAATTATTCTTTCAACTTATTAGTTGCTATTTCATACTTGAAGCGAATACGGATTTAATTGTTCAATCATAAATTAATGTAGAATATCAGGTCCTATCCAGAGATATGTTTCATAAGCATCGGCTGGACTTCTCCTATGAATTATAACAATAAATACTTACTTATCTAAAAGGTTCAAACTTGTCATTATACTAGCCATTTCATTAATAATTAAAGCACTACTTTGTTCTTTAGCAGTCAATTGTAATTGCTCAACTAATTTTTCAATTGTATCTCTAGCAATCATTCGACCTAGTTAATAATAAATATCTCACCTTGATTACTAAAAATTTATGTAATAATCTCTTAATAAAATAATCCAAAGTAGACACTTTATCTAATTGAATATTTTTTATTTTCAATAATGTAATCTTCTGAAAAAAGCCAATGCTCTCTATCATATTAAGTTCTTGTTAATGCAATTTCTACCCCCTCCAAAATTCTAGCAGTCATTCCTTTCAAACCAGAATAAATAAATCTTTTTTTAGATATCCTAGTAATAAATCCTAAACCTTCAAATATGAATAGAAGCTCAATTAGCTTTTTAATATCAGGCAACACTAAATCTCTGCAGGTAAGAATAACCTAATTATTCAATAATAATACTTTATAACCATCTATTATCTAACCTTTAAAATCTGAGAGTATTTTAAGCATTCTTTTTGCTTACGCTCCTAATTTTTCTCGCGTTTACATTTTAATATATAATTATTATTACAAATTAAATAATAATAAAATTTGTTAATAATTCCTACTTATAATTAACCAAAAGTATAAATATCTAGATATAAGTTATTTATTCAAGATATTAATGGCAATTAAGTGTAATTATTAATGTACATGTTATGATAATTTTATAAATTCATTCTACTGAATCAAAAGACTGAATTTGCAATTTTGAGCTTGGATTAGATTGTTATGCTAGAATAAATTTTGATAATAATTTCTTAATCTCATCGATTTATTATGCTTTTAATCCATAATATGGTGCTAAATCCGAAGTGAAAGTGTTTATAATTTAAACAGGAATTTTTGCTTAAACCATCTATTAAACAGTATTTTAAAATTATTGAAATATGATTAATTATCTATCAGAGTCTTCCACTCCTTCACATGTTTGATTTACCTGCCAGAATATTAACCATTCCCAATAATCAGTTTTTTTTGAGAAAATAGGATTTTAACACAAAATCTAAAATAATGAAATTACCTCTTCTTATTATGAGTAAATAAATGTAGATAGTTTTTGAATCTTATGTATATTAGGACCTTCTTTTGGAATGAAATCCAATAATTTATTAAATAATGATTATATCATTGAAAGATTACGTTTTCCAATAGATACTGGAGCTCTACCATAAACAGTAATATTACTTGATAAGTTGAGACAAAGACTATAAAATTGTATAAGCAGTATTCTGATTTATACTTTATTCAATAGAATTAATTAATTTTTCTGATAAATCTTGTTTATTTAATAAAGTAGTTGAAAATTCTTCTATTTTCTATTTTTATTCTTGTAATAAAGTTTCCTCCTATTATAATTATTATTATTCTTAATCTTATTAATTTTTCTCATCTAGACCAGCAAAATTAAATTTATGTAGATAATTATTTACAATTTTTGTTGAAAATGTTTAAAATTGTTCTACTTTTGCAGGCGCATAGGCTTCGTCTGTAAACTTAAAAACTGTATTAATTTTTGTAAAGTCAACTTTATCCAAATATTTGATAACTTAATCTAAATCATATTACCTAAAGCTATATTATATAAATACCTGTTTCTCAAAGCAGATACTTCAGCCAGTGCAATTTTTTGAAATAATTATCTTATGCATTCAGCTACATTTGATTCAAGCTCTTTAATTTAATTGACATACAATTCCATTTCAGGTAAGATTTCATTATATTATTAATTAAATTTTTCTACAGCTATTTTATAATTTCCAAATGTATTCTCTTTATTTTTCATAAGATCTTAGATTGTTTTCATGTGGCCCAACTTTTAATCGACATTATTATTAACTAATTCAATTGTCAAAACATTTCTTTCAAATACTTTTGTAATCGAAACATAAAAGGATTAGCTTTAAACCAATTTTTATTATGCTAACTTTAATTTATTTATAGATCTAAGTTATACTAATTTTACTTCTCTTTTTTGTCATGTAAATTGAGCAATTATTGTTAATAATTATTTATATTTTTTGAGAATTCTTCTTTAGCATTTTTCATATCTGTTATCAGTTATTCTTAAGCTTGAAATTTATTTGAACAGTTAGTAATTATATACTAAAACACTTCATCGTATTTATGATCCTCATATTTATCTATGACTGATTTTAATTTTTATTGGTAATATACTTCCAATTGCACTTTAAAATCAATTGTCTAATTAAATAGGGATGTTTACATTAAATGCTCTTTAAGACAGATCAATCCTTTGTTTTAGATTCATATAAGCCAAATGATATTAAATGGCTAATTATTTATAATCTTTGCTCATTTTCTATATTTATTTATTTATTTATTTAATAAATGAGATGTACTAATTTTTAATCTGATTTAAGGTTTGAAATAAAATGTTCAACAAAGAAAGTATATCATAACAAACAAAAACTGGAAGAGAACATTTAGAAGAAAACTAAAGCTATATACAATAAAAATAAAATGAGAATAATCATTAAACTAAAAAACTTAAGAATCCTCTTAATTTACGACAATAATGTTGTTCCCTCATAAATAAAATTACTAAATATGATAATGTAATTGAACGTAAACCTTCAATTAGAATATTTAAATAGCAAATAAAAATTAAAATTTTCGACTTTGTGATAAATTGTCTTTAATATCAAAGAGTTCCATCCACATCGAAACAATTTTGCTAATATTTATTCTATCATTAATAATGATAGTTTAAAATATGAAAAAATATTTTGAATTTTTTATATTTCATTAAAATTTATTAAAAAAAAAACAAATTTTATGGATTGTTTTAATTTAGTGCTTTTGGAGAAGCTATTTAACAAATATACAAAAAATGGTTGCATAGATGATCTCAAATAATGGCATGGGTTCTTAGAATTTTTATATGTGAATCAATTATTTGATCCCAACGATATGCTTAAGATTAAAGATAGCGTTATTTATTTCCCTTTAGTGTTTGAGAATCTTATGAAAATCTTTGCAAATGCTAATATTGTACCTGCATTGTAAGAAATGTCTAGAGAATTAGACAAACTTTATAATTAAGTCAATGATTGTAGGACAACATTAAAAAACTGGAATTATTAAACTTTTTCAGTTGAGGACATGAAATACACAACAAAAACATATGAAGAAATAGAGAAAGAATTTCAAGACTTTAAGAATGAATTCGATGATTTTGCAGCAGATGTGATTATTGTAAACTAACCTATACAATCCCTAAAAAGTGTTGTGAAGTCTTTTCCAATAATTGAATCTGTATTGTATGACTGTTATCCAAGAATCCTTAGGAGTATTTAAGTAGTAATCGAGATAAGATAGACCGAGAATATGCAAAAATTAGAGTGAAATCTGTTTAATACAGGAATTAAGCAATTAAAATATTGAAATAAGGATAAATAAAAGTTTAGGTTGGTTACGATCATATGAACGATGCTCCTGTTGAAGTATGGTTAATACCAAAGTAATATTTAAATTTTAGGTTAGATGTATGTGGAGATAACAAGAATAATGTGAATTATTGAACACATTTGAAGCTCATCATGAATTGATTTTATCTTAATTTTTTCCTAAGTATTTGGGATAAGATTTGTTATCAGATGAAAATAACTTTTAGCATTTTATGGAATTGAAGAGAGGACATACATTAAAATATTTACTTAAGTAATCTAAAAAACCACTGACTCCTGATTACTTATTTTTTAGAACTACTATGAGATAAGTTTTTGGAGGTTTATATGATATTTTAAGAATGACCAGATATTATCCTGTTTTACCAATAACACTAGCAAACATCTAAGTTGGAAACGATGGAGTCTAAATTTATTTACGTAATGTCAGATTTACGGAATTGAGAGAGGATGATTAACACTTAGAAGCAACTTTATTGGAGAACTTTGCCTAAATTATTATGTCCACTTTAGGAAGTAAATTAATAATATTATTATTATATAGTGAAAAGGTCAGATGTTGGAAAATTGGGAAAATATTTGGATTGGAAAAATCTATTGTAAGGTTTGTTTAATGCGGAAGAAGACCATTAACTTTATAAAAGTATTTGATTATATAACTTCACTATAATAGAAGGCGTTATTTAGGAAAGATTAACCTTTTGTTAATTACTTAATCACGATTTATTTGATGATGAATTATTGAGTAACTTTGAAGTGAGTGAAGTTGTTTAAAGTTATCATGATTGGATTTCATGAATTATTCAATTTTATTTATAGTAATTTTTTGTTTAAGTANTCCCTTTAGTGTTTGAGAATCTTATGAAAATCTTTGCAAATGCTAATATTGTACCTGCATTGTAAGAAATGTCTAGAGAATTAGACAAACTTTATAATTAAGTCAATGATTGTAGGACAACATTAAAAAACTGGAATTATTAAACTTTTTCAGTTGAGGACATGAAATACACAACAAAAACATATGAAGAAATAGAGAAAGAATTTCAAGACTTTAAGAATGAATTCGATGATTTTGCAGCAGATGTGATTATTGTAAACTAACCTATACAATCCCTAAAAAGTGTTGTGAAGTCTTTTCCAATAATTGAATCTGTATTGTATGACTGTTATCCAAGAATCCTTAGGAGTATTTAAGTAGTAATCGAGATAAGATAGACCGAGAATATGCAAAAATTAGAGTGAAATCTGTTTAATACAGGAATTAAGCAATTAAAATATTGAAATAAGGATAAATAAAAGTTTAGGTTGGTTACGATCATATGAACGATGCTCCTGTTGAAGTATGGTTAATACCAAAGTAATATTTAAATTTTAGGTTAGATGTATGTGGAGATAACAAGAATAATGTGAATTATTGAACACATTTGAAGCTCATCATGAATTGATTTTATCTTAATTTTTTCCTAAGTATTTGGGATAAGATTTGTTATCAGATGAAAATAACTTTTAGCATTTTATGGAATTGAAGAGAGGACATACATTAAAATATTTACTTAAGTAATCTAAAAAACCACTGACTCCTGATTACTTATTTTTTAGAACTACTATGAGATAAGTTTTTGGAGGTTTATATGATATTTTAAGAATGACCAGATATTATCCTGTTTTACCAATAACACTAGCAAACATCTAAGTTGGAAACGATGGAGTCTAAATTTATTTACGTAATGTCAGATTTACGGAATTGAGAGAGGATGATTAACACTTAGAAGCAACTTTATTGGAGAACTTTGCCTAAATTATTATGTCCACTTTAGGAAGTAAATTAATAATATTATTATTATATAGTGAAAAGGTCAGATGTTGGAAAATTGGGAAAATATTTGGATTGGAAAAATCTATTGTAAGGTTTGTTTAATGCGGAAGAAGACCATTAACTTTATAAAAGTATTTGATTATATAACTTCACTATAATAGAAGGCGTTATTTAGGAAAGATTAACCTTTTGTTAATTACTTAATCACGATTTATTTGATGATGAATTATTGAGTAACTTTGAAGTGAGTGAAGTTGTTTAAAGTTATCATGATTGGATTTCATGAATTATTCAATTTTATTTATAGTAATTTTTTGTTTAAGTATATATTAATATATTATATTACTTATAAAGATGAGATTGATATATAATTGTTTTAATAAATTATTAATTTATGTGGAATTGAAAATGGAAAATAGGTTGATTAAGCTTAAATAAAATAAAATTTTATACTGAATATAATTACTTAATCTTAAATTCTTAGGTCTATCTATATACTTTAAAATTAATTATTGATATTAAATTACATTAATAAAGTAGTACAAATAGAAGTGAATTTTTTATTTTTATAGAAAGATAGTTTTAGGTTAGTTGATATTATTTTAATTTTAATTAGAATAATAAAATTACTATTTATTTATATTGAAAATGGGTTCTAAGCCTTCAAAAAAACCAGATCCCCCAAAATCTAACGAAGCCCAACTTGAAGATCAAATTCCAGTTTATAATAGACCTAAATCTCCAGATTATGGATAGCAAGCTAAAATAGAGGCTGTTGGAATAAAACCTGATGATAATATCGATAGGTACTTCAGTTGTTTGATATATTTAAGGGAGGCAGAAAATAAGAGATAAGCCGAAAAGCAAAGAAATTCTAAAATGGAGGGTTAATAGAAAATATAACTTCCATAAAAAAAAATAGAATAACCAAAAAAATAATCTTAGAAATTTGTTATTAAATCAAGTTAGTAAAATAATAACAGTTTGGATTTATCATATGATCAATTTGTAAATGGATTAAATCAAAATGATATTAAAGAATTGGAGAGACAATTAGAGAGTGATGAATTATCTCCAATCAATAAAACAAATACTGAATGTATGTGTAAAATATTATCAGAGCTTAAAAATAGGCACTTGATGAGTAGAAAATTAAGGTAGCTGAATAAAAAATATGGAAATTAAAATAAAAAATAAAGAGATCTTTTGATTGGCCTGCTTAAGGTTAAGTTTATATGGTTTCGGTTACCTTTAAATATAACTATTAATATAAAACTTAAAAGTTAGCAGTGACATAACCTTTTGATAATTATGTAAACTCAATTTTATCTTGGAAAAATAATGCATAATTGGGTGTATTCGAATTTAAATTAAGAGATGTAGATATCTATAATACAGAAACAGGAGATGTACAATAACTTAAATTTAATGAAGTGGAATTTATGGTTGATTATAATGGAGTTTTTGTAATTAAATAATTTATTTTAGATTGGAGTTAAACATGAAAGTGATTTTATTAAGAAACTTTCATAATAGAAAAGATATTATGAAAAAGAATAAATAAAGGAAAAAATGGATAGGGATTAATTACTTAATAATTAATTGAGTAATCTAGAAAGATTAGCTAATAATAAATTACAAGTCAAATAATCAACTAAGCAAAAGAAATAAAAACCAGAGGCAATCATATAGAAAACTGAAAAACAATTAGAATAATTTTGGACGAATGCATTTTAATGTTGGTATACTCTAAATGAGGACGAAGCTGAAAAAATCTTTTATGCAGGTTAAGAATGTATAGTTTTATAAAAGAAAGACGAGGATCCATAAAAAAAGTTAGAAACTTTTCTAATTAAGAAATTATAAGATCCAGAATTCTTTAAGTCTTGTTTAAATTCAGTTAAAACAATAAAGGATCCATTAAAAAAATGGGGAATGTTTAGTAATGAAGAAATATTAGAATATTTAGGTGGAGCAAAACATGTAAGAATTTTAAATGCTTATTTAGAGTGTTGTATAAATATAAAAGAAAATAACTTTTCCAATTTTAGAAAAATATAAGATTATTGATGGTATACTTAATAATAGTGACTTAACTCCTTTGGTTGTCAAATGGAATTAATGTAGAAAAACAGTTATAGAACATGAGAGAGACTTATTTGTGGATATTGAATAAGAAAAAAAGTATATTTTTATAAAGATTATAGATTATTAACATTTATATGGGATAAACAATTAGATATTAAGATGAAATTAAGATCTGAAAATATATTTGTGGAAGAACTTAATAAATTTAGAGATGAGTGTGAATTAGAATTAAAAGAAATGTTGTTCCAATTATCAACGATTCCTAATTTTCCAATGGAGAATAGACCTAAATATAAAGAAAAATATTTCTAAATTTTATGATCATTGAAATGAGGGTGGTTATAACTCAAGAACTCTAAAAATATTCATAAAATGTATTTGCTGAGTAGGGTTGAGTGAGCAGTATAATTCTGCAAATTCACTCTCATCTACTAACTTATGCGTAGCCCATTTCTTCAAATAGTTTATAATCTTAAGTTTGTTTTGCATCTTATCTATGTCTTTTCTCAACTTACGAATTAATGTACTTTTGTTTTTTTCACAAAATCCAAGAGTATAATTGGTTATCACTTTAGGTTTAATAATTTAATGCCTTGAAGTGTGACTTTCTTAATTGAGAACTTTCTCATAAGGAACTCTAACTTTTTCACCGCTTCTTATTAAGATATCCAGTAATGGTTGATACTCGGTTATTAATTAATCGAATCCATCTTATAAAAAGATATGCCTCTTTCTTTCACAATATATGTATTATTACTTGCATTCAACTTAAGTACAACGACCTATGAAATTGAAGATGGGACAAACATAAGAAAATGAGCTTAACTCATCCTTTATAGTCTTGTGCACTCTCTCATCTCTATTAGTGTCACTCTAAGTTGTTAAGAAATTCATACAAGTGAACGCAATGAGGATTCGCTATCTATGCCTTCTAATTTATCGCTTTTTTAGGCAAAGATCTCTCCCTCCTCAAATTATAAGTCCATATATTGTATATTTAATTTTGATGAAAAGTCATAACATAATTACCTTTAAAGAGATCTTTATACTCAGATGATAATTAGAATGATAACTATTTTTTCTAAGTTTACATATAAGTATTTCTCCCATAACTAAATATAAGAGGTCATTGTACTAAGAAAAAAAATTGGAATAAAAAGATTTTTATTAATAAATCTATTAATTAGAAGTGAATATTTATAAATATTATAATATTTGGCATTATTCTTCAGTTATTAGATAATTACTAACTTATTTGTTAATTGATTTTATTAAGAAATGATATGCATAACTTAGTAATTTATATTACAAATAATTAATTTATGTTAAAAATTGTAGATAAGTTTAAAGAATTGGTTTCATAAGAGTTGTGGATAAAGTTCTTTAATTAGATTAATGGTAGATTGATGCTTAAATTAATAATGCTTAAGTCAGTTGTTTGTAAGCTTAACAACCCTATAAAGTCGTAATGATGCTTGGGATTTTGTTTGGTTATATAGGGAGTTCTGAAAATAAAGTAAAATTCAATATGAACGAAGATTTAGATTATAGTCAAAAATTGACTAAAACTATTTTAACAAAAGTTGATGGATATTATAAGTAATTGATCTTGCTTTCTTATTTATCTGAAAAATAATCAACAAATTTAATTTATCAACCAATTACATTAAATAATTTTACTATTTCAAATGACACATTCACTGAGAAATACATAATATAACATAAATTGAACTAAAATAATATATCTTTATATAGATCTCTATATAAAGTTACAGAATAAATGAATTAAGAAGGATGGTTATAAACAATAAAACTAGCATAAATAGATAAATATATTTTAGAAATGATGTTTAATTATGATGATATGATGATATTTTTTCATCAATATTACCTTATAAATAAGCTAAATAAAATTATTCATTACTTCCCTGTTATATAAAATATGAATGATAGTTATCTCTAATTGGAATAAAAATAATAAATATTATACAGCAATGAGACAATAATATTTTCATATCCAACCAGTTATGGTATGGTTTTAGGAATTGGATATACAAAAGTTATTGCACAAATATTATCAAAATTGTAGTCATCATTTTTTATCAAAATATTCAAAACTGATAACTCTTTTTATGTTTCAAATGATTAAAACATAAATGATCAATGCGAGTGTTAAATGAATAGAATTTTGAATATAAGTTTTGATTGTGATATGCCAAGTGGAGATAATAACTACTATTCTAGTAGTTCATGTAATTCTTTATTTGTTAGAGATATTTCAACTGATAGTCAAATTTAAATATATTTAGTAATTTACAAATAAAGAATAGATGATTCAGTCAAAGCCTTAGATTTATTTAATTTGGCATGGCCTTATTATTTAATCATAATAGTTATATTTTTCATTAATATTTTGATTATCATAAATAGAGTCAATTTATTTACTAGAGATATTACTAATCCAATAAAGTAAGTTACTTATAAAATTGATAAAATCATAAATAATATATTTTAAATAAGAATCATAAACAAAATATAGGCAGATGACATTTTAATAAAGGAGGACACTGAGGTACAGATACTAATTCATGAGTTTTCTCGCTTATTTGAATAATTAAGAAATATGAACACTTTTAATATCCAAACATTTGAGAAGAAAGAAAAGAAAGACATTTTGCCAAAATAAAATGATAAATCAATAGAATAAATTAAAACTTTGGTAAATAAATTTAGAGAATCACTGTGATGATTTAGGCATAAATGTATCAATAATTTCTTATCTTTAAAAATTTTCACACCATCTTAAAATATAATATTTAAATACATTTGATGGTTTTTTGATTCTAAATATTAAATAAAATAGTTGAGTCGATTTTGGTCATTCCAAATTTAAGAAAAATCATCCAATTTTAATAATTGCATGAATTTGTTCATTTCTGAAATCTCTACTATCTTATATTTTTGTTTTCCTTTATAATTGTAATTAATTTCATATTTCTCATTCTCTATATTATTAAGTGATATATTTCCTATCTCAGAAGTTTTACTGAAGGATACTCTAACTGTATGCTCCTCATTACCTGAATCACTTTCAATATCTGTTCCAAAATTATCAAATTGTGGAGTGTCTCTAACAGCATGTGATTGTTATAATAGAGTATGTTGTAAATTTGGTGAGTCATCCAAAAATTATTTATTATTCATATGTTGATTTAAATTAATATTTGAATTGCAAATGATATTTAATTTCTCACAATTGTCAATGTGTCTTCTTAGATCTTTTACTTATAAATTACATGATTTATCTACAAGGTATTCATAAAAAGAAAAAAGAAGAAAAATTTAAACTAGATTCATCCATACTGTGTTCCCAAATATTATCATATTTAAAGTTTACAATATCTAAAATAAGAATGGATAACGAATAAATCTTCTGAATTATTTTCTACTCTAATTAAAATATTTATTGTCATCATATAAAATTTTCATCATAGTGCACTAATCTAAACGATTATAATTACATAAACTATAAATTAGCATCCAATTGGAATCATATTGACATAAGGAGTAAAGCTATTCAAGACACCTTCCAAAATTAAGGCAACTATCAATAATAAAACCCAAATAAATTTATATCTCAAAGTAAATGATTTATGATAAGTTTCCTTTACTTTCATGTCTATCCAAGCCGAACTCATAAGTTTATACTAATAAAGGAAAATGCTCATATAAATCAAAGATTCTGTCATGGAAAGTAAACACATAGCTTTGTTATCACCCTTTTAATTACAATTGGAAAAATTACGCAGAATTAACTATCCATATTATTTAATTATATTATTTCTTTTGTTAATTTATTTTGTAGTTCGGCTTTTTCTATAGAACATTAATGATATTAATTAATAGTAATTAAGTATTTAAGTTTAGAAGAATCATTAAAAATTGTTCATATTTTAAGATTGCTATTTTTAATTCAATTTAAAAATGCAATAGGACCAGTGACCAATTAGACTTTTTTCTTCATCAGAATATACAAAGACTCATTCTATACTATTCTTTTTCTATTTTAGGTAAATAAGGCTTCTAATGCTTGGATAATTCAACAAAATGAAATCCTACCTTCTATCTACAAAAAATAGCTCTTGAATTTCCTATGTTAGCTCCCCAACCAGTGAGTTCAATAATTAATAAACAAATAGTGGTGGCTTTACTGTAAGTTATATCAATTCTTGATTTAAATTATTCCTTTTTTTTTCTTTCAAACGCTTATCTTAAAATCATCTTATCTCAATCTTTCTTAACCATATTCTAAGATTTTAATAACTAATCTATAATAGTTGGTAATCTTTCTTAAATGGATTATGCTACTTAATCTCGATTGAAACAATGTCCATCCGAGACTTGCAATAGATACGAATCATCTACATTCTTTATTCTTCCATGAATAGCATAAAAATCTTGATTTATCTTCTCTCATTTTTATGGAGCATTCCTGCTTAAGTTCTATTAAATTTAATAGAATTGAGAATTTTGCGTCTTACTAAATAATTAATTATTGATTTAATTAATTCCATTTTTTATTAAAGAAATCAAATCACGAGACAAAGCTGTTGATTTGACATTTATTATCAGTTTTTATCTTATTTGATANTCATCCATACTGTGTTCCCAAATATTATCATATTTAAAGTTTACAATATCTAAAATAAGAATGGATAACGAATAAATCTTCTGAATTATTTTCTACTCTAATTAAAATATTTATTGTCATCATATAAAATTTTCATCATAGTGCACTAATCTAAACGATTATAATTACATAAACTATAAATTAGCATCCAATTGGAATCATATTGACATAAGGAGTAAAGCTATTCAAGACACCTTCCAAAATTAAGGCAACTATCAATAATAAAACCCAAATAAATTTATATCTCAAAGTAAATGATTTATGATAAGTTTCCTTTACTTTCATGTCTATCCAAGCCGAACTCATAAGTTTATACTAATAAAGGAAAATGCTCATATAAATCAAAGATTCTGTCATGGAAAGTAAACACATAGCTTTGTTATCACCCTTTTAATTACAATTGGAAAAATTACGCAGAATTAACTATCCATATTATTTAATTATATTATTTCTTTTGTTAATTTATTTTGTAGTTCGGCTTTTTCTATAGAACATTAATGATATTAATTAATAGTAATTAAGTATTTAAGTTTAGAAGAATCATTAAAAATTGTTCATATTTTAAGATTGCTATTTTTAATTCAATTTAAAAATGCAATAGGACCAGTGACCAATTAGACTTTTTTCTTCATCAGAATATACAAAGACTCATTCTATACTATTCTTTTTCTATTTTAGGTAAATAAGGCTTCTAATGCTTGGATAATTCAACAAAATGAAATCCTACCTTCTATCTACAAAAAATAGCTCTTGAATTTCCTATGTTAGCTCCCCAACCAGTGAGTTCAATAATTAATAAACAAATAGTGGTGGCTTTACTGTAAGTTATATCAATTCTTGATTTAAATTATTCCTTTTTTTTTCTTTCAAACGCTTATCTTAAAATCATCTTATCTCAATCTTTCTTAACCATATTCTAAGATTTTAATAACTAATCTATAATAGTTGGTAATCTTTCTTAAATGGATTATGCTACTTAATCTCGATTGAAACAATGTCCATCCGAGACTTGCAATAGATACGAATCATCTACATTCTTTATTCTTCCATGAATAGCATAAAAATCTTGATTTATCTTCTCTCATTTTTATGGAGCATTCCTGCTTAAGTTCTATTAAATTTAATAGAATTGAGAATTTTGCGTCTTACTAAATAATTAATTATTGATTTAATTAATTCCATTTTTTATTAAAGAAATCAAATCACGAGACAAAGCTGTTGATTTGACATTTATTATCAGTTTTTATCTTATTTGATATACCTGATGAAACCAAATTTCTACTAATTTTTCAAATTTCTATACTTATTTTACTTTTTTGGAGACCAATCAGTTTTTTAAGGCGAAGTTAAAGGTCTTGCATGAGCAAGTTTTTATTAACTGCAGAGCTAATCTTCGTTAATATATATTATCAAAACAGTTAGTTAGAAAAAATAAGCAAATCAAAATTATTCTTGGTTAATGTGCGTTTTCATAACCATTTGACTCTTTTGCCTTGTTCCCAATAGCCTCTTCTATTTTCACCTGTAGTTGTTGTGTACTCTCCTTCCCCGTTCTACTTTCCACTCAACCATTATCCAGAATAGAAACGACCATCTCCCCAGTAGAATGTCCCAAATCCATGCTTTTGATCGTTTTTGTATTCACCTTCATATTTTTTCCCATCAGCCCAAGTCATCGTACCATATCCATCCATTTTATTATTCTTCCATTAACCATTATAAGATTTCCCATCAAACCAAGTATATTCTCCATTTCCATGTATCTAATTTTCAAAAAATTATCCAACATACTATGAACCATCTGCAAAAAATATATGTCCATATCCATGTTTTTTGCCCTCCTTATATTCTCCATCATATTTTGAACCATCTTTCCATATTTCTATACCTTTTCCATTCTGTTAATCATCTTTCCATTAACCTTCATAACGAGCCCCATTTGAATGAATATATATACCAAATCCGTCTGCCTAATCTCTTTACCATTCTCCCTCATATTCGTCTCCGTCTGCATGCATTAATTTACCTCTTCCCCAAGCGAAATTTTATTTCCATTCTCCTAAATAAACAGAACCATCAGCCCATTAATGCCTTCCTAAGCCCCATCTCTACCCTTTCATCCATTATCCTTTGTATTTACTTCCATCAACCATTTCTATTTCAGGCAATTCTACAGGCTCTTAATTTTTTTCTGTTTATTTAATTAATTATTAATCTTCCTCTTTTATTGCCTCAATAATACAAATTCTATTTGAAAGCGAACTTTCCTTGATAAATTATTTGCTTTCTTATTAATTCATTTTTTTCCTAACAGAATGTCCTCTATAATGAGCTTATATTTTAATAATTGAAGTTATTTTCTCTTGAAATTCAGTCACTTTTCTATCTTCTGTTGTTAATGCATGATTAATCTCAGTAATTATTTACTTTTCCACTACTTAGTTATCATCTTTCTTGCAACATAATATTGAGCATGGACCCATGAAGTTTATAAAATAATCAATTATCAATAATAATTTATTTCAATAATTTAAATTACTCATCATATGCGACAATATATTTTAATTTATCAAATTACTTGATATATCCAACTGTTTTGTTTGTAGTAGTATTCTTATCTTTATCATAATTTTGTTCTAGGATAAATCTTTTCTCACTCATTCTCCATTTCATTATATGTTACCACCTCATTTAAGTAATCCAAGTCACAATACCTGGAGTTGTAACTGTAAATGATATTTGTTTAGCCAGAACGAAAACCTCTTTCTACTTATTCAAAATCATTTCTATGTCATTTAATTAAGAATTTAGAAGTAATAACTGAGCATTTTCATGTTGAGTTTCATTACAATATTTAAATTCATTATCAATCGAAATTTCATATAATTATAATGAATGATTCTTAATAAATTGTATTATGTTCTCTAATTAGTTATTCTCATTATTTTCTATTAATTCAAGTTCACTTTGACTTTGATTTATCAATGCTCTCAGTTTAGTGATATTAGTAAAATTCTAATTCAATATTTATACCTAAATTTATGTAGTATTATAATAAATTTCATCTCTTCTTTGATCATCTATAAGACCCGATTAATATAAAAATGATCCATAATATCCAATCTAATGAATTGGACTTACCCATGCATTTTCGAGTATGATACCATCGATGTTTACTTTATATCCAACTGAATATTCAATTATTTTTGAGAATAGTGATGCCACATATTCTCTTCCATATAACATTACTTTCATGTTGTTTATTCCTTTTTTCCATACAAATTCCTGTATGAATTCTAAAATATTTATGGCAAATCCGTTCTTTTCACCACTACCTGAAGAATAACCAACTCCAAAAGGTTAGTCAATATAAAGTACACTTACAAATTTATTATAAGAGTATGGATGTAAATCTAGTGATCCATTTTTTAAGGTAAATGGACCATATTTATCATAAGCATGCAATATTGAGGAGCAACCATTATTTTTTAACATCACCCATAATTGATCAGTGTCTGTAAATTAATTATAATCCGTATGGTTTTCTTTCAAAAATATCTAATATGTATAGAATCCATTATCCAATGTTACTCTCCCAGACTCACATAAAAATGATATCTTGGTTTTAATCAGATCTTCATAGAAGGAAGTCACATCATACTCATATATATATGCTCTAGCTAGTGTGAAAATTAATTATAAATAAATAAACATTATCTTTTGTTTTAATAAACATATACTCATGTGAAATCATCTGACTTGCTCATTATGCTTTTTTATAATTAATCCTCAAAACTTTTGCGATTGTGCAAAGCTAAAAATAGATAAATATATTACCTGCTTTCAAATTATATCGTTACTTTTCTTTCAAAAAGTCTATCACAAATATTCTGATTAAATACTAATCTAAGCAACATAAAATGATATCACAAGACAAAAATATTGTTTATAAAATAATAGGCATTGTAAATTTTTCAACTTCTAAATACATGAATACAAATGGAACAATCATCAAACAGTAAATTAAGATGCTTCTACAAGATTGACTAATATTAAGTACAAGTTAGAACTTTTGGTAATTATGTATTCTTTGAAAAATATCATAGAATGTATTGAAAAGCAACTACAAAGGATTTGAAGTAAAACCTTAATATTTATTTCAGTTATTTACTATCACGATTTGCAAAGATAAATAAAGCATTTTGAATTTACCTTAAACAGAATACAAAATTAAAAATATCAAATAGGTAATTAATATTCCACATTCAAATAATAACATATAAATTGATCTGAATTTAATATCTTATACTATATACCTTTAACGAGCAATTTCACCTGCATTTTCAGAATATTTTCCATTTTTTCTTATTAGGATGGAGTCCTTTGTTTTTTTTAGTTTTTTATTCTTATCCATAATAAAATTATATATATATAAATAATTATAAATTATTCACTTTATATTTGATTATTCTAAATTCTCATCAACTTCTCTAAAATCATTCTGATCTTGTACTTAAGTTTTCAATTCTTCATTATCATGATAATAATGAATCTCATTAGGTACCTCAATACAATGAATTATTTATTAAATTCCAGTATATTTTGAATTAATAGTTGATCTATGGATAACTTTAGATACTCTATTGTTGTATCCTTAACTGTCCTATCTTTAGAATTGAACAGTTTATCTTCTTGGCTAATTCCCATCATTAGCCTTTTTCTATAATTATTTTTGCTCTTTAATTTCCAATCTTCTTTGACTATAATTGTATATAAACCATTGCTTCATATATTTTTCCTCAATGTGAGCTAACCATCTATAAAATTTAGATTTTTTTTTAGAATATTAATCATCGTTTTCACCTAAACCTCCTTATATTTCCTTTAATTAAATATAATCAATTTGTTTACCCCTAGAAAAGTGACTCTGATGCTATCCCTAGATTGGACTTTCTTTTTATTGTTACGATGTTCCTGTATTTACAAATTACCTGATATATAAAATGGCATCATTGCCCCAAGTATTATCGTTGTAATAACAACAATAATCAAAATTGTTGTTTACATAAGCTAAACCTATTCTTTCTCCTCTTCCTTGTAATGAAGTTTTTGTATAAGAGCATAAGCAACAGATCCCCTTATAAGACCTGCAAACCAAACGATATTTAGCTCCCAAAAGGTTAATTTAAAGTTTTTTCTCCCAGTGAAGATTTGGGATATCATCGTTAATATAAATAAGGATAATCCTCTTGAAACGAAACATATTGCGATTTCAAGCAAAATAAAAACCCAACTTGTTTTCATATTATCTAATCCATTTTCTCCCTTTATTGCCCATAAGGCTAAGCCCAAATATACATAGATAAAGGATTCACAAAAAAGCGATAATGAATTCAATGTTATTCTATTTATTATTCATGAATTTATACTTTGATGATATTTATCCCAGGTTGCAAAGATTATAATAATTATAATGAGCTAAAGTTATTCCACAAACCAAAACACTGATTACACCACTTAATTCCAACAACTCACAAATTGCAAAACTTGCATATCCAACATATAGTAATATAATTATTTCTAGAATCACAGACTCCGTCAAGAATCTTAATCGTTTAAATAAAAGTGATGTGAATAAACCTAAGATTAATTTTTTTTGATATACATACCGAAAATTATCCCAATAGCCATGCTTCCAAAAAATTCCTTGATGAATAACCACATCAATTCAAGTGGCATTTTCCAAGTTTCTACATTATCATTACTTATTAATTCAACTGAAATGAAAAGGATAATGGATACTGCATCATTGACCATCCCTTCGCCAAAGACAACACTAAATAATTTAGGATATTTTTCTGGTTTAATCATTGTTAAAGCTGCTACACTATCAGAGGCACATATGGTTGCTGAAAAAATCATGATATTCTCAACACTCAATTTTATTACATTATCTTGATTGAACGATTCCGTTATCAAATCTAATTCATAAAAATTTATACTTTATTCATTCACTATATATGTGAAAATGAAGATAAACGCAAATGTCAATATTGTTCCAGCTAATCCAAATAAAATTATATAAAAAAAGTTTTATGCAAATCTATAATAATTCTAATTTAATATTAAACCTCCTTTTGTTCAAGTTGTAACCTCCACAAAATATAATTATCGGTAAAAGAATATAGAAAAAGAATGTGCCATTAAAAGTATACTACTTCATATTGATGATATACTAATGAACGCAATGTGCCCTCAAGGACAAGATAAAAAAAGAATCCACTCAGTATTCCCAGCAAAATTCCTAAGCCTGTCTCATGAATTATGTGGATCTACAAATTTATTTCAAAATATATACATGTTTATGCTCAAAGAAGGCTCCTGAGATTGAATAAACGAATAAAACAACGATAACCGTAATTGAAACCACTCCAAAAGATTCCATGCCTGACATTGATTGCGTAATATTGCTGCTTTTACTATAATAATTAATATAATTAATTTTGTGATAATTTGATAATCAAATAATTATTAAGCAAATTGCATTCCAAATTCGTAAGTAGCCATTTTCTTGAATGAAATGACTATTAGTAGGTTTGGAAATAATCGATTTATTTTTTTTTTGAACTTTATTAAACATATATAATCAACCACTTGTATATTTGGTAACAGCTTTTGTTCCTTCAGAAATAGTGGGAGTAATCATTTAACAGCAGTTTAAATTACCCTTGAGCTTAAAGTTCTTCTTTTATTGAATCTGACTAATTTGTTAGCTTCAAGAGCAATTCTATCAAAAATATCATTAATGAATGAATTCATAATGTTCATGGCTTTTCTTGAAACACCAATTTCTGGATACACTTATCTCACTACTTTGTAAAAGTATAAGCCAAATGTTCCTTATCTTCTTCTTGCTATTTTCATTTCTATTTATTATTACAATTGGTAATTAAAAATCAACATATAAGTGGTATAATTCTGAAAAATCAGATTTCTCAAATGTACTTGCAATAAACTATGATAACTCTGCACTTGTAGTAGGTATTAGAGAAAAAATCTAAAGTTTCAAGATTTTGCATTACAAAGAATACAATATTGAAAACTTAACTGAATAAGAGGAAGAGGAACTTTTTGCAAGTGATGGAAAAGCTTTAAGAAAACTTTTGATTTGTGATGGGAATATTTGTTAAGTCACAACTCTTTAATTTTAAAAATCTTAAACATGCGAACTTCTTCCTCTCTGGTTCAGAAAATTTGATAAATATTTGGGCCCCAGATGATTAATTAATGCCATATTGCTGGTAATAAAAATATAAGGACCTAATCTAAAATAAATGTGTCATCATTAACCCAAATGAAAACCTTAGTATTAGTGGTGATATTGAAAATGTGAAATTTTGGTAATTACAAGATTAGTATGTTTGCTAATAGATAATAAATGAACATAAAATGCCTATAATTGGTTTTTCAAAAAGCCCAGATGGAAGAAAAATAATCAATTAGAGCAGATAAAAATCTTTATGTAATGGCAGATTCAGAAAAAGAAATTTGGTAAATCCTTTAGAAGATTTAATTTAATGAATATCTACTTCGGATTTGTTTTATCACTAATTAGATTTTTACTTTTCAAATCATCTAAATCACATTCAGGAACTAAAAAAATTTATCGATATTCAAAATGTATATGAATTAAAAATTTTAGATTGCCAAAAATATATCTTTATAAGGAAAGGGTCAACATGATTTAGGGGATTGCCAACCAATTTATGTTACTTCTAAGCAAATATTAGTGATCAAAAATGGTTATTTCATAAATATTCTAAGATTTATTCTATAAAATCCAAGGATAAGATGGGGAATTCAACTATTAGTTAGAATAATCAATTAATTTTGGTTATGATTGTGTATATGGAACAATTAGTCATGATGGACAATTCTTAATTACTTGGGATTATAAATCTCATAAGACTTAAATTAAAAAATATTATCAGAAGATTGATCAATAAATTTGGGCAAGTTTTATTAAAAATAATATTCAATATTAATTATNAAATTACCCTTGAGCTTAAAGTTCTTCTTTTATTGAATCTGACTAATTTGTTAGCTTCAAGAGCAATTCTATCAAAAATATCATTAATGAATGAATTCATAATGTTCATGGCTTTTCTTGAAACACCAATTTCTGGATACACTTATCTCACTACTTTGTAAAAGTATAAGCCAAATGTTCCTTATCTTCTTCTTGCTATTTTCATTTCTATTTATTATTACAATTGGTAATTAAAAATCAACATATAAGTGGTATAATTCTGAAAAATCAGATTTCTCAAATGTACTTGCAATAAACTATGATAACTCTGCACTTGTAGTAGGTATTAGAGAAAAAATCTAAAGTTTCAAGATTTTGCATTACAAAGAATACAATATTGAAAACTTAACTGAATAAGAGGAAGAGGAACTTTTTGCAAGTGATGGAAAAGCTTTAAGAAAACTTTTGATTTGTGATGGGAATATTTGTTAAGTCACAACTCTTTAATTTTAAAAATCTTAAACATGCGAACTTCTTCCTCTCTGGTTCAGAAAATTTGATAAATATTTGGGCCCCAGATGATTAATTAATGCCATATTGCTGGTAATAAAAATATAAGGACCTAATCTAAAATAAATGTGTCATCATTAACCCAAATGAAAACCTTAGTATTAGTGGTGATATTGAAAATGTGAAATTTTGGTAATTACAAGATTAGTATGTTTGCTAATAGATAATAAATGAACATAAAATGCCTATAATTGGTTTTTCAAAAAGCCCAGATGGAAGAAAAATAATCAATTAGAGCAGATAAAAATCTTTATGTAATGGCAGATTCAGAAAAAGAAATTTGGTAAATCCTTTAGAAGATTTAATTTAATGAATATCTACTTCGGATTTGTTTTATCACTAATTAGATTTTTACTTTTCAAATCATCTAAATCACATTCAGGAACTAAAAAAATTTATCGATATTCAAAATGTATATGAATTAAAAATTTTAGATTGCCAAAAATATATCTTTATAAGGAAAGGGTCAACATGATTTAGGGGATTGCCAACCAATTTATGTTACTTCTAAGCAAATATTAGTGATCAAAAATGGTTATTTCATAAATATTCTAAGATTTATTCTATAAAATCCAAGGATAAGATGGGGAATTCAACTATTAGTTAGAATAATCAATTAATTTTGGTTATGATTGTGTATATGGAACAATTAGTCATGATGGACAATTCTTAATTACTTGGGATTATAAATCTCATAAGACTTAAATTAAAAAATATTATCAGAAGATTGATCAATAAATTTGGGCAAGTTTTATTAAAAATAATATTCAATATTAATTATAAAGAAATATTTTTATTATTTTATATTATGAAAATAATAAATTTGATTAATTTTATAAAATAATCATTTATTCAACATCCAAAATATTGCAAACTGCTGCAACCTAATTATAGGTTACAACTAAATTAATAAAGTGATTAATCAGTATAACTTGTTGATAAATATCAAGGAAAATAAGATATTTAATTAATGACATTTATAAGAACTGAAGAAATGGATTTGTCAATAATTAAATCTCATTTGTTAGTAATTCTGCATCAACTGTAGTTCTATATTGAACTTCTAATTTAGTCTTTGATAAAGTGTATATTTCACATAAGACATCCAATCTATTAAATGGGTATGCTTTATAAGTCCGTCACCTGTATTAATTATTAATTTTTACAAGAATCTAATCTAAAAGACTCTGTTAGGCAGTATTGGTGTAGGTTCATCTAAATTGGAAATAATAATCATTATCATATTGGATTCCAACAATTGATGTCAGAATCCATTTATTTGTTTATAGATTGAAATTGTAGCTAGTGTAATGTCATTGTATTAAAAAATTTAACATTATTTGATCTTTAGGTAATGAAAATATTGAATTGATTTATTATTTAATAGAAATTATTTTATTTCTCATTAATACTATGTGGTGGTTACCGTTTTAAGACTTAAATATATTAAAAATTTCTCTTGTTCCTAATACTATTTAATATCCAATTTATTTAAGATTTACATATTTTTTGACGGTTTAGATATATCTACTATAACACTAGTTTTTGTGATACTATTTTAGTTTTTGTCATACTAGAAAACAAAATATATTAAAAAATAAGACTGATATGAAAAAATCAAGGAGATCTCTGAGTGATTATAGTTGTATGAAATACTTATTTTTAATTTTTCATATTTACCAATTAGTAAAATTAAATAAGAAGATACTTGATATTAAAATCACAATATATAATTATATTAATCTTAGAAATAAATATATATAATAAANAAACATATATAATCAACCACTTGTATATTTGGTAACAGCTTTTGTTCCTTCAGAAATAGTGGGAGTAATCATTTAACAGCAGTTTAAATTACCCTTGAGCTTAAAGTTCTTCTTTTATTGAATCTGACTAATTTGTTAGCTTCAAGAGCAATTCTATCAAAAATATCATTAATGAATGAATTCATAATGTTCATGGCTTTTCTTGAAACACCAATTTCTGGATACACTTATCTCACTACTTTGTAAAAGTATAAGCCAAATGTTCCTTATCTTCTTCTTGCTATTTTCATTTCTATTTATTATTACAATTGGTAATTAAAAATCAACATATAAGTGGTATAATTCTGAAAAATCAGATTTCTCAAATGTACTTGCAATAAACTATGATAACTCTGCACTTGTAGTAGGTATTAGAGAAAAAATCTAAAGTTTCAAGATTTTGCATTACAAAGAATACAATATTGAAAACTTAACTGAATAAGAGGAAGAGGAACTTTTTGCAAGTGATGGAAAAGCTTTAAGAAAACTTTTGATTTGTGATGGGAATATTTGTTAAGTCACAACTCTTTAATTTTAAAAATCTTAAACATGCGAACTTCTTCCTCTCTGGTTCAGAAAATTTGATAAATATTTGGGCCCCAGATGATTAATTAATGCCATATTGCTGGTAATAAAAATATAAGGACCTAATCTAAAATAAATGTGTCATCATTAACCCAAATGAAAACCTTAGTATTAGTGGTGATATTGAAAATGTGAAATTTTGGTAATTACAAGATTAGTATGTTTGCTAATAGATAATAAATGAACATAAAATGCCTATAATTGGTTTTTCAAAAAGCCCAGATGGAAGAAAAATAATCAATTAGAGCAGATAAAAATCTTTATGTAATGGCAGATTCAGAAAAAGAAATTTGGTAAATCCTTTAGAAGATTTAATTTAATGAATATCTACTTCGGATTTGTTTTATCACTAATTAGATTTTTACTTTTCAAATCATCTAAATCACATTCAGGAACTAAAAAAATTTATCGATATTCAAAATGTATATGAATTAAAAATTTTAGATTGCCAAAAATATATCTTTATAAGGAAAGGGTCAACATGATTTAGGGGATTGCCAACCAATTTATGTTACTTCTAAGCAAATATTAGTGATCAAAAATGGTTATTTCATAAATATTCTAAGATTTATTCTATAAAATCCAAGGATAAGATGGGGAATTCAACTATTAGTTAGAATAATCAATTAATTTTGGTTATGATTGTGTATATGGAACAATTAGTCATGATGGACAATTCTTAATTACTTGGGATTATAAATCTCATAAGACTTAAATTAAAAAATATTATCAGAAGATTGATCAATAAATTTGGGCAAGTTTTATTAAAAATAATATTCAATATTAATTATAAAGAAATATTTTTATTATTTTATATTATGAAAATAATAAATTTGATTAATTTTATAAAATAATCATTTATTCAACATCCAAAATATTGCAAACTGCTGCAACCTAATTATAGGTTACAACTAAATTAATAAAGTGATTAATCAGTATAACTTGTTGATAAATATCAAGGAAAATAAGATATTTAATTAATGACATTTATAAGAACTGAAGAAATGGATTTGTCAATAATTAAATCTCATTTGTTAGTAATTCTGCATCAACTGTAGTTCTATATTGAACTTCTAATTTAGTCTTTGATAAAGTGTATATTTCACATAAGACATCCAATCTATTAAATGGGTATGCTTTATAAGTCCGTCACCTGTATTAATTATTAATTTTTACAAGAATCTAATCTAAAAGACTCTGTTAGGCAGTATTGGTGTAGGTTCATCTAAATTGGAAATAATAATCATTATCATATTGGATTCCAACAATTGATGTCAGAATCCATTTATTTGTTTATAGATTGAAATTGTAGCTAGTGTAATGTCATTGTATTAAAAAATTTAACATTATTTGATCTTTAGGTAATGAAAATATTGAATTGATTTATTATTTAATAGAAATTATTTTATTTCTCATTAATACTATGTGGTGGTTACCGTTTTAAGACTTAAATATATTAAAAATTTCTCTTGTTCCTAATACTATTTAATATCCAATTTATTTAAGATTTACATATTTTTTGACGGTTTAGATATATCTACTATAACACTAGTTTTTGTGATACTATTTTAGTTTTTGTCATACTAGAAAACAAAATATATTAAAAAATAAGACTGATATGAAAAAATCAAGGAGATCTCTGAGTGATTATAGTTGTATGAAATACTTATTTTTAATTTTTCATATTTACCAATTAGTAAAATTAAATAAGAAGATACTTGATATTAAAATCACAATATATAATTATATTAATCTTAGAAATAAATATATATAATAAATTGACTTTTTGACTACCTTATGAATTGATTTTTCATACACAAATTTGGTAATTACATAACTTAACTTATAATTGATTAACATTATTTACTAATGAACTTTTATTATAATAGTTATTAATCAATATATTTAGATATTCATTAATCTTCAGATTCAATATATAAATATATCTTCTCAGAATATAAAATTGACTTTGAAAGCCTCTATGTCTATCAGAATTGTTAAACAACTTATGAAATTAATCTGCTAGAAAATTATGACAAATAAATTTCAACTTAGAAATGTATATTCTAATATGCCATTACATGTTTTTAACAATTTATATAATTGCTTATATATGAAAAAAACAGAATCTTTGAAATTTCAGTTGGATGATATATCTTAAATATACTGAGAAATACAAAATCATTAATTAATAATCAGGATATTATATGATAAATCATCAATTTTTTAGCTATTATATTTTCTAATATCTAGATTATATTTTTTTCATCATATTAATAATCTTATTGATTATTATTAAATTATTATTCTTAACAAAACTTCATAAAATTACATACATTATATTCGCATGAATAACTATTCCATTCAATAGTTATCTTAAGAATAAATGCCTAAGTATCTATTAATTTCTAATTTTCTTTAATAATATCATTAGAAAATTTGTGTAGAATTAAATATCTAAACTAATCCAATTTCAGCATCAAAGAATAGAAAATACCAATAACAATTATTTTTGTTTGATTGGAAATCCAATTTTCCTATAAATTCTTGTTATTTCTAAATCCATTTATGTATATTCATGTAATTCTTATTTTAGTAAATTAATTGCCTTCTTTTTATCAAAGCCTACTTAAAAAGTTAGTAGTAAAACTAGTTGGTAAAAATAATATACGTTTATACTTCTATTTCTCTTAAAATTTAAGATCAAAATATTAATTTTCACTGCCTAAATTAAGCTTAAGAACATAACTATGAATAATAATACTTGTTATCCATCTTTTATTTTTTAATATATTCACATCATTATTTGATATTAATTAATTATACTTACACCAAAAATTTTATACTTAAACTTATTATTATAACTTCTATACTATATTCCTGTTGTCGAATCTGTAATAATAACTTTTTAGTTATTTCTTTGTGTCTACTAATCATAATTATTATTGTTAATTGTATTCTTTAATTCAGATATATATTCTCCATTTTTAAACTAACCAATGTGCCTTGTTAATGTTGACTTTCTTTAATATTCTTCACCTTATTCATTTAATTAAATTTTCTGTATCCCAAAACTTTTAAGAAAATCCCTTGTTATAATTTATACTTTGGATTGAAATTGCTATCATCTTTAGTTAAATAAATAAATCCCTCTATTTCATATACATTTGCATCTTGGTATTATTAAACTTTAATTTTTCTAATTATTTTATTATAATAAAACTAAATATTTTTGAATAATAGAACACAAACATATTTACCTTTTATAGTGTTAATTAGATCGTATTTAAACTTCTAACAATCCTTTACCCAGCATTCATTAGTGTTTCCATCTAAACTTTTATTTTTTGATATTCGATCTAAATGATCAAGATCATCTTTATAATAAGTTGTTGATTCTTTAACATTCTAGCTTTGCGTTGTTTGCAAATCATTTTTGAATTCTTCTTTGATTTATTTAGAAGAAGTCTATGATTTTGTAGGTTTTTATTCATCTTCCTTATCTCTTAATTGAATAATGCATTACCATCTATGCATCCCATTGAATATAATAATAGAAATATTATGTATAAATTATTATATGAATATTAATGAATTTACTTAGAATCTAGATATTAAAAATTAATGACCAATATATTTTAAGGAAGAATTTATTTAAAACTTGACTAATATTGAAATTTAGGCCTTTAATTAGTAATCTAACAATATTTCTATTATCAAAATATTAATATTACTATATCATTGATAAAAAGTGTTATTGAAACCTTTTCTCTTCACTTCTATTATTTAATAATGATGATAAGTTTATTTATTTTGGTTTTGTGTAAATTTGTTTGACAAATAAATAATATANTACTGAGAAATACAAAATCATTAATTAATAATCAGGATATTATATGATAAATCATCAATTTTTTAGCTATTATATTTTCTAATATCTAGATTATATTTTTTTCATCATATTAATAATCTTATTGATTATTATTAAATTATTATTCTTAACAAAACTTCATAAAATTACATACATTATATTCGCATGAATAACTATTCCATTCAATAGTTATCTTAAGAATAAATGCCTAAGTATCTATTAATTTCTAATTTTCTTTAATAATATCATTAGAAAATTTGTGTAGAATTAAATATCTAAACTAATCCAATTTCAGCATCAAAGAATAGAAAATACCAATAACAATTATTTTTGTTTGATTGGAAATCCAATTTTCCTATAAATTCTTGTTATTTCTAAATCCATTTATGTATATTCATGTAATTCTTATTTTAGTAAATTAATTGCCTTCTTTTTATCAAAGCCTACTTAAAAAGTTAGTAGTAAAACTAGTTGGTAAAAATAATATACGTTTATACTTCTATTTCTCTTAAAATTTAAGATCAAAATATTAATTTTCACTGCCTAAATTAAGCTTAAGAACATAACTATGAATAATAATACTTGTTATCCATCTTTTATTTTTTAATATATTCACATCATTATTTGATATTAATTAATTATACTTACACCAAAAATTTTATACTTAAACTTATTATTATAACTTCTATACTATATTCCTGTTGTCGAATCTGTAATAATAACTTTTTAGTTATTTCTTTGTGTCTACTAATCATAATTATTATTGTTAATTGTATTCTTTAATTCAGATATATATTCTCCATTTTTAAACTAACCAATGTGCCTTGTTAATGTTGACTTTCTTTAATATTCTTCACCTTATTCATTTAATTAAATTTTCTGTATCCCAAAACTTTTAAGAAAATCCCTTGTTATAATTTATACTTTGGATTGAAATTGCTATCATCTTTAGTTAAATAAATAAATCCCTCTATTTCATATACATTTGCATCTTGGTATTATTAAACTTTAATTTTTCTAATTATTTTATTATAATAAAACTAAATATTTTTGAATAATAGAACACAAACATATTTACCTTTTATAGTGTTAATTAGATCGTATTTAAACTTCTAACAATCCTTTACCCAGCATTCATTAGTGTTTCCATCTAAACTTTTATTTTTTGATATTCGATCTAAATGATCAAGATCATCTTTATAATAAGTTGTTGATTCTTTAACATTCTAGCTTTGCGTTGTTTGCAAATCATTTTTGAATTCTTCTTTGATTTATTTAGAAGAAGTCTATGATTTTGTAGGTTTTTATTCATCTTCCTTATCTCTTAATTGAATAATGCATTACCATCTATGCATCCCATTGAATATAATAATAGAAATATTATGTATAAATTATTATATGAATATTAATGAATTTACTTAGAATCTAGATATTAAAAATTAATGACCAATATATTTTAAGGAAGAATTTATTTAAAACTTGACTAATATTGAAATTTAGGCCTTTAATTAGTAATCTAACAATATTTCTATTATCAAAATATTAATATTACTATATCATTGATAAAAAGTGTTATTGAAACCTTTTCTCTTCACTTCTATTATTTAATAATGATGATAAGTTTATTTATTTTGGTTTTGTGTAAATTTGTTTGACAAATAAATAATATATAGTCTTATAGAATTCTGATAATATCAATTACAATTTTAATAATTATTATTTTTGGATTGTACTATTATATTCTTAATTTAATATAATATTCAATAAGTATGTTATATAAAATCTCTATATTTTATAATTTTATATAGCTATTATTATTATAAACAAATATTTAATATTTTTGTGAATAATAAATAATGTTAAATGGATTTCTTATTTAATAGTTAATTTTCTATTTAATAAGTAATCAGATTGTATATTCAGATAGAAATTAGAAATTTTGTATTTCATTTTCTTAGAACAGAAATGTGGAATTAAAATAATAGTATAACTATGAGTTTCTTTTGTTTAATAGATTTATTAGAATAAGAAAAAAAGGAATTAATACATATTGATAACTTATTATTACGTAAATAATGAAATGATTCTCATAAAATTAATAATTATCCCTTTATATAATCTTGATCATTAAGAGCTTTAAAAAAACAAGTTTTAGCTTCAGATTTGTTTCCAGAAGCAAGTAAAGATTCCGCTAAAATTTTTAATTAAAGGAGGTGAATACCTTTATATTTAAAATATATAGGATTTTCTAATACTTATAGATCCTTGTCATTAAATTTAATTGCTTATTGAATTTTTTCATTTGATGTAAAGCAATGGCTAATAAATAAAAAGAATAATGAACCCTTGTTGTTATAAGCATTAGCATTTAATTTAATTAAATTGTTTTATCATAACATTCAGTAGCTTCTTGATATTTCTTTAAATTGCTTAATGCTCAACCTATTTATTTCAAATTTGTTTAAGTAACACCTTTATTATTAAAAGCCATATCATTTTTAGGATTCAATTAAATTGCAAAATCACAACATTTTGATTCCTTCTTATAGTCTTTTTTGATAAATATAATTAAGTGAAAATGTGAATGAGTTAAATTTAATGATTGTCCTTAGAATAATAAACTATTTATATTACCTTTCCACATAAATATCTTATTTATTATATTTAACAGAGACAATGAATTATCTTAAATTTTCAGAGCTTCTTAATATTAACCTTAATTTGTTAATACATAGCCATTTTGAATAGCATTTCTGCTTCTTGTAATTCAGATTACTTGTTTTACTTTTATTCTAAGATCTTTTCGATTTCTTTTAATTAATTTCTAATATTTATTGTAATTAATTTGATTGTTATGAATTATTCTAAAAATACTAATTAATATATAAATTTTCTTTAATTTATGAGTCATATGAATAGTATTTTTTTATAAAATTGATTGATAATTGGAATTTGAAGTAATGTTAGTATTTTAATACTTAATTCAAATTTTATTAGAGTTTAAATATTTTCTTGCATTCTTTCCTATTTAAATCCATCTTCATTTTTACTCATTTTTAGATATCATTTGATGTTTTTATTAATTCAGCCTAATCTGAAATATATTTATTTATTAAATCAGTTATATTTATTAATCTAATTCAATTTTTTTGATGATCTTAATGTACTTCAAATAAGCATTTGTAACAATATTAGGAAGTACGTATACACTTAGAATTAAGACAAAAGTCAATTATTGTCTCGTTTTCATGATTTTCGTATGTGCATTTATACATTTCTATTCTAATACTTAATTAATAATATGATGCAATCAATAATTATAAGATGAATAATAAGAATAAGTCTTTATTTTTAATAGAAATATGAATATTCTTAAATTTAGGACATGCTAATATCATTATCCTATTTACATGGATACCATCATATTTGTTTATAAATAAATTCCAAATTTGTAATAAAATAGAAAATTAAAACCATATTAACTGATTATTAAAACAAATTTTATAATAAATTGTAAAATTATTATATATGTTAATACATTAAACCTGAATTATCAGATTTTTGAGGTTGGATATCTACTTAAATTAATAATAAAATATTATATGAATAAGGATAATACTCTAATTTTATGATTAAAAGTCAGTACAAGATTATTCAGTAGGTGATTATTATTATAACTTCTATTTATAAGTAATCAAAAAAATAATTATTTCTTAATCATTGACTGTATCATTTGTTTATTAATACACTATTTCATACTTTCACTAATCCCCTTTTATAAAATAATGTTAATTAAAGATCAATCAATAAGAGTAACATCATTTTTACCTTATAGATATAATTTAATTTGATTTCTAATATGTGAAGCATTTATTTGTATTAATATCACTATTAATTATTCAATTAATGAACTTGATTTAGTTTGAATATGATAGATATTTATAATATTGAAGGATTCATCTTATTCTATTTATGACAAGAACCAAATTTATGTATCAATAATAATTTTATTTAAATTTAAATTTTTTTGATTAATACAAATTAATTAAAATTAAATTATTTTGTTATTCTAAAAAAAGCTCTACTATTATTTTATAATATGAAATCAGACTTTTAAAGTATTATCAAATATTAATTTTTAGTTAAATAAATAGTTAGATATACTAATTGTAAACTATTCTTTTTTTTTTAATATTTTAAAATTTACTTTTGGACCTTAAAAAATGAAAAAATTCTTTATATGCAATATTATTATATTAAATTAAATAAGTATAGATAATTTGATTATTAAATTAATAATATTATATTTGATAATTTTTGAAATTAAAACAGTATTTTAGGGTAACCCAATATCATCCTCAAAAAAACTAATATTATGACCAAAAGATATTGTCCAAAGAATTAGAAAAGAGGACCTTCCTAAACCCGCACATTTTCTAGTGAAGCCAATCCTAAGGAGAGTAGAATACTTTGTCAAAACTATATGAAAGCCTTATACCAGAAAGCTAGTCAAGACAAAATTCTCCTAATGCTTTTTCTCGGAAAGCTTCAATATAAATCTAATTTAGAGAAAGAAGAAGGAATAATTGAGAGAATGATGGAATGCTGGAATGCTGGCTGGACTCCAACTCTCAAAATGGACCCAGGGAGTACATTGAAGAACTAATAAAGAAACATAACATAATCTAC